CTTTAAATCGAAATTTAACATGTTTTATTTGGATTGCTCCACAGATGCAGGTGGAGCTACGTTTTACATTCCTCACTGCAGACAAGATGAGCGCATTGGCCTGCCCTGTGCGTTTGTGATGCACCATGGTACGTCACTGTTACAATTACACGTTTTGCTAAATATTTATTGATTCAATTGTTGCATTGCTCCGTAGGTGCTTGCTTCATAGAGAACCTGCAGGCATTGTACATTCTTCATGCTCTTAAATTAAAGTCGGGGCGACCATTATCCGCAGCATGTGTGTATAGTCCACACAACGGAGTGAAAGTCCCATTAATCCGTTATGCTTCACCGAGTCTCCAGACGCTTTCATTAGGAGGGTTTTGCAATGTGAAGTTTGGTCAATTCCAGTACTGGGTGTGTTTTCACGTGTGAGGAAACTGGCCCACAGGGGACAATATGCAACGCTCTGTCCAGACGGGTTCGTGAACACCACTTGCTACATTGCCATCTCCCAGCCACAGCCCTACCTACACTGGAAGTTGAGAGCTTCAAAAATATCGCCACGATCCCACCAAACCTTGACTCCAAAGAGCTGAGTCACAGGCATGCGTCACCATAGAACTAGACAGTATTGTGATAGAATGTTGAGTGGTGGGGGTTTTTTGTGTGCGTCCTTTAGTCTCTGTAACGACTAATACTAAACAATGTTCCATGAACGATACCATTGATTTGGGGCGGCCATGTGCCTCACGTGGCAGAGCACTGAGCTAACACTGCCGAGCACCTGGGTTCGAATTTGGAAAACTGTCCATGGTTAAAGCAGGTTCTCAAGTTCTAGTGAGGTGATGGCCTCTAATTTGGTCACCGACTGCACGTAACATTATTTTACAATTGGGCCTGGACTTAATTTGACTAAATTACAGCTAAGGATTTTAAAGTATATGTTTAACTGCCATGCATTGAACGTGTGGATAAGAGGTCACTCGGGGTTTCAAATATAGTGACAGGATATCTATTTCCGTGAACCGTTCTCTCACAAACAGGAGATGAACAGCTCCGATAATGCTGAAATGATTATTTGTTGAGCGATATAATTTTTCATGAGCACAATTGAGATGAATATTTTGGAGGTAATACATTTTTCTTTTTAAATAATAGAATTGTGAAGTAAACGCTGACTCCTGCAACTTAATAGATGCAAATATTTAATAGGAAAATGTAGTTTATTTGCAAATCAAATCGTGGTTTCTCCAGCCTCCATTGATTCCAATACAAAATAAATAATTTAAAAACTCTTCCTAATAATTAGTTTCGACATGTACGGTATTAATCTTCAGGAAAACATGAAACTTGCCGTGGCATCTGGAAGACCACAATAAGCGTATGAGTCCCGCACGTATGTACGTATATATGTTGAACTTTTTTCGCACCTTGCGTGCTAATTGGAGGTGTGGGGGAAGGACAACCAACTAAACGCAAAAAGCAGTTCTAAAAAAAGATTACACAATATCGACATCATAAAGGTGATACACACCTAAAATTTTCTTTTTTACTTTAAATTTCCCTTACTTATTACCCCGTTTTTTCTAAATTACATTTCCTAGTATCCTTCCTAACAACATTTTGCAATGTAATTTAGACTTATTATACCATTGGGCATTACTCTTCAATAAGGCACGTAATTTATAACAGTATTTACGTATCTGCTAAAGTCAACTGGAATACTTGGAATATTCATTTTATACATTTATATTAATTATTATACCATAACTTTACGCATTAAGCTATCAGGCATAGTGAATAATGTGTCAAATACTTCCTGTGCTATATATACACGTTAACAATAATATATGAAACAAAATTCAATCCATACTCTTTGGGTCTTTCGGTAAAGTCACGTACATAGAAAAATAAAAATCACGACGTTTCGATCGCAACACATCGAAACGTCGTGATTTTTTTTGTATCTACATAACTTTACCGAAAGACCCAAAGAGTATGAATTCCTACAGTCACGAACGCTTTAAGTCAAAATCCAATCCAGATATTACTGTTTGAATTACTGACTAATCTAATTTTAATTCTGATCACATGATTGAATGAGTTTATGACCATCTGATCATAGAAACCAATCTGCTTTTTGGTCAAAATAATTAATCTGGTAAATTACAAACTAGCGATGGTAAGCTCCTCTTGCCCCATAAAGAATGCTCATCTTACAGCGAAAAAATCTCATTTCGCTCCTCCCTGCTGGAAAAATAATTATTTAGTTTTATTTTGCATCATTCATGCACATTCTATTTCGCAACTGCTGATGATCCACGGACTTGCTGGAATACAGCTACAGTAGGCGGTTAGCTGGCGCTAACAATTTCCCAAGCTCTGCAGTCCTCCATATATGTTATATCTTCAGACAATTTATGAATATATAATATAAACCGGAGCACTCAAGAGAAACCCCACAAGTGCGAGGGGGCAACACTGTATCCCATGCAGAAGGAACATGTGATATTAGTGCTCAATTTGCTGCACCGCCTTCTCTTGGCAAGCTATGGCACCTCGTCGCCCACGGACGTTTCTCAACGTTTGTGTGAGTCACCAACCCTCGCCTACACAGCGCCGGATTAACAGCCGTGTGCCACCAAATGTTGAAGTGAAATCCAAAATGCTATCCGATGTTTCACACGGTTAGGGGGTGGGGGGACTGAGGTGAGACCATCAACTTGTTACACTTGAGAGACTGGTCAAATAACAAACCTCTGGACTCTAACCCAGGATCTCAATAGTGTACACTAAATGTTCTGAAACGTGATCGCTAGCCCCCCCCCCCCCCCCACTTGCACTTCTTTCGCACCGTATGTAGCCAACCGTGCTAGTCGGAGGTGCAGGACATTAGTGATAAACTTCTACAGAAGTTTTCCCCATGCATTAAACAAATATATTTGTGAACAAATGAGAAATATTGAGATTTTGGCAAATTCGTCATCTGTCAAAATTTATATTCCCCCTCCCTTGAAACTCTACCATACTCTTCATCTCGATATATGACAATTGTTGCAAACGCAATGGTCAAACGTCATCCGACGCAGCGAGATACTCTCCTCAATCAGACCCCTGACACGGATATCATGCCTATCCTCAGGCTCTTCTCTTGCCTCCCATTCGCCTTTCGGAAAATGTTAATGTTTTTATCACCGACTTCTAAATCCATTTTGCCGTTGCTTTTACTCATATTGTTGAAACGACTATTCAATGCCACGCCACCCGTCTCGCTGACTGCATTCCAGAAAAACACGACCTTCTTACTCAACCTCCCATCAAACTAAATGTTTATTGGTCATGTTTACAAATCTACCACTACGCCTGCTGCATCTCAGACTCTCCCCGATGAACACACACACAGGGGGTGGCCAGGAATAAGAATGAGCGCGACAAGCTGGCGCACACCAAACTTCTATTTAAAATGTGCGGTGTTTTTTTTCTGCAGCTGGGAAAACGTAGATTTCCCCACGGTGTCTGAATAGCCTTAAGCAGGCGCAGCAAGTTGGGGAAATTTCAGACTGATGACGACGATTTCCAGAAGAACAAATGCTTCACTTGCGAAATAGAAATTCTGCTGCACCAAAAGTTGATGTAATCAGCACTTGACATAATCCAAATGTCACTCTCTTATTGTCAAAATTACTGAACTTTAATGTTACATGACTGATTTTGTTTTTTTCCCCATAGCTGACCTACATCTTTTTCGCATACAATTTAATGAACACGCTTCAAAATATAAACGTGACACTTCCATTTTACCTTCGCGTGTGACTTAACCGCGCAAAGCCCACGACAATGAATATTTGAGAAAAAGAGAGGGCAAACGGGAGGAATAGAACATAAAAATATCTGTGTTCTCCATAGAATGGATGCCTTATGATCTTGTAGCAGCACCCCAGTCACTGTGACTGTAAATTAAGTTGTATAAACCAAGTTTCCCAACACAATAATAATGTGTACAGTACCTATTACTATGAGAAACCAGGGGCTTACTCGACACACAACTTTATATACTACCATATATTGTGTATATTGTACATCACGTGTAAACTGTGTTAATGTCTGCTTGTTCGTTACATGACTGTTTTGAATCTCTTTGTTCTGGTATGATTTATATCCGCACCTCCGATTAGCATGGTTGGCTACGTATGGTGCGAAAGGAGTTCAACATACATACCTACATTTTTAAGTAATGCTACTGTGGAAATCTTATATAAATCAACCAAAAGTGCTCAACAGCCTCAAAAGAAAAGCACAAACTGTTTAATATTTTTAAACGTTAGCCCAATGGCCGAATATAAAATAAAGCCCGTGATGAAGGAGATAGACGTGGCCATTCAGAGTAAAACACAACCTACTGTACGGCCGTTAAAGTATCCAAAAAACATTCTACGATTTACAACTTAAGTATCGTCAACACATGATACCGGAGATTGCGTTTTGTGTTTCAAGTGGGGATGAGTTGGACCATCAGATCAGGCCCTGGCTGCTTTCCGATTTTATTTTCTGAACATCGTCAGCTGCATGAGACGAGTCCCATAAATGTATATGAAAAGTACTATGGTAACACAACTAGATTGGTATGACTATTATTTATGTCATTTATGTGTGCTTGAAGAGCCAGAGAGCCGCAATTGCACATCCAACTGTTTTACATGACTGCCGCATTATAATTACCGTATCGAAAGGAACCATATAATCTTTTCATAATTTCGATTTTTCTCAGACAATCCATGTAAAACGCCACTGGTCAAAATAACAACTCTCTTTTGAACTCAAACCGCACTCTAATTCCATCCACGAAATTGAGATTATTAAATAAAAAATGTGTTAATTGAAAATACATTCCCATATACATAATTACGAATTAACAATTACGTACGAATTTACAGCCGCGGACATGACACGTTAGAGACGCACTTTCACAATAAACGATCCCATTCGTTCTCGCCAACGTCACAAACATCACCGACCTGCTTTGGGCTTTGACGAATGTCGTTTTCGCTCGGCCTCAACGAAGTCCACTTCCCAACACGCTGGTGATATTTCCCATTAAACGAGAACGCGCAGAGGTTGCGGCATCGAATTGGCAAGCCCCATAAGTTCTGGCTGGCCAGCACACGACGCAATGCCACTGGGTGGTTCTTAGAAGGGGACGGGTGGGTGTTTTTTTTGACCTGCAGACGGAAATGCAGTAACATTGAGATAACGGCAACTGGTCTGCACAGAGACGGAAGTGGCTTTTCACGACCGAATCTCGTTCACGTTGGCCACACAATTTGAGCTGGATTCAACCTCGTACAGTATTGCAGCCAACACTCAGCTAATGGCTTAAACCATGAAACAATCTTGTTTTGGCAAATAATATCGCCGCTCCGTTGACAAACTTTACTCCACTGCTTCTTTCATGGCACCATATGAGCAATGGTGTCGACTTGATTAAAACGGGAAAACGTAATCCTTCATTCTAATTGTATATGCAACTTTTGTAACCCGTACACGAATATGTACAGGCCATGTGTCGTCGATCTACTGATGGATAAGGACCTCCCCTTGCTGTGCAGGCAGGGAGGGTTATTTGACCGTACTTCACCGCGCTGGTCACTGGGCTGGTGTAGGTCCAGGGAGTATAGGACAACATGTATTTGACTGCACCGCCCTCGACTACCCATATCACCCACTGCACCTGTTTCATACACAGTCACCCACACGAGCACTTATCCTAAAAAACCTTCAAATTTAACCAGGTAAGACCCATTGAGCTATATAACTATTTTTCAGAAGCGAATTGGCCACAAATGATAGCTCAGCGAATTGGCTTATCATGTGGAAATGTATCGCAGCCGAATACTCTAAACGCGTGATTCTAAATGTTGAGTGGAAAACCGGAGGACCCGGAGAAAAATCAATGCGACCACGGGGAGAGAGACACACAAACTCCAAATATACAGGGGTCGTAGGCCTCGGCAAGGTAAGGTAATTTACCCTTTTTACCGGGTAAAGGTGTCGACATGCCAAGAGGTAAGGTAAAGGGTAGGGTAAAGGTAGCTCGGAAGAATTACCCGAGAGGGTAAAGGTAGCGCGAAGTATTACCCGGTAAATACGGTACCTTGTTTACTGCTAAAAGCTCCGTGGCGCAGTCCGTGGCTTCCATTTAATAAGTAATATTTTTTTAAACTTTTTTTTAAACACGCTTTTATGAAATATACGAGTAATGGCAGAACTCCACGACTCTAGGAAGTGGCCCCGAAGCTTGCCATAACGTAAGGGACCGTGGCCATTCACAGCCAATGTCAGTTCACCGTGGACAATTAGACCCAAGCCGAAACATAACATATAAAAAATAATGTTTAAAAATATTTTTTTTATGATAGAATATAATATTGTCATGAGTATGACATAGTATACCAAGTTTGCAGTCGATACCACATTGGGAAGTGAGTTAAAATTGAGTTACAAGATTTGAGGATACAACGACAACAACAACAACAAGCGTGTAAAATTGGAATCGAGAGTATTCTATATGAATAAAGCGCTCTACCTAGCATTTACCATTATAAACCTTGTTCATGTGTAGTGCCCCAGTAATTACCCTGTAATCGGGTAATTTGTATGGGGTAAGGGTAAAAGGTAGGGTAAAGGTAGGCTCGTTGCTTTTTACCTTACCTGCTAAAGGGTAAAAGGTAGGGTAGAATGATTGTATTGTGGTAAGGTAAAAGGTAGGGTAAAGGTGGGCTCGTTGTTTTTACCTTTTACCTTACCTTGCCGAGGCCTAAGGGGGCGTCAGGGTCCTCGCCCGGTATACCTCCTGTATACCAGGCGAGGTAGTTAACATCTCCTAACCCCGTTTAGCTTGAGGTATGACAGGGTCAGGTGTTTTCCGGGTGCTTTGTCTATAAATGCTTAAACACTGTAAGTAACTGAGAGGAAATGTACGTGTAGCGACATGGTCGCATGTCCCTGGATGCGGGGCCTGCTTGCCTATGGCGCGTCACGGAACGTACTGCCAAGGCTGGGGGTGGATGCAGTACCAGCCCCAGAGGAAAGGGGGCAAGGGGGTCCTACCCGAGGACCACCTCCCCGAAGGGGGCTGAGGGGACCACGTGCTGCCCAGATGGGGATCCCTACCGGGGGCCCCGGAAGAGGGGCGGGGTTGAGGGCAGAGCAAACCGAGCACGGGGGATAAAAAGGGGTTCCCTGTTGGGACAGGGGTGTTGTTGCTGCGGAAGAAGCCGCGTCCACGTCTGAAGAGGAGCTATCCCGGGGCCCTGGACCCGAGTGGGACCCGAGGAGGGATAGCAGCGGGGTGTGTGTTAGGGTAGCTCGCCCGGTGGGTTACCGCCTTGGCGTAACTGGTAAGCGGGCAGCTGTCCCTTTGTGGTAGCGTGAATAAACGTGTTGCCTCCAACGTGACGCCTGAGTCTCCATTTATACCCACCACATATGCATTGGGGAAAAAACAGGTGCTACAAACAACTAATGGAGCCATTACATTATTAGTCAGCGGAAATTGATGCTGGAATCGTAAGCAGAGGAAGTAACGTAGGTCAGCTCGGAGCGCAGAGGTCACGATGGGTAATGTTGATGGTACTACCACCACTCCTTGCAATCGATCGCCCAAGAGGTTTGAGGAGTTGGTTGTGCTGCGTTGTCAAGAAATTGTTATCCGCCACAGTCGGTTCGCGTCCTTGTGCATAGCGTGTCAATAGCGCATAACGAATCAAAGCAAAGATAGTAAATTTCAAATATTGTTAAGATTCATTGTATTCTGGATCTAGTTATTGTCCTTCTTTCTGTCGCCTTGAAAGCACGTTTTTAAAAAATCCGTATGGGAGGGAAAATGGGTCTCAATTCCTCACTCTCCCATATTAAAAATGAGCAAGGGGCCATCCATTTAGTACGTACGCATGGAGGGGGGAGTTAACCCAAATGCGTGCGCTTGCGGGGGGTCTACTGACAATGTACGTACGCATAGGAAACGGGGGGGGGGGTGAAGCCTCGATAATAATTTGTCTACATTGGCCTTCAAATGAGCCACAGTTCAGTGTCTTCAGCTGTCAGACAAGTTCTACCGGGAGAAGTGGGACTGTGGGAGAGGTGTCACTCGTGTGCCACCGTGACCCCTGACTGCAGCTATCACACAGCTCAGCAAAATAAGTGGCCAGGGTACGCAACTTAATTATTTAATGCAGCCGGCGGTGGACTATCTGTTTGCTTAAACACGTTAATATTATTAATCCTTGATCGTTTCTGCGTGGATTCAATATCGGCCGTTATATAGGATTCGGGGGGGGGGGGTGTAAAAAGTCCGCATGCGTACAGGGAAGGGGGAGGGGTCAAGTTTTGACAGATTTTTACGTACCTACTCAATGGATGGCCCCCAACCCTCACAACCCACAAAAGCCTTTTCAATCCCTGGACAGCCTTGTAATGTAGCAATCCACGCCCAGCAGCTGCACAACACAAGCCGATATAATCACTTCATTTCCGCGGCAGATGGCTCCTTGGGCACGTTTCCTCCTTAGGCTGCTACTCGCTTGTTACTTTACCCACCAGCCCATCATCCCCATCTCACGCTGTGGCTTGCCCAGGCTCGACTTCCGCTTTAAGCCAAAATAATGTCTTTAAACTGCATAGTTTTGGTGTTTTTTCAATCCACGTATTGCTGTTTCTTTTCAGTGTAAAACCCCACTTTGGTTTATATAGCCAGCGATAAACAACGTACCCTTGAAATGCAATACAGTCTGTTGTCCCATAACGCTGCGTTGTGTTCATAACGCGAATTGGATATAACGCGATCGAGCGAACGGAACTACGTCGCGCGAGTAGGAAGAAGCGCCATTGGAACCTCTTTTGCCAGTAGCAAAATATGATAATTGTTTTTTTACCCTTTTATCTGACAACAAAACTGACACCTTTTTACAAGAAATCATGTTTGCATTGACCAAAATACTTGCAGTCGGAATGCATAAAACAAGCTGTCTCGGGTGTGGACCAATCAATTTCAAGGACAGTGCATACATTATCAGAGTTATGTTTTTTGTTTGCATTCCGACTGCACGTATTGTGGTCAATGCAAGCATGATTCCTTGTAAAAAAAGGTGTCAGTTTTGTTGCCAGATAAAAGGGTAAAAGACCAATTATTATTGGAAGAAGCGGTCGTACGGCTGCCTCGGCGAAGTATCATCATCACACAAGACAGTGGGATGCTGCTGGATGCTTCTAGATGCTACCCACGCTCCTCAGTCTTTGTTCGGCCTGCGTACGCATCTCACGCGTTACCACGGACTGTGCTTTCCCCTCTATTATATATTATTTATTATAACGCGATTTTTCCATAACGCGGTGTTCTTCAGGAACGCAACTACCGCGTCATAGGAGAGCAGATTGTGCTTGTCTCCACATCCTCACAACCCCTTCCATCATTAACCTTACTGCCGACATTTAATTTAACATGTAGGCTTTCACGACCAATATTTTAAAAAAAAATTGGGGGAGATTGCGTCAATGTAAATGTCTCGTACACCGAAGTCCAGCCAACACAGCCAATTAGGAAGTGTTATCGCGTGACTCCAATTAACACGATTGGCCACGTACAGTGCGAAAGAAGTTCTACATAACTAGATAGAAGCCTATCCAATTGACAATTCTTACAAATTGGCTATGTTGGGTGGACGTGGGTGTGTATATTTGAACTTCGTTCGCACCGTATGTACCAAACGCGCTCATCGGAGGGGTTCGGTGGTGAGTGGAAATCAATGTTGTTGTGCTCCCAGTCTGTTCCACGATCGTCAGCAACGACTGGCAGATGGACATGTCCCACCAACGGCATCGTCTCTTCACCAGGTGGAAATGCTGGGGACGTGCACCCGATCCGCATAGCTATACAGTATCCACATTACGATCTTATCTTAATTTATATTTAAAGAGCGCCTTTGCTCAAGGCGCTTAACTAACATTGGTTTCAAAATAAAAACGGTACAGTAAAGTAATGATTTAGATGGCAGGGGCGTGTGCAAGGGCTGATGCATGAGTGGCAGCAATAGAGGGGTCACGACAGGGTAGGGGAGGGATGTAAAGAAGTGGAGGGGCGAGGGGAGGGATGAGGAAGAGAATGGACAACGGAAGAGAGGTGAGGCTTTAAGAGATGAACGGAAGGAGGTTAAGGAGGGGGACTGCTTCATGTGCAGGGGAAGTTCGTTCCAGTGGTGGGGTGCAAGGAGGGAGAATGACCGAACACGAGGTGGGCCATGGGGAGGAGGGGTAGAGAGAAACAGGATGGGGAACCAAGTGGACGAGATGAGAAGGAACATGGAAGGAGACGAGAGAGGTGGAGTTGATTATATCCCCTCATCACAGCTGTCAACCCATACGGTTCACCCCATATTCTTGTACAGGGAAATTGAGTTTTCAAGTCCATATGGCGTACAGCCATTTCAATATGGGCAAACAATGTTTGTCTATTTGTTTGTGTTTCTCCCTTGTGATGGGACTTTGTAGGATGATCGTTGAGATTTATAAGGGCACGGGGTGACCAATAAGGTCTGAATTGGTCTGTAATAAGGTAGGCACTGAGTAGGGGTTGACAGGTATGCCTTATCCATGGAAAATCATGAATCGGATACATTTGTAATGACTTGACACACTTATCTTGAAATGGCACTTTATTGGAGACACGTATATATCAACCGAGGCCACACCCCCCTTCTCGATCATTCTCACGGACTCTGGAAGCTCGCTCCACCGGCAGACTCCACTGTCCTCTTCCGTCTCCTGACCACGCTCCCTTCTCGAACATTCCCATAGCTACCAGTCCCTTCGCACTCACAACCGACACCCCTGTCATTACCTCCCGTGGCCACTAGGAGTTTTCTGGCATTACCTCCCGTGGCCACTAGTCCCCTCACACCGCATGCAGGCTCTATTGTCATTACACATTTACCATACAAATGTGCAGTGTCTTGCCGACAATCATCTGTGAGTCGGTACAAGTTGGATGCCACTTACTTCTCGGACAGTGTCCGCAACGTAGCAGAGATGTTGCAGCTGTGCCTTCCCCCCACAGCTGGAGATGGACATAACACTGGTGGTGTAGACCAATCAGTTTAAAAGACAATACATAAATAATTATCAGAGCATGTTTTGTTTGCATGTTCACCATAAATACGTGTGATTAATTAGAACTTGATTCCTTGCAAAGGGTTTCTATTTGGTGCTTGAATATCCTAACACCTGTTTTATTGCCAGAAAGGGTAAAACCTATTCTTATTTTTTTCATACTTTTGTAGTGGCATAGTGATGGCCGCTGGCAGAAAAGGGATCTGCGGCGTACGGCAGTTCTTACATCAGCAGGCCAGGATATACACGAGAGGGGGATCTAGGGGAAAGGTCACAGAAGGGGCCCACCAGGAACCCGCTAGTAGGTTCCAGAAAGGGGCCGTGGCCGGGGCGAAGCGAGGCCACGCTGACAGTATAAGAGGGACCTCGGGGCTGTTGTTCATAGTGGGATACCTGTCGTGCTGCTGATTTCCATCATCACTGTTCTTCTCGACGTCTTCGTCTTTACCATCTCGAGGCGCTGCCAGTCAGACAGCCTACCAACTAAGCGGCGTCGCCGATAATAGACGGACTAAATATTAAAAGTGTTAACCCCGATGGTGCGCGTTAAATAAAGAAGTGCCTCCAAGTCTGATCGTCTCCGAGTTAGTCACTACACTTTGATACTAGAAAAAAGGTCCCATGTTATAACCCTTCTCCCTGCGGGAACAGCAACGTTACCACAAGACTCGCCTTAATAGTCATCATTTTTCTTGAATGAGAGAAAAAGTCAACCCCGCCGATAGTAGCAATATTTGCGAATAAGAGAAGTCTCAATGTGTGTACAGGCGAGATGTGAACTACATCGCCGAGGATGCAGGAGGTCGTGAGTTCACTCCCGACCCTGACGCCTATTGAATATTTTAAGTTTGCTTATCTCTCTCTCCCCCGTGGTCGCGCGGATTTTTCTCCACATTCAGAATCAACATCACCCGTTTAGAGTATTGAGCTGCTGCTCTCCATTTCCACGTGATAAGCCGCTTCGTTGAGTTATCATTTGTGGCCAAGTCGCTTCTGAAAAAGAGCGAATAGCTCAGTGGCCCTTAATCTGGAACAATAAAACAGTTTGTAGATTAAGTAATTTTGGTTAAACAATAAAGTATATTTAAATGAATTTGTGTGTGACTTAGACAGTGCATTTTTTTATATATCAGTGTATGACATATGTATGTTGAACATTTTACGTAGCCAACATTGCATTGTTTCTGTACGCGTGTTATGTGTACACATTTTTTGCGTGTGTTCTGTGTGCAGAATCAGCACATTTCGTGTATATTAATAAAAAAAATAAAGTTTGGAGATGCAACAATATTGCGGTGTATCCCTAATCCAGAAATAATCAGAATACTGTATGTATTTATCCTGGAGGAATACGACGAGCCATGAAGCAATTTTTCACAGACGTCCAGACGAGTTGACGGTAGCTGGCAGGGGCAGTGGCGAGGGAGATAAGTGCCAATGCAGTTTACGTTAATTCCCAATGACATGGACGCTATTCGCGCTGCAAGGTTGTTTTTTGTCATTTTACAATCTTTCCCGCCACCCCAGCCACAACCTGATTATATCCACATTGCGCTTTGCTCTCGGCGAGACAAATCTTTCATACCTGGAACTCTCGCAGAGCAGTGGCAAAGTGCGTTTACAGTGTCCATTGTCTTTTTGTCCAAAGAAATTGTTGACTTGGTCCGAGACCATGGAACTCACCACCGCACTCGAGAACCCGATGGAAGCACAGGCGGCTGGCTGGCTGGCCTGGACTTGAGCCCAGGATTGCCAGCTCAGTGCTCTGTGACCTCTGACCTGAGTCGCCCAAGCTACGTTCCACAATGTATGGTGTCGTAATTGTATAGTAAACATATAGCAGTGTGATACACATTAGGGTGGGTAGAATAATACATAGTGTTATATTAAAATGGATAAGGCAGCAACTGCAGCAGCAGCAGCAAGTGCAGCAGCAGCAGCAACAGCAGCAGCAGCAGCAACTGCAGCAGCAGCAGAAACTGCAGCAGCAGCAACTGCAGCAGCAGCAGTAACTGCAGCTCCCTTTGATGCTGTTAATCCTGCATAATGCACATGCATATGCAGTACTAATCACATTCCTGCATTTCCCATAAATATGCTAAATTCCTTTTGATATGCAAATTCCTTTGTCAATGCGCCCAGCTTATATATATGCTCCAAGCTCGTGTGCTGTTTCATTCAGACTCTGTCGCCTCGACGGACCTGGTTTTCACCTGAGGACGGCTGCTTGCGTTGTGGCCGAAACGTCGTGAGAATTGTTTTATTATGTTTTATTTTTATTATTTTATTACTTCCCTTCTACGTGACTTTACCGAAAGAACCAAGAAGCTACGTTCCACAACTAAAGTATTCGCGGTACGTTCAACTTCTTTCTCACGGTGCGTAGCCAACCGTGCTAGCCAGAGGTGTGGGGGAAGGACAACAAAATTCAACACAAAAGGCAGTTCTAAAGAAATGAGTTTTAAATATAGATCTAAAAGTCCATAGCTCCCAGTGGCTTCTTACTATTGGAAGGAAGAGCGGTCCAGACGGCCGCGGAAGCGCCTCTGAAAGCGCACGGCGATGCGGTGACCGTCTTTGTTTGATGGCCGAGCCAAAATCCGCTGCTGCTGCTGCGAGGATGACCGGACTTCGCGTGACGATGGTTTATGGGGTCATTTGATTGGGGCGAAATGTGTGGTGTGTCAGACCGCTTCGGTTGCCTTTGTTCAACGGTTTCCAGCCGATTAAAATGATCATTCAATCCGAGCACTCAAAACTGGAACCAAACGATTCGTTCGCCCATCGTGGCTCCAGATTGGACACCAACTGTCGTTCGACTCAAGTCTTGAATTTGAACGCTTCTCCAGACCATGCCACCAAATGGGCGCACGTATCGCACACATCACTCCTCATCCACACGCACAACCATACACCCAGACATGTACATGGTGGAAACTACAAACAGCAGGGTTAAAGGTGTACCCAAACGATAGCCATCTACCCATGCTGCAATGAGTACCACAAAACCATGTTCCAAGAACTTACACGCGGCACACATACTTCTGTACAATGATTTCCTTTGTATGTTGTATTTTACGTCGTAATAATATTAGATACATATTAAATAACTATTGAATTTCAGAGTATTGGCCTGTGTATCACTTACAATAAAATGTGCGGGAAGTACAGAATGTATTAAACATGTGTTTTTAGTTCGCAAATATAGAGAATGGTCTACTTGTACAGCTTCACCAATTGTTGTTGAGGCACATATTTTAATAAATAATAATAATCATACAGTAATGCACGCGATATTTCAAAGACCACATGACCGTCACCCCTGATAAATGTAATTCTCACTGTGCAACGACTGCACCTCAAGTCCTTGTGAATAAAACAGAACATGAAATAACTGCTGGTATAGACACTCCTCAATGCCTTCGTTTTTCTTGACGAAACCTGACTTCGACCCCAGTATTTTTTTAACAAGCTGGTTTTCATAGCTTATCACAAGTATGCATTCCTTTGTAGGCAATGACGAATCTTGGAACTTAGACCACAATGGAGTAACAATGGTGGACCCACCTGACGTAACTTACTGGAAGCTAGACCACATCTTTTTAAAATAGTGTTTATAAAATGTTTTGCTCAAGATGGGATTTTTAAAAATGTATTCGTCTTGCTGCTTATAGGTTTTGTCATGGAACGCCAAAACAGTCGGAAGTTTAGTTGTAAGTATGAACTGTTATTAGTTTTGACAGGTATGCCATGCAGATAATGTGCTCTGCTATGTTTGGTCCAAACACAATGTCCCCGATTGCCTTTAATTGTTGGCCAATCATATCTTCTCTTTTTACATTTTAGAATAGGGTTATTACAACTAAATGCGTAATAGAGAACCCGAAAACGGTACAGAAAAATAACTTGTAATTATTATCACCCCTATCAACTCACTCGAAACCTACAAATCATTCAATAACATTCATCGCCTGACTCTTGATAGTTGCAGTGACAATCACAGACAATACGATGAATGTGCCATGCGACTTCTTTATTCGTTTAACAAAAAAAGCTGCATTCAAGCATTCACAAATATTATTTCCTGTGAAGATTATAGGAAGAAGCAACACCAAAATATGTTATTTTATTTAAACTAAGCATTCTCACTGAAGGAATGTCACTATAATTCTGAATAAAGTCTGTTTTCCTTACTAACATGACTTCAAGCTTATTTTGGACTGCCCAGCACAGTCTTGGTAAGTATATGTTGTATTAATAGCTATTTGTTTTTTGGGTTTGCATCTTCCTTGAAGCAGGGGTACAAGTGTAATATTGTACAAGCCGAGCACAGACACAAAGCCACAACACTAAACCCCACGTACACGTTTTCCAATATGCAATTAAATAGGACATTGCAACAACAGTACTTGTGTTACTTTTAAATGCACTTGCAATATTTTTTATAATAAATCCCCTTGACGTTACACATTTAGATAATAGGTTAATACTGGCTGCTAAGCGGTGTTTTAAAAATAAACTAATCATATATGAGAAACAATTATGATGCTTGGACAATGTCTGTTCATGATGAAGTGGTGCTACTTAAAAATCAACGAGAATCCAGTGCACAAGAAAGAACGTACAATTTGCAACAAAAACATCAACGATAGAATTCCTACCATCTGAAAACACGAGCACAATGTGAAAAAAACATTTATGACACAATTCTATTTGTATCTCAATGACACTTTCAACTTCATGTCAATTGACAAAGGATTAATTGAGAACTCTCCTGGATGAATCCTTCACCCCATGTTAGAGTGGCCTGCAGAAGGAGCCGTCACAGAACTACTTCTCAAATATCTTTGGAGGGGGCACCTTTCCACCCAGTCTACTACAGGGAGTAAATGTTCATTGCGTGACAGTCAACCCGATATAAATTCAGTGCAAGACCAAATAAAAAAAATTGGGTGCAGTCAGTGGTAACCAAGGGTGAGATCATACACTGCCCTGGATATCTGATTCTGATAAAGCCTGGCCCTCGGTAGTGCTGGCTCGGCACTCTTAAGCCACCCGGCAACCTCTAAATAATACGTGCAAAGATGAAAAATATATAAATATTAACATTTCACAGCATTATGGGAAAATATGAACTCACAGGGTAGCCTAACAGAAAATATTTACAGTATATACATAGCAGCTCAGTCTAGACAATATATTTGACATTTTACAGATTACGTTGTTAAATATTAAAGTTCAGTATAGCATCGATTCTACTTTATGCTAATTCCATCTTAACGAACAACCCATTTGTCAATCCGCTGCTGGATGAGGGCTCCCCATGCCGTGCAGGCAGTGAGGGTTATTTGGCCAGACTTCACCGCACTGGTCGGTGTGGGTTGGTAAAGGTGTGCGCAGTAGAGGACGTGGATCTTGCTGCACTGCCCTAGATCGCCTGTTCATGCATGGTGGTCACCCACACGAGCACTCTCCAGGATCAACACTGCTAAGCTTACCAAGTTTGAGAGGATTGGGTGAGCATAGCGTCGTCCAATCAGTGCCTCCCATGCCTTGAAGAACACCAAGCAGTATCAATTTCCTTTGATGGTCTTAAGCCAGTGGTGTACATTCCAATTACTTACATGGTAGACAACTCGATCCATGAACCAACTTTGAACTTTACACAAAACGGTGCTCACCTAGAGGCATTAATTGTATTGACCTCGAAGAGACGAATGGATGAACAGACTTAACCAGTAATTAATATGGGACCTTTCTTGCCAGTATTAAAATATAATATTGTTATTTTAGCAAGTAACTATATGCAGAACGTCAAGATTGAGAATTTGCTGGTCCACTGAGCTATTGCCACAATTGTTTATTTTTTTAATTGAGGCTCCGCATTTTATAGGCGAGCGAATGAGCTTGTCTGTATACCAAATCTCCCATTCAGCCTTGACAAACTCCAACAGTCCGTTGAAGGTCAATTTATGAGATCATCGCCAATGCAATTGATACCACCACACCTTTCCATTTGTTCCTTCTTTATGACAATACAAACACATAAGAACTACCAAAAGCAGCTTGGCCTCTAGTATTTCAACGACATTCACAGACACTTGAACAAGTTACTACTATCCTTTCAGCCACCAACCACCACCACATTATATCAACTGCTATATAATGTCTCATGCATAATCAGGCATTTCTATGACAAAATACGATTAATGAGCACGAGATTTATTTATTGGATGAACCAAACCTGACCAACCAAAGATGTATCTAAAAGTGACTATTACTATCAAGTCGCATCCTGAATTGCTGATTGATTAATTAAATTGACAGATCACATTCAATGTCCCTGTATTTAACCATTTCCCATTCCGATGACGTACGTGTACATCATGAAAACAAAACCGGAAGAAAAACGAAACAGAATAACTTTCATTCAAGATGTGAAGCTTTCGAGAAAGTTAAAGAATAACTTTATCGGTACCGAGGCTCCCACAAAGCCATGCAAGGCCACGCGGGAGGGCGTGGCCCAGTTTGGCACCAGCTCCAATAGAGTGCGGTTGTGACGCTACAGTTCCTTGCGGTGAGTAGTGTATTAAAAAAAACGGTGCTGCAACTCTCTGAATAAAATTAACGCTGAGGCGCTTGGGCGCTCAGAGAGTCAGCAGTGAACGGGACACCCACATCCTGCAACTTGCTGTCGTCTCAGAATGTAAAAGGGTTTTTAACAGCATTGAGTGGTGATTATCTCCATTGGCAATCCCTATGGCAGGAACCAATAATTACACTGTAACAATTTTTTTTGTTCCTGGGTAATAAGTGTTATTTCCTCATTGCTTATGCTTCAAAAGTACAGAAAATGGCTATAATTCCCCACAAACTTTGCTTTTGTGACCAGGACAGTGATATTTTGACATTTACCCATTTTCAATGAGAAAACGGGCGAATGTGTCTTTTTGTTCACATAGTAAAAAAAAAAACATGTGAATAAAAATTTACATGTATTTATACTAAAGTAATACAAAAATGACTACAAAAGATTTATGCGTATTTCGAGATTTACGAATATACTATAAATCACGTTGACGAATCAGCCCCCATCATGTTCTCGTTATACTGTCCTTGGTAGTGGTGTTCAAAGTCCAGTATATCCTGGTGGAAGCGCTCGCCTTGCTCCTCCGAGTACGCTCCCATGTTCTCCTTGAATTTATCAAGATGAGCATCAAGGATATGGACTGAGGGGCATCCTACAGCCCATCGTCCAATAGTTCTTCACCAGTCTCATCACACTGCTAAATATGGCGGTTGGTCGCCTTCCCCACTCTCTAGTGTATGTACTGCAGGATCAGGTTAGATTAAATGTAGTCGTTTATAGAGTACTTGGTAGTTTATACAGTAGTTGATATAGTAGTGTAGTAGTAGTAGTTTATAGTAGTGTATTGTAGTGTATAGCAGCGTAGATGCATAGAAGACGGGCGATTCAGGCAAGAGGCAGGCTTCGTGACTCACCGACTCAACTACCCAGCAAATACCCAGCACCCTGCAACTCCCCAGCAATTACCCAGCCGATATAAATGTACAGAGGTGGGACAAAGTCATTGTTATGCAAGTCCAAGTCGAGTCTGAAGTCATCAAATTCATGACTAGAGTCTGACTCGAGTCCAAGTCACATGACTCGAGTCCACACCTCAGAGGTGGGACAAAGTCATTGTTATGCAAGTCCAAGTCGAGTCTGAAGTCATCAAATTCATGACTCGAGTCTGACTCGAGTCCAAGTCACATGACTCGAGTCCACACCTCTGTAAATGTATCACTCGGCCTTAAGATTTGCATTTAACTGCTCATATAGGACCCACCACTGCGATCTCTACATTGGGTCAAACGTAACATCTCTTAATGATTGATGGCTTGTGCATAAGATCTTATTTATTCACGATGGTGTTTTAAGAACAAATGTGACCTAAGGTTCTCGCTGATTTACCAGCTTCACATTCCTTATTGCCGTACAAATACTGGAGGAAGGTCCTTTGCTGTTGATGCCCCCAGAGTCTGGAATGCTATCGCCAATAAACTGAAACTTGGATCATTACCCGTGAGATCTGCACTCAAAACTGTTCTTGAGAAGCTGTACACCCCCAGTTGCCACTGCTATGCTGAGTGGCCTGAAATCAAATGCATCTCTCCGGATATCTGCTGCAAAGTATGATCTTGAGTTTTGATTATAGTGTGTTGATCTTTAAAGGTGCATTGAAAATGTTTAATACTACTGCTGTTATGGAGTGACTCATGCTGCCAGCTATGGCTGCAAAGATGGGTCGTACATGTTATGTATATCGTTTATTGTTCAATTTGCATCACAGTTCCTATGATTACTATTACATTGTTTCTATAGCTTTATTTTGGTGATTTCAAAAACGTATGGTTAAGCCATGTTTGTTTGTTGAAGTACAGAACTGAAACTGAACCAGCTCCACGTAGTTTTCAACCTTGTGATTACACAGGAAGCCACGAACCACTGCGACAAAGCTGTTCCAAGCCGCTTTGTCCTTACTAGTGAGCTTCTTGGGGAATTCATTTCACTCCAGAATCTGTGGTCCGACGAAGACACCGGCTTTGACCTTTGCCTCAGACAGCTTAGGGAAGAAGTCTTGAAGGTACTTGAAGGCTGCCAACTCCTTATCTACGGCTGTGACAAATTGTTTCATAAGGCCCAATTTGATGTGCAGTGGGGGTCCACCAGTGGCTCTCACTTGACGTTGTTCCTCCCCACAGAGAACTCGGTCTGCTGTGGCTAGTCCCGCCTGTGGTAGTGCGCCTTGGTGTCTAAACCTTTTGTAGTAAATGTTGTATTACTTTAGTATAAATACATGTTCATTTTGATTCATATGTTGTTTTTTCTGACTTTATGTGAACGAAAAGACACAAATTCACCCATTTTCTCATTGAAAATAGGTAATTTCAAAATATCACTGTCCTGGTCACAAAAGCAAAGTTTGTGGGAAATAATAGCCATTTTCTGTACTTTTGAGGCATAAGCAATTACGAAATAACACTTACTACCCAGGAACAAAAAGTGTGTTACATAGTGTTATTGTCCAATGATTATAATGATTATAATCATTGAATAATTACTGTTGATTATCCATAAACTTATTTAATATTTTCCAAAAACGTAATCAAACTTTCTACAAGGAAAAAAAACCCAAGTTCACCTCGAACTGGAATTTTACATTATAACATTCCAAATGTGAATTAGTTGCTGGCGAGACGCTCACCAGTTCACATCACACCTCCCATCAGTACCCAGGTCTCGCCAGGGGAAGCCAATGATGCAACCACCATCCGGTGTCCATGCCGTTGGGGCTGCACTCCCAGTTATAAAACTTAATGTCGAGGTTCTGTCAGCAGCTTCATCAGCATTTATCACTTGTCAACATACCGCTAACATATTTGTCTACAGGAAACTCATTCCAACCGAGGAATCCATCCATTAAACACGTCGATGCCTTCAACTTAAAGTAAAACTTTTTTTTATTTTACCAGGTAAGGCCCACTGAGATGTAAAGCGACCTGGTCACAAATTATTGCTCAACGAAGTGGCTTATCACGTGGAAATGTATCACAGCCAAATACTAAAACACACGTTGATTCTAAATGTGGGGGGAAAAACCGGAGGACCCAGAGGAAAATCCATGTGACCACAGGGAGGCACACGCAAACTCCAAATATATAACAGGCGTCAGGGTCGGGATCGAACCCATGACCTCCTTCATACCAGGCGAGGGAGTTAACATCCCGCCCCTGTAGCGTCCCTCATTCCAAGCATTACTCGAGTGGTACGGGTCATCCGGCGACCCAGTGGTATCAGACCATCTCACTGAATCACCAGATGTCCCAGATAGGAGGCGGCAACAGAGGAGCTTGGCTTCACCAGATTTAGTCGGAAATGGGGAGTCTTAATTCGTCGACCTGGAAGCGGCTCGGCAGCCACCGGTACAAAGTTGCGCAACGTTCACGTCAAACCAAGATCTACCACAAGTTAAAAGTCGTCGCCCTTTCCCAAACTGAACAAAGACTTAACCCTTGCTGCGGGCAAGTGGCCGACATCACTGCCCTCCGTGTGCTTCAAAGTCTTGCAATGTCCAATCCTCCAACATAGATCACCAGAAGTGGAAGATATCCTGAGTGTCAAACAAAGCTGGCTTCTGACGAGGCTACAGCACATATGAACAAGTGCTGATGCCTACAACATGAATCGAGAACTTTTTTTTTTACTTGAAGACATTGGCAGCTTTACTGAACCTGACAACCGCCTATGACAGTCGGGAACAGTGGCCTCCTTAAGATGTTCAGAATCCTGCTGAGATGTGTGGTTTATATCATCAAACTACTTCTGCATAACAGGTGGTTCAGAGTATACATGGGGAAAAACAAATGCTCTGAGGAGGTAAATCCTTAGCCACATGCTTGTAGCTACCTTGTTTAACCACTACACCAACAACCTCCCACACACCCACTAAACGATGACACCAACAGGCTGCCAGGCTGCTGGAAGATGCAGCGTCTTCTGCCAAGTGTTACCAAGATGGCGTCGAGCGTGTTACATCGTCACAACGCTAGTGCTGCCACGAACTGAACATTTGCCTCAAAAGACAAGAGGGTGAGACACGATCCGCACATTAGGCAATGCGCGTCATCTCAGGAGCTCATCAACCAACTCCCATCCCCCTTAGCCACCAGTTCCATATATCCGTCGGAAGGCTGCGAATGGCACGCTACCGGGAGAGGATTTGCGACAACCAAAGTCTGTGCTGCACGTTGCTTTCTTTAGCCCACCTACTGCTGCACTGTCATCACGGCACCCACCGTGGACCAACGTACCACGCCAGGATGTACCATCAAGGTCTTCGTGGCACGAGTGGCTTGCAACGTCAACAGGAACCGAATCCTCGTGGACGACCCCACAATCTGCCCAGCTGGGTTTGAACTTCGGCGCCGTGCCTTGACTCTGCTCAAACCAGGTTCCAAACTGGCCAAGGCCTGTTTGTAGCAAGCCTGCACTGGATGGGCTTACGCAACAACCAGAACTGTAACAGCGGCACAATACAGACAACGAAGCACATGGTTGAAAACTATCCACCAACCAAGCTTAAGGTGGTCTGAGGACCGTGCATTCTGCAAATGATAAAAAACAAAATTACATTGTATTGGAGCACTTATTGGAAATAATAGCGGTCAAAAGAATGAGAACATAGAGGCTGATTTTGACCCGTTTAAATTAACAAATTGGCATGCAAAAAAACTAAACCCTCACTTGAAAATAAAAAAAAATTGTATCACTCCAATTACAGACTCGTCAAACACTTAGATGTAGTTCCCCATGATTAGATAATTGGAAATAGTGCTCTTGCAGTCATGTACAGGAAACACACACATGTGACGGCTCTAGTTGAAGACCTGGCTGCCAGCAGCCATGTGCTGTATCTTGGCAGGCAGCAGAGTGACCATTTCCCTGCTGAGCTCCAGCTCGGGCTGTGCCACTTCCTCGACGTCTGGATTCTGGTCGCAGTAATCCACCACATAACGGTAACACTCGAGCGACAGGCGCGCGTTGGCAAGCCTGCTCGCCGTGTCGGACACCATCAATTTGCTGTGCAGCCGACCCATGCGGAACTTTGCCACAAGCGCCGGGCGGACCACGTCGATGTCCAGCGTTGCTGGCGTTTCGCCCCGCGAGTTACAGAGCGAGTCCAGGAACTTCTGGTAGTGCGTAAGGGCCGCGCGTGCCAGCAGATTGATCTTCTTGACGGTGTGTGGCTGCAACTGCTCCGCGTGGTTCGCCAACGCCACCTTGAGATCCATCATGTCGTAGTACGTGTCAGCCACCTCAAAGCACAGCTGGCGACATGCCGTCAGGTAGAACTGGGGGTTGAGCTGCGTGTAGAGGCCCTCCAGCATGTCCACACGTCGCTTCTGCATGCGGCAGCGCCGCTCCAGATCTTCCTCGAAGAAGGCGAGTGCTTTGAACAGTGCACTCTGATCGCGCACTATCTGCACGTAGTCACTGGCATGGCCGTCCAGCACGAAGAATTCCTTGGCTTGTGTCACACGTGCCTGCCCAAACAGGAATATTTCTCGCGCCTCCTGGAAACTGAGTGCTTTGCGGCATGGAACACGCTCTTCTGCTCCCGCCAAGGCCTCCAACATATCGGCAGCACTCACCAGGCTGCTGAACTTTATATCTGCACCGTCGCTACCTTCATTGTTTCCATTCCAGTCCCCGTCCATGTCACCATTACCCTGCTCGTGCTGGCGCTGACGCTCTGCGTGCAATTCTGACTGCCGCTCAGTGTCCAGCTCGCTGATGTCATCCTGCAGATACATGTAGAAAAGGTCACATTTAATGTTTACTTTAAAAAACAATGAGTTCAAGAACTACATCACATACTATCTGCCATAACGTTCAAGTACATATTTTCCTGCACTATGATTACATTAAAAAAAATTCGACTCAATGCTTTTAACCATGTTACTTCAAATCAAGCTGACCCAAATTTTGCATTTCAGCAAACGTGAAAGGGTTTGCATTCCTCATACTAAAGAAATGAATTCACTCTTTCCCGAAACAATTTACATCTCCCGACATGTAGACCTAAAAAGTTTTCAAAGAAGCATGAAGAGGCAGGCGCACGCTTGGAATAACTATGGCACGGGAAGAAGAACACGTGGATTTGAGAATCTGCCTGTTAAGAAAAGTGAGCTTGGGTAGGACACGTCGCTAGAAGGGATGAAGACAGCCAAAGGAGGAAACGTGCCCGAGAGGGCAGGCATTGTGGAGATGGAGCAATGGAATCAGCTCATGTGTCATAGCAAGATGGTTACATCGCGAGACTGTGAAAGATTGGCGATGGCTTGAGGAGGGCTTCATCCTGTAGTGGATATTTCATGGCTATCGGTGATGTCTGTAACCAGATCATGAACAATTTCCAGATTTTAAAGGAATATTCATTTTTATTGCTACCTACTGATGATATTGCAAAATCACAAACATTATTCTTGCTAAATCACATACATTAAGAATAATTTAAATTATTTAATTAAATCACACACTAACCTAAATATACGGCATGTACATAATAAAGGTGTTTTTGGGTTCGATCACGTAAATATAAATGTGACGTAAACCCACCACAATCAATGAGTAAGGTTTGTCACATATTGGCACGTTTTGTTTACGTGATAAACCATACTAAATTGGCTCTGTCGGGTGGTGGTGGTTTAACGACACATTTATATTTATGCCATATAACCCAAAACACCTTTATTATGGATAATAATGTGAAACTATATGACATATACTTGCTAATCAAGAATGGCATAGCTTAATAAAACGATAGAATTAATCTTTAAAAATGTGAAACACTGAGCAATGAATTACTCTTGCTTAGCTTTTAGCTTGCTTGCCTTGGTGGTTTACAGAGATGAGAGTTGCTGGCATGCAGGCCTGGGAATAAAGTATCCCCCAAATCGCTGTACCTACCTCATTAAGTCAAATGGAGCATTACAGCTAAAGGTAGATTTATATAAAATGTTATTGAATGTAATTGTTATTGTAATAAGTCGACACTGGAGTGGCTGATGAGAACTGTGAGCTGTTTGAGTGGTGCAAGTTCGAGCATTTTCTCTGTGAAGTGGTGCAGTAACCTACGCAGGTGGGCAGATTGTCGACCATGCAGATACTGAGATGACTGCCAAAATCGAGCATTCAGTCACGGTGCATGCGCGACAATCAATTGGGAGTGACTGAGCTGCGATAGGCTTAACGTGCACATGTGGAGAAGTGCAGTATCACTCGTGGAGTGGCAGAATTGCCACCTTAAGATTGGTGGGACTTGCACACATGGAGGGGGAATGACATCTCCCCAGCAGGCGATTCATTGCTTGCACCCCACTGATTGATTTGGCATGCATTTTAGACCAAGCAGCATATTGTTTAGAACTGTGTGCAGAGTTATAATTTAGAATAATTCGGTACTCAGCCAGGTGTAATGGTATTAGGTGGAGATGCTGACTCATTGGATAGGGATGACCAGGGGCTGTGTCTAAAAGGAGACCTCACAGCACAGATAACACACAGCGTTGGTGTACGGTGCTTTTTTCTGGAATTTTAAGATGTTTTCTTTTTCATGTTTTTGTTTAATGTTTGTTACGGTTGCACCCGATTCAATAGTCGAATGGCTCACAGGGCTATACCTAATAAATGAACTTGAACTTGGAGACACCAAGCTACAGTGGAGGTGAGTTCCACAACCAACAGTATGCACAGCAGAAGTGGGGATTGCAAGAGAGCTGAATCAAACTCAACATCCACTCGAAACTGTAATCACAGCTTTATGCTGCGATTACGATCCTGCACTACACAGTAGTTTGATGGTATAGTTTAACCCTTTCCCATTCCCATGATGTACAAGTACGTAGAAATGTCACCAGTTTTTCTTCCGATTCAGAAGCAAAACTAAAATAAAATAAGGCCATGCGGTAGGGCGTGTGGCACAGTTTGACGCCAGGTATCATAGAGTGTGGTCGTATTGCTGCGGTTCTCTTCGGCGAGTACAATGTCTTTAAAAACAGTGGTGCTACGCCTCGCTAAATAAAATTTACGCTGGACCACTTGCGTGTTTTGAGATTCGGCAGTGAACAGGACACCCACCCTGCAACTTGCAGTCGTCTCCGAACGGGGGAAAAGGTTAATGTGCTATACACCAGCGTCCTTGAAGTAATAGGGATTCCCAAAATGAAGGCGAGGGCCAAGATCAAGTCTAAGGCAGAGCAGGAACAGGGCTAAGTAGAAGCAGCAGAGGGCTGCCCCCGAACACCAGCCGGTGACAAAGAAGATGCAGCGTTACCCGACTTGCATTGTGGAACCCCTTTTCTTCTCTGGAATGGGGGGGATGAAGCATTGGGGAACTGGATATTGCAAAGCGTGGTGCTCGATCGTGTGGAATTGTCGTGGCAACTGGCATTGCGTGCTGAGTTGTTGGTGTGGGGTGCCATCTGGTGGATTGTGGAGGTGGTGCGTGAGGTAATCTTCATGATGACAAGTGGGTGTTGAGTGGAGTGGCAGTTTTGGTTTGAGTGATGATAGAAGGCCACGTGGGCTCCACATTGATCTTCAGACTTTAAAGTCTAAACCAAGGCCATGGGGAAATCGCAAGTATGCGAAACCGAAGTGTTGTCAGGATTACTTTTGCAGATAGTAGGGACTTCTCCATATCTGAAAAGCTAACCCAAGCAGCCTTCATATTACCATTGTGACCTCGATGGGGATATTGAGTAACAAAGATGCTGGTTCACTTTAGCACAACCGAACATTAATTTCACACCACCCTAATGCCACCTACTGATGCATTCGTGAACCTCATTCTCCTAAATGATGCACTAAGCAGCACTTGTACAAAACCAATTATCTCCCTTGTTAATTCATATTACAGTATCTGTGGAAAGTGCCGTTGGCAAGCACCTGATGTCAGTGTAGAACAGTATTTGGCATTCCATATGATTCTGACGCTGGGGTACAGTTTTCTATTACAATATTTATTAAAAAAGAAAAAACAAACTAAAAAAAAAGAAACTTTAAATTTTAGCAGGTAAGACCCACAGCTATATAGCTCTTTTTCAGAAGCGATCTGGCCACAAATGTTAGCTCAACAAAGTGGTTTATCGTGTGCAAATGTATAGCAGCCAAATTCTTAAACACGTTTCTAAATGTGGAGGGAAAAACTAGAGGACCTGGAGAAAAATCCATGCGACCATGGGGAGAACATGCAAACTCCAAATATACAGCATGCGTCACAGGGTGGGGATCGAGCCCATGGCCTCCTGTATACCAGGTGAGGTAGTTAACATCTCACCACCGCAGCACCCTGTGGCAACTTAACCATCCCGGCAGTTTACATAATTCTTCTTTGCTAAAACTTGTAATTACGCTAGGAGTTACTCCCAAAGTGAACCTTAATCCTAACGACAGACTTGACCCTGTCTCTAATCCTGACACCAATCTTTATCCAAACCTTTACTCTTACCCAAACCACATAATTGCTATGATATTACTTGTACACCGACGTCCGAATAACATATTCGGAGCCTGGAGACCAAATTCAATGTGCTCACACTGCTCGTCCCTCCCGTGGCACGCACACAGCATGTTCCATCACTCACACAAACAGGGCCGACGAGCACTACCAAAGTACGATTCCTAGTGACGCCAATGCCACTCTCCCCAAGCGAACCGGATCATTGTAGACTCTGTTACAGAGATCAATGATGATAAAGTCATCATGTATTTGAGCGATGTCGCCAAGTTAATTGTGTGCTTGTGTCTTAGTTAAGGGCCCACCTCTAGCTGCTTGCGCGAGTCCTCCAGCAGGTTCAGGCAGTACTTGATCCAGCAGCGCGCCACTTCCGCCTGTCGTTGGGCAATCCTCTGCGCGCAGTCCATATCTTCCGCCTCTGCAATAATGTCACATAGCAGTGTATTTACAAAAATAATGCATACAGTGCACATCCTTCATTCAAAACTAAAATCCCATTTAGGCAACAAAGTTGCCATTTCAGTAATATGCATAGGTGTAGCACAGTTCCATTGGTGGCAGAGCCAACATTGGAAAGGCCACACTCCAATGGTATGGACAAACCTTTCCACAGGATGGCCACTATAATTATACAGTGAACCCTCGCAATGCGCGAGTTATGAATTTGTGCGGTTCGCATATTCACGAGTTACTAAATGTATACTAATTCCCTATTCGCAACTCGTCGGACTCCAGTATTCGCGAGTGTACGACGTGCCAGACCACCGACACCGGGGAGGTGTGCGCAGAATGTTGTTACATTTGAAACTGTCTGCGAAGATTAGGCACGACCCCTCGGCTGCCCGCTTAGTCCTTAGTCTCACAGTAATCGCGCTCCGAACTCGCGATTGTGCATTTTTTGTTCTACATGTACTTCAGTCAACTCGTACATTTTGGTATAAACAGGTCGACTATAAGGTCCATTAAAAAGGACGCGAATTAGATCAGGGAAATTATTGTGGCGAGCACTCCCCAGTTGTACTAAAATGATAACAACTGTGCGTTATAAAACACCTGCATCTCTCAAGAAGTCATCCTTCTCAATTCCTCACCATCAACACCACCTTGATCGTCGTCAAATCATCATCATCAAAGGTAATAAAAACACATTGTTCTTTATAATGTATTATTTATGAATTGTAGTGATTGTTATTAAACATTTACCATTCCCCCCCCCCCCCCCCACCCATGTTCACTCTTAATAGGAACATAACACCATTTTCCCATTGGAACAAGGTTTCTGCATTCGCAAATTCTGTATTCGCGAGTGTTTTCAAAAACGTAACCCTCACGAATAGAGAGGGTTTACTGTACTCCAATAGAAGTGTGGTCACCATATCCACGCCTCTATATAAGGAACAAAACAGTCAGACTTCTCCACAAATCTGGCTGTCGCCCGATGAAGCTAGTTGTAATTACTGGCGAAATGTTGTACTCAGATTGTAAATGTTGTGGCTTGACTCTCCAACACACCAGTGTGCTGTACTAGTGACGAATTGGCATGTTCTGTTTACGTGACTACCCTTACTAGTTGGCTGTGTCGGGTGGTGGCGGGTTTTAACAACAGATTTATATATTTACGCGATCTAACCCAAAAAAACACTATTATGTTTGTTATTTTGGATAAAAATGAATGAAGAACCTGAATGGAATACAGAGTGGAGAACATTTGGCACACTTACCCTCGGTGTCCACAGGAGTCTTGGCCTGACCCAACACCACCTCTGCGGCTGCCAAACAGTGCCGGCCCACGCGGTACCGTTGCTGTAACAACCACCAAGAAAACCACGTGTGCATTCAATTCCTGCAACGCTGACCAGCGTGAGTTTGTCCTTATAAAAAAAGATACTTCCGATCGTCTCTCCATATTAAACATTACATTTCTTGAGGGCGCAATGCTCCTGTTGTGATTGTTAAAATGGGTTCAATGAAAATTTTATTTAAAAAAAGTGTTTTCTTTTTGTTTCACAACCTATTTTTAAAACAAGCTACATTTTTATATTCTTTGGGTCTTTCGGTAAAGTCACGTAGATCTTACATTAGCATGCTAATTTCTCACATTAACATCACTAGCCCCACCCACTTAGTTTATGACCCTTGGGCTACACCCATATTAAACCTTTAAAACAGTCTGCTTTTAGCAGCTTTCCCCCTGTTTTCCTCCTGATGACGATCGCTTGTGTTGTGATCGAACCGTCATAGTTTTTTGTTCATTTTATTTTTAATAATTTGAACCTATCTACGTGACTTTACCGAAAGACCCAAGGAATATTAATTCCTGCAGTCACGAAAGCATTAAGTCAAGAAGCTAGATTTTGTTGATGAAACCATAAAAGCAAATAACCATACTCTTTGGTTATTTCGGTAAAGTCACGTAGATAGAAAATAAATAATAGTTTACGACGTTTTGATCGCAACAACAAGCAATCGTCTTCAGGTGAGACAAGCATGCCGTTGTGACGAGGCATTGTATCGATCCGAGAAGGGGGGAGGGGAGGCCGTAACAGGCGAGAGGGTGGGGGTGAAATTCGAAGAGGGCTTAGGTGATCTATTGTTTATTTTCCTATCTACCTGACTTTACCGAAAGAACCAAAGAGTATGAATTCCCGCAGTCACGAAAGCTTCAAATCAAGAGCAAATAACCATTTCAGAGTTTCTTTAAACAAATGCTGCTGAATAATATTGGTCTGAAAAGCCAATATGCTGGTGGATTAAAAAAAAAGTATGTGGAGAGATTAAGAGGTGTATGTCATTATATTCCCTCTTGTGGTTCAGTTGATTTCATGCATACGAGATTGAGATTTTAACATGCAAAGAATTGTAATCACTAAAAATAGAATGAGAGATGTATGGTAAATATTACTGGAGAGGTGGTGAAATTAAGGGCAGATCTAAATTTTGTGTGCAGCCATTGATGACTGGGCTAAGACCCTCAAACTCTCACTATACAGTACTTGAGAACCATCTCTAATCACCGTGGCCGCCTGGATTAAAACCCAAGTTCAGTGATGTTATCAGTGCCAGGTGAGCGTGTGGACCTATAAGCCACCTGGTAACATCAAAATTAACATCAAGTATTGTCAACCTACAATAGAAAAATATTCCGTATTACTTTGTAAATGTATTATTTTTAAATATATATAAGTGATTTACATTTGCTCCACCCCGCATTAAGTAACAGACATAACAATTCAATCTAGTTATTTTCTTTGGGTTAATTCACCGATAAAAATGTAGCTTACATTTAAGGCAAAACTGTATAAACAATAGATTTTTCAAAGCAGGCAGGTACCACTTGACCGAATCCAAAACAAATGTGGATCAGAGGTTTTGAAGGAAAAAAAAGAGGGAGATTGTAGATTAGATCAAGGGACATGCGGGAGTATTACTGAAAACATAAATGTACGCACGTGGGCCACGTAGTACTGGGAGAGAGTGGCGGCATTGGTCGCCCACTCAACAGGGTCGTAGTGCTGCCACTGGAGTTGACGCTGCAGTGTCAAATGGCAGTAGCGTGCAGCCCTCTCGTTCTCCTCGCCGCTCTTGTACGCCTGAGCCAGGTAGTAGAGGGTGTGGGTGTGCGCAAGCTCAAACCTGGACCAGAAACACACACAGGTTTGGGTTTGTCACGGCCACTTCATCATCTATCGTTCATCAAACATGTAACCTCCGATCGGCACGGTTGGCTAAGTACGGTGCACAAGAAGTTCTACATACATACAACACTTTAAAAAAAACTTCTTAAGTTGGTTTCTGCAATACTCTTACATATAAGGCAGCAATGTGCGCCGTAATACTTACCATGATGTTAAAAGAGTGGCAGAAAAATGCTGGAGAAACGCCATACGTTGGTTAAAGCTACATGTTGTAGAGAAGCGTTGGTTCTGAGATATCATGTCCCACGTGAGAAACCTTCACCTGCACTGCCATGGAAAGTGTCCACCACCTTTCACTCCCGTTCCACGCTGCCCAGCATGTCTCCACTCATCAAGTCTTAATGTTGCTTACTCGTGCACAGTGGTGAACATGGGTCAATTAATCCACTACTCACAACAACAATGGTTACCTGACTGTACTGAAACACAATTCTCAAACTAGGAGAATATCTAAAACAGCTTACATCATAGTGTGGTAGTTAGTGGCAGGGAGCCACTGTCCTCCCAGTGTTTGTGGATGAGAATTAGTCTCATGGAAGCTCATCTGCCTTCAGTGAATGTACGACCACCCAAACACCACCATACTATAGTGATTTCAATTGACCTACTGGAAACTTGTCTGCCAATGGTAGTGAGTGTTGCACTATAGAGATGACGCATGCCTAGACCAGAGCCCCACTTTCACCTGGTTTTCTACTCATCATGTTGGTCATATGAAATTTAAGGACAGGGGCAGAAGGCCATAATCAGGGTAAGTGTTCAAAATATGCACCCCATATATGCATACCATTTTTTTAACACATTTTCCACAAATGTAATTTTTTTAAATCACAATTGAATGTGTTTATGTTGACAAACGCTACTCAACCTTGTACCTCACACGCCTTGGAGAAAGACATTAATGGCAGTCCGTAGCAGGGGAAACATAGATGCATTTTACCTTCAAAGGGGTTCATCAGAGAACCAGCTGCCAGCCATAACGGTTCCTAGGCAATGGTAAATCCCTTGTGTGGTCTCTGCACATATAAAGTTTCCCTGCTTGGATTATCAATAAGATGGCATTCATTTTTTTTGGTTGACCCTAAACCAGCGGTATGAATTATACCAGGGGTCGGCAACCAAAATAACAAGAAAAGTCTATTATTTTCGGATTCTGTAAAAAATTCAACATTTCAAGAGCCACAATGCGTGTGAATACGAGATGGTGGGTCCTTAATAAGTAACGTCACGAAGCGGTCCTTAAAGAACCGCATGCGGTTCCGAAGCCACAGGTTGCCGACCCCTGAACTATCGAGTCCCATGGTAGGAAGTTTATGACATATACAACAGTACCTGGCATTGGGACAATTTACCTTAATCTTCGTTGTTGCTCCGAGCATTTGTCATCTTCTTTTGTAAACAAGTCGTGGATGTCTAATGGAGGAGTTCCAACCTGCAATAAAGTAAAAAAAAACACTTTGAATAAAAAGGCAAAGCAGTACCCAAAATAAAAAAAAGTTTTATCAACACCTTAACTGAGAAAAATAGCACCACCAATTTGTTGACTTTTAGTAAACCCTGTTTTTACGCAGGCAGTCTGTGCTCACCTCTTTCATGAAGGTCTTGTAAAGGGCCTCGGAATTCTCAAGAAGGACTCGTGCCTTGCTCATGTCGTCCCGGTTTGCCCACAGAATGCCCAGCTGATTCTGTGGAATGGACAATAAAACGTGTTAATTTAAGAGTGGCAATGTCTTTTTCCCTCAAAATCAGAAATGTAGAAGGTAAAGTAATATCACAGTCCAAATTGTGCTTTATAAAATTAGGTCCATATACTTTGAAGGGCTCGTTAAGGCTTTGGTTGATCTATATTTTGTGTTGAATGACCAACTTGCTGACCAACCCATACTGAACATCTGATTCTGACCATAATTCACCACTCTGGTCAGTGGGACCATAGCTATCGGAGTATAGAGTTTGTCCAAAAATGTAATTTTGCTGGACGGTCTGCTGATAATGCAACAACCTATAACACCTGTGTTATGCATGATGGGGAAAACGAATAGATTCAGTAGAACGTCGTCGCATGTCCGACCCATATGGCGTGATGTTCTCTTCATCGCCTGGTATGCTGGAGGTCGGGGGTTTGATTCCAACCTTGACACCTGCTGTATATTTGGAGTTTACATGTCTCTCTCTCTCTCTCCCCGTGGTCGTATGAATTTTTTTCTCCGGGTCCTCCACATTTAGAAACGTGCATTGAGATTATGAAGATTATTTTGCTGCTATGAATTTCCACGTGATATTAAGCCATTTTGTTGAGCTATCACGTGGCCAGGTAGCTTCTGAAAAATAAGTTCACACATCACAGGGCTTTACCTGGTCATATTTTTTTTATGTTAAGTTTTATTTGTATATTTTAAATGATTTGCTTACCTTTCCGAAACTTGGCACTCCTATAAAAAGCACTCCTATCGTGTTTTTTGTACCGTTTGTTGGAACGCTCTGACCCGAGAAAAAGAGCTTCACAGCTCATCGGATTTCTCCACGGATGGGACTGAATGATCGCGCGTGGGCTCTCCATCGATGAGAGGGCCGTGAAGGTGCGTGACATGGCAAGTGACCACCCCCCCCACCACACCCCCCCCACCACACCCCCCCCACCACACCCCCCCCACCACAACCCCACCACACCCCCCCACCACACCCCCCCACCACACCCCCCCACCACCCCCCCCCACCACCCCCCCCACCCCCCCCCACCACCCCCCCCCCACCACCCCCCCCCACCACCCCCCCCCCCCACCACCCCCCCCCACCACCCCCCCCCCCACCACCCCCCCCCACCACACCCCCCCACCACACCACCTGCGCGTGCATGAGCACGGAGACGGCGTCGGGCGCCAGCCCCTCTGCGCGCAGGCCGCTCAGGCACGCCTCCAGGTGCTCCTCGGCGCCCGCCAGCTCCTCCGTCTCCATGAGGTTCACCCCGATCTGCAGCTCCAGCGCGGCGCTCAGCAGGCGCTCCCCGCGACCTCCCGGAGCGGCAGCCCCGGTGGCCTCCCACCCCTCGCCCTCCTCCCGCTGCTGCTGCCGCTGCTCCTCCTCCTCCTCGTCGCCGCCTCCTCCTCCTCCCCCCTCGCCGCGCCCGCTCAGCGCCCGCTTGAGCTCGTAGAGCAGCTCCCGCGCCGCGTACTTGGACTTGAAGGGCTCCCCGGGCGGGTCGCGCTTCGCCTCGACCTCGGAGAGGCGGCGCGCCTCCGCGTACTTGACGCGCCACTGCGCGAACTCCTCGCCGCCAACGCCGCCGTAGCCGCCGTCGCCTCCTCCATCGCGGTGCTCCATTGCAGAGACGCGGTGGCGCGATGACGTCATCACGCCCCAGCGCAACCGCGTCCACAGCAGCGCGGCCAGGGTGACGTGATGACGTCATCACGCCCCAGCGCCACCGCGTCCACAGCAGCGCGGCGAGGGTGATGTGATGACGTCATCACGCCCCAGCGCCACCGCGTTCACAGCAGCGCGGCCAGGGTGACGTGATGGCGTCATCACGCCCCAGCGCCACCGCGTCCACAGCAGCGCGGCGAGGGTGATGTGATGACGTCATCACGCCCCAGCGCCACCGCGTTCACAGCAGCGCGGCCAGGGTGACGTGATGACGTCATCACGCCCCAGCGCAACCGCGTTCACAGCAGCGCGTCCCCGCGGCCCAGGCGAGGGTGACATGATGACGTCATGTCTGTCAATGGGCAACCGCGTTCAACGTCCCCACGGCCCGGACGAGGGTGACTTAATGACGTCATGTCGGTCAAACGCACCCGCGTTCAACGTCCCCGCGGCCCGGGCGAGGGTGACTTAATGACGTCCCCGACAGCCTTGAGCTCTTGTGACGTAACCGCGAAAACGTCACCACGGGCAGGGCGATGGAATACGATGACATCATCACGGCGTAGCATGGGGACGTCACCACGTTCAACGTCACCACGGCCCATGCGAGGAGATTCGATGACATCATCACGGCCCAGCGTGGACGCCCTAATCACGGTGACGTCACCACGGCCCGGGCGAGCGGTGGGCGCGATGACGTCAGCGCGTCACCACGCTCGAGCGTGGTGACGTCACAGGGGATGTCACTTCCGAGCACAGCGACGTAGTGACGTCGCCACTGCCGATCTCGCGTCGGCTATCGACTCTTGTCGACTTGGTCGCCTCGCTCAGTCTGCGATCGATTGTATCGACTATCGATTCTCGCAGCCCGGTGTTGGGCGTCCTCAGTTGTTGCCTGTCCCATTGCGCCATTGGGCTTAGCGGCAAAGCGAACTGCGATTCTGTAATTTCGAGGTGGTTATAAAACGAGCATTTTATAACATCGCAAATACGATGGGGTTTGTACAATGTAAGCTTGCGCGATGTCGTGCGTAAATTAAGAGTGTTTAAACGTACGCGAATCAGGCCGTCTTCGGACACCCCGTTTGTGGATGGGGAGGGGTCCTAGCTGTCTTGGACCCGGCTGGGATGTCAAGAGAGTCACACGTGCGCAGCCTGCCGCTCGCAGGCTCCCTCCGCGCTACTCACCAGGCTCGGTACTCACCAGGCTCGCTACTCACCAGGCTCGCTACTCACCAGGCTCGCTACTCACCAGGCTCGCTACTCACCAGGCTCGCTACTCACCAGGCTCGCTACTCACCAGGCTCGCTACTCACCAGGCTCGCTACTCACCAGGCTCGCTACTCACCACACTCACCAGGCTCACCCCTCACCACACTCACCAGGCTCACCCCTCACCACACTCACCAGGCTCGCTACTCACCACACTCACCAGGCTCACCCCTCACCACACTCACCAGGCTCGCTACTCACCACACTCACCACACTCGCCAGGCTCCCTCCTCGCTACTCCCACACTCACCAGGCTCGCCACTCACCAGGCTCACACCTCACCACACTCACCACACTCACCAGGCTCGCTCCTCACCACACTCACTAAGCTCACCCCTCACCAAACTCGCTACTCACCACACTTGCCAGGCTGGTTAGACACCGCATTCACTCGACTCGCCACCACACCCCAACACACTCGCTACACACCGACAGCCACCGCGCTCAGGTGCCGCATTCCGCTTGGCCGCTCCGGTGATCTCCCTAACCCCCTCCGTGTCCCCTGACCTCCACGCTCACGAAGAGACACAATACTTACGGGGGGGGTCACACCATCACTGAGCTCCCCGTGCGTGTCCGCAGGCTCCGTGTTAACCGAAGAGACGCAGCATGAGCGTGGTGCGGCGCGGCTCGGCCGGGCTCCTGCTGCTTCGCGTCGGCGTCTGGAGTCGCCGAGTCGTCGCCGCCGCCTCCTCCTCCTCGGCTTCCCCGCGTGGCCCGGCGTGGCTGGCCCCGTCGGCCGTGGCCTGGGGTGGTCGCTGCCTCCCTGCCTCTGCCTTCTCGTCGGGGCCGAGGCCGGCCGACACGTCGCTGTTCGTGCCGCTGGTCGTGCAGCCGGCGGTCGGCGGCAGCGAGGAGAACATCGGAGCCGAGCTCACGCAGTCACTCGACAAGAGTGAGCCGAGAGGAAGCTCTGGAGTTTTAAACAAATGTGTTATATTTTGATTTAAAGCTTTCGTGACTGCAGGGATTCATCTTCTTGGTTCTTTCGGTAAAGTCACGTAGAAGGGAAATAATAAAATTATTAAAAATAAAATACAATTCTCACGACGTTTCGGCCACAACGCAAGCAGCCGTCCTCAGGTGAAGAACAGGTCTGTCGGAAAGACAGCGTCTGAATGACGTTTCGACTGCAACACAAGCAATCATCATCAGGTGTGAAATCCACAGAAAGAACATTTTATGATGATTGCTTGTGTTGCAGTCGAAACGTCGTGAGAATTTTGATTGTTTTTTATTATTTTATTATTTCACTTTTACGTGACTTTACCGAAAGAACAAAGAAAATGTATTATCTTTGAGTTCTTTCGGTGAAGTCACGTGGGAAGAAAATGAATTAAATGATAGAGTACGACGTTTCGATTGCAATACAAGCAACCGTCGTCAGGTAGAACTACATTTGAGAGAGAGAAAAAAAAAGATTTTCTTGACTTTACCGAAAGAAGCAAAGAGTAATTCCTGCAGTCACGAAAGCTTCAAAGCAAATATATTCTCATGAAATCAGTCGCGAGATCTGGAAGTGTATTTCGTGGCTTGGCTTAAACATCACGACAACAATTTGACGGCGGAGCAAATCGTGTTGATGGGTTGGGGTGTGTGGGGGGGTGGTGCTGGTGCGTGAGAAGCAGCAGTGGGAACCAACGTGCCTGGTCCGGCTGGAGTTGTACGTGGAGACTGCAAATGCAGTGCATTGGAATTCTACAGGCAGATTAAGGCAACCATAACATAGGTTCTTTGGGTTAGATGGCGTATAAATGTATAAATGTGTCGTTCAATCCGCCACCACCCGACGCAGCCAATTAGTAAGGTTTGTCACGTAAACAGAACGTGGCCAATTCGTCACTAGCATAGCACTAACCGGTTGTATGTCGCCCGGCTTACGGTGTTTTTGCCTTGCCCATGTCATTTCAAATGCCTTTGCTTTCAACAGTATAGCAATCAACTGAAATTGCATAATAACTAAATAGAGAAGGTGTGAAGCGAGTCGTAAAAAATAGGACCAAATATTACCCGCGAAACGTCGAACTCGAATTGTAATTGTTGTGAGTTTACTCTCCAACACACCGGGGTGCTGAACTATTAACGAACTGGCATGTTTTGTTTATTACTAATTTGCCGTGTCAGGTGGTGGCGGGTTTATCGACATATTTACGCAATATAATAAAAAAACCTCAGGAATATATTTTCGAAACATATGACTATAATCTGTGCGAGTGACGCTGGGAAATGCATCAGAATGCGTAACTTGGCCAGGTAGTGAAGTGGGGACAGAATTAAAATGCATTTGGAAGCTGAACTTAATAATGTAAAGTAACGATCCCTGTAGTGTGATCTACAGAACACGTGGTTTCAATCAGTACATATTATCTGCTCACGGAATATGGATGAGAAATATGGTCACAAAGACACCAGCACAAAGAGAGAGAAGTTAACGCTCTGAAGTTTTAATTACTTTTGAGATGCAGGAAGCGAAATGCATGCAAGTTTGAAACAGCGTAGTTGACTCAAAAAAAGTTAACTTGTTGCCGGAAGGGATGATGGCTGGTGGTCGAGACTAAGATTATAATGGCAGCCGAAGTAGGGAAATCGCTCAACGTGACAACTGTGGAGATGGCGACTGGATATTGTAAATGTTGATTTGAAATTTTTTTTAATTTAATTACAGCAGTTCCACTGCTGGATTATTTTTTCCGCCTGAGGACGGCCGCTTGTGTTGCGATCGAAACATCGTGATATATTATTATTTTTTTACTTTATTTTTCTACCTACGTGACTTTACCGAAAGAACCAAAGAATTGCAGAATGTGGTGGACGTTTTAAAATATTTCACATCGACTGAGGAGTCGAGTTTCACCGAGGCAAGGATGGAATGTCATTGTCCATCATGTTCAACAGTTGTGAATTCGTACTTAAATCTGGTCGAAGGGAAACGAGAATGACTTGCTGTTACATCTCTTTTGTAATGTTGCTGGTATTACTTCTACCTCGGTATTTGGTTCATGACTGTCACTCAGTAACCGATCCTTACGAATTTCCCACCACAGTTTTCAGGTAATGGTGAAAATTGATTCTCTGTATTTATTTCAAATATGTGTGAGAAATATATAACCGATATGTTACTATAAATAATATGTCGGTGAAATTGGAGGGTTTTAGAGCTTATTTTCTAGAAATTCAAACAAGTATTATTTGGTAATATGTAGATAGTTTTAATGCACGCCTCTCAGAATGTTTTTGGTGCATTTCCTAACTTGTGTTTTATTGTTTCTGCTCGTAGATGAGGTTTTGAAAATATTGAACAAATTCTACAAGCGGAAGGAGATGCAGAAACTGGGAGTGGACAATGGCTTAGATGGTAATTCTTTTGCCTTTTTCACATTTATAAAATGTATTCACCAAACATGAACCTGATATGCTCACTGAAGCAGCAATGGGATTAATTAAAGAGCAGTTGTTTTTTGTGTCACGTTCTTTTATTATGTGTCTTTCACATTGCTTTATAAACACAGACGGAGCCTTTTTAATGTAATTTTATTTTAAACGAAAATAATTGTACATAGATAATTGGGTTCTTGATTATCCTTTTACCAAAAGACCCAAAGAGTATCCTTTAAAACATAAATATTACAGTATGACTCATAAGATAGCTTTAAAAATGTTATTTTACAGCTGGCAATCTCTAAAGTTTGCCAAAAAACAGTTTCTTAAATCAAGAGATGTCTACAATTGGGATTATTATACATCTCACATGCATATTTCTGGTTTTCATATAAGGAATATTACACCATCTATGTGCTATTTATCTTTTGATAAGTATCTTGATAAACAACTCAATACTCTAATCAACAAATGTTTGTCCTTTATTTTATGACCAGTGATCCGTCTTACTACAAACAAAGTCCATAATGTAGGTTTTTGGGTTAGATCACTAACAAATTATAAATTTGTCATTAAACCCGCCACCACCCGACGCAGCCGAATAGTAAGGTTTTTCACATAAACAAAACATGCCAATTCGTTACTAGTTCAGCACACAAACAAAGTGTTCAGCGTCTTAAAATATTTCGCTCAGCATGTTTGTCAAGGTCGCTAAACGGGAATTGCGTAACGTGCCGTTAAAAATATTTTACGATCAACATCATCCAGCAGCGGATCGATTATGGCAGCCGATGACAACAGTTGCTAATTACTGCTTGGTGTGTGTGTGTGTGCTTGTTTGGCGACACAGCACGGCTCTTTCACCAAGCGTTCATCAGTTTCCGCAAGTGGGTGATGGAGTCAAATGCACTTCCCGTCGAGTTCCACATCGCACTGAGTGACATCTCCTGTGGGGCAGGTACGCAGCTGCGCTCTTAGCCTGGGACAACGTCTTTGCATTGCTCGGCACGGTTGCCTCATCACGCTGTGATTTGATGATGAGAGAGAAAGTGATGAGAGATAAAGTAATGAGATGAATTGATGATGCACTGTATGATAATATAAGGTAAGTTATTTGATAAACTTTTATTTAATGCTTAAACATGTTTTACTTAGTTTATTATCACCAATTTTTGTGTTATGATATTTTGCATGTATTTAATAGCTTATTTATTTATGATAATATCTGGAACGTATCCCTTGCGAATAACGAGGGAATACTGTATTTCATTGGCATACATTGCAATGCTTTGTTCATTACTCCATACGTTTATACAACTCCCCCTTCAAGCTCCCGGTCAGTTATTCCTGATCTTACTGGCTGCTCTCTCTGTCAGTTCAGCATTGCCTCTGGGAAAACTGTCTCCTGTTAAATCCGTTAACATATGAGGTCATGATCATAGGCAGTCGAGAGGCTTTCCCGAATGCCATCTACTCCTGACCTGCCAAAGCTGGGTGCCTCATCACATCAACCACCCATCCCAAGATGCTTCGTGTCCTATTAGCTCAGAACCTGAGTTTGGACTTTCACATTTCATCCATTGTCCACATTTCCAATCACCACCTCACCAGGCTTCGTAATATTTTCCCTCTCCTCGGAACACTTAGTTGCCAAACGCCATTGCCTCCTACTCTACCTACCGTCTGATCTAGACTGGACTTCACTGCAACGCTGTGTTCTCCGGCACATCTACAAAACATCTCAAGCATCTCCAGCACATTCACAAGTGCCTTGCCCCGCACACTACTCGGCACTAGACGTGATTCCTTCATCCATTCCTCAGACCTAACTCCACTGGCATCCAGGGCGCCGCGGTGACAAGATGTTTACTCCCTCGCCTGGTATGCAGGAGGTTATGGGTGCGATCCTGAACCTGATGCCTGCTGTATATTTGGAGTTTGCATGTTCTCCCCATTGTTGATTGCATTTTTCTCCGGCTTTTCCCTCCATATTTAGAAACAGGCTTTTAGAGTATTTGGCTGCTATTAATTTCCACGTGATAAGCAACTTAATTGAGCTATCATTTGTGGCCAGGTCGCTTCTGAAAAAGAGCTACATAGCTCAGTGGGCTTTACCTGGTAAAATAAAAAATAATTTCATAGTTCAACAATGCACCTGTCCAAAGTGGCTGCCCTCTGTTACAAAGCACACACACTCACACCCTGGGTCACAAATGGTCTCATCGTAGGTTCCATCTCGCAACTTCCAGTCTGCCACAAGTGCCCTTCTCCTCCTTGGCAAGCCCATCATCTCGTGAACCAGACAAGGCGAACGTCGCTTCTCTGTCCTGGCTGTGGCCGTCTGATATTCACTCCCTCCTCTCCAACTGTGCCGCACATCGGTATCGGGGGCACTTTTGTGATAGAGGCAAAAAATTACTCTTGAATAGTAAAATGTTGGTTTACTTGTTTTGTATGTGTGTTGAACTTCTTTCGCACCGTACCATACGTAGCCAACTGTGCTAATCGGAGGTGCGGGGGAAGAACAACAAACTGAACGCAAAAAGCAGTTCTGGAGTAATTAGTTTAAAATTTATTGGCGTCATGCATCGCTCCGTTGACGCAGTTGGGCTGTGTTGTAAGATGGTTCAAATTGTTCTTTTTTGTATTACCGGTAACCAATTGGAAAAAAACATCTAAAAGAAAAGTGACCGGATCGCCGCACGCATAGGAAACTTAGACCACCGTACCATTTGTGCCTTCTTGCTTCTTGCGTGCCATTCAGTGCAGTCATGACTACGATTAATTTGGGAATTGTTACTGGTTCCTGACTTTGACAAGTGGTAATCACTTATAAAAAATGGTTACCAGTTTACCGGTTTGATAAGCCTAATGAATTGTACCCACTTTGATTAAAGTGTTACCGGCACAGGTGTGACTGCAGGGTGTTAGGAGATTGAGTTCCCCAGCACATTCGTGACTGTGGGGCCGTTGTCTGATCGCAGGACACGTGGACGACATCTTCCCCTACTTCTTGCAGCACTCCCGGCAGATCTTCCCCATGCTGGAGTGCATGGAGGAGCTGCGCAAGATCAGTGACCTTCGGTTCCCCAGTAACTGGTTTGTACTTTTAAATCCAATTCCCCTGTGTGCATTCTCTTTATTTAAAGTATGTTTTTTTTCCTTAAACAAATCGATGCCTATTGATGTATTCGTGCTGTGAATGTCAACAACGTTAGTTGTCAGCATACTTCTAAATTGTACGACTAACACACTGCTGCTTCGCATGACTGGAGCACACAGATATTTTTCGTTATTGCCAAGCCACTAAGTGTGGCTACGTTCAAATTAAGCCACCAACCTATAATCCTCCAGAACAAAAATGGAATTTGTTTACGTAATAATTTACTCAACACAAAAGACGCTGCGACATCAAATTTCTAAAAGTGAGACCTGTTTTACATTACTCATAACAGTCCTTAGCTTTCAAATATAAAATTACCGCAGTGAATAATAAAATGAAAGAAGCAATATATCACAAGAGCAGCAGTATCCAGGGTCGCACCATGAGCAATTTCCATTTGCGCGCTTTTAGATGCGCTTCTTCGGCCGTCTGGAACGCTCTTCCATACGATATTAGGAAGCCACTAGAGCTATGCACTATTCGGCCGAGATTGAAAACTCATTTCTTTCGAACTGCTTTTTGTGGCTTCAGCCTCTTCATGAATTAATTCAACATTTGTTGTGAGCTCAGAAATAGAATGCAATTTTTCATTCAAATTTCCTCGATTTTTATTCTGACTTTCTGGATTTTGTTCTGACGATGCTTGACGTATTCAATGTCGCTTATCTAATGGCTATACACTTTTAAGTCTGGATTGAAAACTCATATCTTTCGAACTGCTTATCGTCTTTTAGTTTGTTGTCCTTCCCCCACACCTCTGATTAGCATGGTTGGCTACGTACGGTGCCAAGAAGTTCAACATCGTAAATACACGACCGCTCTCGTGTTTTTTGCAGGTACCCAGAGGCACGGACCATGCAGCGCAAGATCGTGTTCCACGCGGGCCCCACCAACAGTGGCAAGACTCACCACGCCATTCAGCGTTTCCTGGCGGCACGCTCGGCCGTCTACTGTGGCCCGTTGAGGCTGCTCGCTCACGAGATCTACGAGCGCAGCAAAGGAGCGGTCGGTGTGCGCACCGCCACACAAACCAAGATCTCCCGTGTAGCCTTTTAACAGTCTGTTGGGGCAAGTGTTGGCGAGTGGATGGTGGTTAACACCACGCCCAGCCCCCTTTGTCATTCCAGTGCTGATATTCACACATCGCACCGGGTACTCATGTAATGCTGATTCGACCTAGTGACGACCCAGGACTGGTTCAGATATTTATTCTGAGTGAATAGGAATCGAACTCGGATCGCCGGGTTCGGAGCACAAAGCACATAATTGCTATGAAGTTAGGCCTATTATCCAAAACATGGTCTATGACGTTTCCTTTTAAAGCAGTGATATTGATGAATATGTTGTGGTTTGTTTTTTGTTATTCTGTGTGCTTGTGTACCGCTGCCAAAGCAATATCACCAGATTATAAGCTCAAAACAGAAGCTGTACTCACGTGCTCTTGTGTGTGTGTGTGGCTTTGACCTGTCTCTGGGTGGTAGGGCGTACCATGTGACCTGGTGACGGGTGAGGAGCGGTTATTCGCCTCTGAGGAGGGTCGGCCGTCCTCCCACGTGGCCTGCACCATCGAAATGTGCAGCACCAACATAATGTGTAAGTCAGGGGTGGCCAACCTGTAACAGCCCAGGAGCCAAAGAGTACCCATGAGTTCTGCAAAGAGCCAGGTGTATATTGTATAAGTGTGTTTGTAGATCAACAGTTTTCGCCACAGCACGGGTAGACATTCTTCACTCCTGTGATAGCACATTCCACGTTATGCCCCTTTGATAGAGCCACATGTGTGTGGATTAAAGGGCCACATGCAGCTCAGGAGACGCCAGTTGGCCACCACTAGTGTCGGCCCGATACGTGCGTGCGTAAGAAGTCCCAGTGAAAACATTGGCAACGTTGAGACGCTCAAGATTTCCGTGGTTTGCCTCATTATTAGGAAGCCAATTAGAGCTATGCACTTTTAAATGTAGATTTAAAAATTTATTTCTTTCAAACTTTTTGTGTGAAGTTTGTTGGCCTTCCTCCCACACCTCCAATTAGCACGGTTCAACATATATCGAGGATAATCGTCCATTCTCAGTTTACTTATAGATAGTAGGAAGTCTTATGATGTAAATTATTCATCACTATTTGCACAAAATTAGCATCATATCCATTAACTTTGATGTAAGTGGGAGCTCTGGTATTAGAACGTGTACCGCAGAGCGCAGTGACCGTCCTCCACCATCATGGTTATCCATCGTCATCCATCAACCGTGGCAACAATAGCACGTGTCATTGGTGACAGTGATGCCACCATCCCTCACCATCCCTTCACCAACATCATCATTTGCATCATCGTTTCCTTTGTCATCATCAGTAATCAACCCTCACGACTGACAAAGCATTGCGAGACCATCATCCAGATCTGGATAGAAGAGTGCCATACATTTAATAATACATCTGAGAAATGCAAATATGTGCTGTGAGTGGTGGTGTATTTTCACGTATTTGGCATCGACGGCTGTGAATTGTTTGGCCTGAGCGACGACTGTGTGTAATGTACCCGCTAGATGAGGTGGCCGTTGTGGATGAGATCCAGATGATAAGGGACCCCGGACGAGGATGGGCGTGGACCAGGGCGTTGCTGGGTAAGATGCACGTGTGCGCCTCCCTAGCGTCGCGTCCAACTCCACGACGACGGAATTATGAAGGAGAATGTAGATGTTAAGCAGAACATTACATCAAGTATGCACGTGCAAAGAAGGACATATACACTATCGAACTAGGTGGCTCAGTTCTTAACCCTTTCTGTTCCGAGACGTCTGCAAATTGCAGGGTGGGTTCCATTCACCACTGAAGCTCGGAACGTGCAATTAGCGTTAATTTTATTTCGAGAGGCAGAGAACTGTAGCGACACGACCGCACTCTTGACAGCTAGCGCCAAACTAACTGCCACACGCCTTCCCGCATGGCCTTGTGGGAGCCTCGGTACCGATAAAGTTATTTTAGTTTTTCATTTTATTCCATCCCGATGACGCAATGAAAACTGATGACGTACATGTACGTCATCATTTTTTATTACGTCATCATACGTGTTAGTCATCGGAATGGGAAAGGGTTAAGATAGCCAGGAGCCATCACATGATTCGAATTGCCATGAGCTGAATCGTCAGTTTGAAGTGAAGGTGACTAAGGTATCCGGGGGGAATTGGCTTTGGCTTTTTGTAGATGTTGAGACAGATCTGGGTTTCACTGAGCAATATGATCAACAATCTCAAGAGCAACTCCCTTGTTAGATGACATTTCAGTTTCATCATGAACCCAAAGAGGCCGTCTTTGTCTTGTTTTCAAGTGTCTGTGCCCTCAACATTCTGTTCTCACAAAAAACACACGTCGCATTACTTGGCCCGTCAGACCTTTAGTTTGATACCCTTTGTTCTGTTGTTCCTCGCACGCACAACTTTGCCTTCTCACGCTTTTTGTCTCTGGCTTTTTCCCGATAACTTAACGTACGCGTCGTGTCGCTCGCGCCGCCTCCTGTACGCGTGCCTTGTCGTACCGCTTCTTACCCCGCACCCTCAGGGCTGTGTGCTGAAGAGGTCCATGTGTGCGGGGAGCCAGCTGCCATCGCGCTGGTCAGGGACCTCATGTTCACCACGGGCGAGGAGGTGGAGGTGAGAAGCAATGCCCAGTGAATAAGAACAAGTCTCGCGCTGGTCAGACTTATAATGCTCCCTCATCCCATCTTCTCCCCCGAGTTTTGTTAACATGAAGCAGAGAGGGAAGCGTAATGCCTTTGGACCTGAGATCACCTTTACTGCAGAAGAAGCGATTGACTAACTGGGTTTTTTTCGGAGAAATATTAAGGAAAAATTAGATGACGTTAATCATGAATGGACAATAATAGATTACTTAAACATTCACGTTAACTCTTTTTTTACCACTGAGCTACCAATGTATTTAGGACAGAGTTATTCATTACAATAAATGTTTCTATTGTAATTAATGGTTTTATTGTAATTAATGGTTTTATTGTAATGAATAAGGGGAGGAATCAACAGGGTTTACATGTTTTTAATGTTTTTACAATTAACAGAATATGAATGTTTATTTATATTGGATAACTGTTGGGATAACATGGATTTCCCACGTAAATTATTGAAGGCAGATGCTGTATATTTAGTAAATGTTAGTCACGTGTCATTTATGTTTTTTTGGCGATAAAATCTAAAACCTGCTGTGGATATGACGTGAACCATTTAATGGTTCTCTCGCTTCACTCCCCCTCTTCAGTTTCCTGTTAAACCAAAGCACAGAGCTCACTTGCACGTCTCCCTGTAACTCTTTTACTGGTGCCTCGTGCTCCCACGTTTGCACTGTCCTTTTCAATTTGTGTGTTTATGCAACTGTTGGACAATGTTTATTTTTTTTTACTTACACCTGCACCTAACTTTTTTATGGCACCTCTTGCTTTCATATATGCTCCGATTTTTTTTTGTATTATTGTGTTTCGTTTACATCCATTAAATACCTCCGTTGTTAGTTGCGCAATCTTGCTTAAGGACCCTGTACTGGTTCTCTTGCAACGTTGATGTTGTTGTCTTTGTTTTGTTGCTGCATTGCTCATGCAGCATGGATCTCCCTTGTAAAATAGCCAGGGCAACTGGCCAAAGGGGATAATCCGCGTGACATGAAATAAAACTCAATCACAAACCACGCTCCACTGCTTCAGTGGCAGCACAGCGGGAAGCAGGGCGGCTGTAATGAGATCAAAGTGAATTTCGCTAGGCTATGTGGAGAGACTTAAATCTGTGGATTTCACGATCTTCCTTGAATAATAAGAAAAATTCTTCAAGTGTGAAACCTCTATATCTGACAGCCGGTCTCGTTCGTGGATAAATATGTTTGTTTTTTTGCGATAGAGGGCTGCATGTAATTCCTTCAATAATTTTTATATTGAGGTAAGAAATGAAATGCGCTCCGAGAGGACATCCATGATGGGAGATGGAGCCATGAAATAATCTCGGGTGCAGGCGAGGTGGATTGGTAGATCACAGAACCATGATAGATGGTCACGACTTGGGGAGGCCTTCATCCAGCAGTGGATGGATCATGGCTGCTGATGATAATAATTGACCTTAAAACCCAAAACTGGCTGAAACACTTAATATTACCGGTTTAACTGTGTTGTCAAGCAGTATATCTGGCAAGAATGAAATGAAATCCAAATTCACACGCTTTACCGGCTACAGATACGCTGCAACACGAGACGTATGTATGTACGTTGAACTTCTTTCGCACCGTACATAGCCAACCGTGCTAATCGTAGGTGCCGGAGACCATCCTACCATGCTGCGGTTACGCTGAAGGCCGTGCACGCGTTTCGCGTGGCATGACAGGTGCACACGTACGAGCGGCTGACTCCCATCAGCATCGAGGACCGTGCGCTGGAGTCGCTGGACAAGCTGCAATCGGGCGACTGCGTCGTCTGCTTCAACAAGAACGATATCTACTCCATCAGTCGGCAGATTGAGGCCAGCGGCCAAGAGTGTGCTGTCATCTACGGCAGCCTGCCCCCAGGTGAGGTTTCCCCGCGTAGATTCGATGCCGTAATTCATTCGCACGGTTGGCTACGTACGGTGCGAAAGAAGTTTAATATACATACGCCGTGTCTCTACCGTGGGCTTTGCAGCTCAAGCAACACTTTGTGTATTGTCGGGAGATGTGTAAGTGGTCCCGTTGATGCCTTGTAGTGGACCTGCGCATTGCGTTGAGATTATTTAGATTATTTTTCTGCTATAAATTTCCAAATGGTAAGCCACTTTGCTGAGCTATCAATTGTGGCCAGGTTGCGTCTGAAAAAAAAAGCTAATATCTCAGTGGACTTTACCTGGTAAAATAAAAATCTTTCGTTTTTTATTTGTCTACCTTTCCTACACTCCTATCGTTTTTTTGTATTGTTTGTTGTAACGTTCTGACCTGCCCCTACTAGACATTTGTGAATAAGAGCTTTATAGCTCATCGGAATCCTCCAGTATAAATAAATATTCTGATTCTAACCAGCATGGATTACAATGGCTAACTTCCCGTTTTGAAACAAACAAGGTTTATAATATATTTAAATTTCACATGTTTTTTAAGTTGTGGTGGAAGTGGTGATTAGCATTTTGCGCTATGAAGCTGGCTATTTGAGCTAAATCCCTGGCCACGGCTAATATAATTGACGAGTGACAACTGGCCCCATGCTGATTAAGGATGATTGTATTTAGACATATGTCCAGTAAGATCTAGGTCAAATGTAAACTTGCAGATGAGCGCGGTCGTTTCTCACGTGCTTGCCCCGTCTTCTCAGGCACTAAGCTGGCGCAGGCGAAGAAATTCAATGATCCCAGCGACCCGTGCAAGATTCTGGTCGCCACCGACGCCATTGGCATGGGCCTTAACCTGTGAGTGTCCTGGGGGGACTAACAGCGGACCAATCCCTCCCTAACCGTGTCACTCTGTTCATTCGTCGGCCATTCACGATGCACGTCACGCTGGAGACCTTACACTGGAAATGTTCTCGATGGCGTATCATCGACACAAGTGTCATTCCTCAACTGCTCAATTTGGTTGTATGGGTTACTCTTCAACTTATCGGCGAGCTTAAACAATAACATCCGGTGTGTTAGAAATGCTTGTACACTCGACAATTACATTTATTTGGCTGTGTCAAGTGGTGAAAGGTCTTAATGACACATATTTGGCGAAATCATTACATGGCCTAACCCAAAAATGTATTATTATTCATTAATATTGGCCGCGAAAACCTACGTGTTACACACGACATAAATTGCCATATTCACATTTAAATTGTGATGATGAAAATGGTTTAACCTTTCCGGCAATCACACAGGAGGTGTTAAGATGTTCAAACGCCAAATAGACACCTATGGCAAGGCATATATTCTGCATTAACCACAGATTATTGTGGTCATATATGCAAATCCTTGAAGCTGACTGGCCTACACCAGAGAGAGCCTCTTTTATAGTCTTGTATCACCGGTGTTAGACCAGAGAAAGCGGTGTTAGAGCAGAGAAACCAGTGTTAGCCTAAAGAATGCCAAAAGGCAAACGGCACAAAAGCAATACAAATATCAAAGCATGAATGGCTCTGGTTAAGCAGTTTGGGTAAAGCCTATTCTTGTTTCACCATCTTGATACCGGCAAAAAGGGTCCCGTAGATATTACTTTGCAATATTGTGTTGGGGACATACCTTATTGTGTGCACTGGCATGACCTGAACTAAACGAACTAAACTTTTTATTTTACCAGGTAAGACCTTCTGCGCTATATAGCTCTTGTTCAGAAGCGACCTGGCCATCACAAATTGTAGCTCAATTAAGTCGCTTATCGTGTGGAAATCTTTTGCAGCTAAATACTCCAAATGCGTGTTTCTAAATGTGGAGGGAAAAACTGGAGGACTCGGAGAAAAATCCACGTGACCACTGAGAGAGAGACACGCTATTCAGGTCCTTCCTGATGTTTCCTCCCGTGCACTTTTAGGAGCATCCGTCGGGTGATATTCAACTCGCTGACCAAGCCCACGATGAACGAGAAGGGGGAGAAGTCGATGGAGCGCATCAGCACGTCGCAGGCGCTGCAGATCGGCGGCCGCGCCGGCCGATTTGGCTCGGCCTTCAGCCATGGCCTGGTGACGACCATGCACCGCGACGACCTACCGGTGCTGAAGGCCATCATGGCGCGCCCACTGGAGCCAATTCAGGTAACAAACAGGAGCAAGTGACCCAACGCAGTAAGATCTCTGGGTTTTATGTTCCACGAAGCTCATGCTCCACCCTAAACCGCATCCACCGCACAAACCGGGGCAGTGGATGCGGAAACCTGAGGCACAAATGGAAAATTTAAAATTCTGCAGAAGTGTGTCACTGTGGTTATCCCGAATAGAGACCGTACATTGTATAACGACGCAAATGCCCGATCCACAAATATGAAGGAGACATCACAACGATGATACACCACTCCGCTGCTCCTGACTCGGTTATCTGGCTTGACCACCTAAATGTGAAATTGTAGTCGTTGCTCTACATCGACATCAGCAGCCGTATGAAAGAAGAAGCGGAAGAAGTATCAGTGATGAGAGTTTGTTTTTGGCAGAGCGCCCTTTACTCGTCTCGGAGCACGTTCCACGCGACGAACGACCTACATCTGATCTCATCAACGCATTTGAAAGGGTGCCACCCCAGTGGCAGCTGTCCCTTGTGGGCACAAGGTAACTCGGCATCACCAGCCGCTACTGCTGACAGGAGGGGCCCGCCGATGATGCTACGCGTGATCCCAATTGAGTAATTTCTGGATCCATTTTAGATTTTTGGCAATGTGGACCATGTTGCCATGCTGTCATCACAGTTGCATAGACGTAACATAATTTACACAAGCAAGCGTTTTATCTTTTAAAGCCATTGGATAATAACCCACCTCCTCCACTCTTGTCCTTCGAAGCCCTGTATTGACTCACAAGTGACGACATCGCACGTATCCCTCTATTTAAGACCGAAGCAGGAGGATTTCTCCACAACTCTGGCTGTCGCCTGATGAAGCTAGTTGTAATTCCTGGCGAAACGGCGTACTCAGATTGTATACGTTGTGGGTTTACTCTCCAACACACCGGTGTGCTGTACTCGTAACAAATTGGCATGTTTTGTTTACGTGACAAACTTTACTAATTGGCTGTGTTGGGTGGTGGCGGGTTTAACGACACATTTATATTTACGTGATCTAACCCAAAAAAACCTGTATTATAGAGGGATCTACCAGTTGGGATGAAAAGAGGGAGCTACAACACTGCTTATGGTGGCAGGTGGTGGTTTTGTATATGGTGCTTGGTCAACTCAAAGGTTTGGTGATGCCGTTATCCTCGCTTCCACACCCTGGTGATGCAAGTTCTCACAGGAACTGGTTAATTCCTGTTCCGTCATTGTAAAGCAACACATCGTAAATTACTGGCGACTACATTGCTGGAAAGTATACACATCGTTGATCTGGAGAAGAGCCCACAGCATTACGATCTCTGCTGTTACATTTCTTCGTGTTCATCTGTGACAACTGTTGCTGCTTTGTACCCCGCTGGGTTTAGGAGGCTGGGCTGCATCCCACAGCGGAGCAAGTGGAGCTGTTTACGTACAATCTACCTCAAGCCACCCTCTCCAATATTATCGTAGGTAACGCATTGTGTAGCAAGGAACATGCTGGTTGGGTCGCACGCAGCTTTCTCTACTAGCTACGCAACACGGATTCTCCTACAGCACCCAGCAGAAGCTGTGGATACCGCGCGCTGGCACGATATACGAGAAGCACATGAGGAAAGAGACGATGGAAGCCGTGTGTGTAATGCGTAGGAAACCAAAGAACATCGACAAACGTAGAGTTGTGTGTCCGGACGTGCAATCTGCTGATAGTGTGAATGTGGGCAGCCCGTCACGAGTTGGCCCTTATTTGTGCGTGTGCTCCGATAATTAATCGGAGTCGTATTGCACTCACATCTGTGTGGCTATCTGCGATATGGCCGCTGATAACTACCTCGCCTGGTATACAGCAGGTTGTGGGTTCAATCTCGAGCCTGACGTCGGCTGCATATTTGGAGTTCTCCCCGTGGTCGCGTTGACTTTTCTCCGGGTCATACAGTTTTTCCCTCCATATATAGAAACATGCATTTAGAGTATGTGGCTGCTATACATTTCCACGTGATAAGCCACTTCGCTGAGCTATCTTTTGTGACAGCCAGTGTCCCTTTTAAAAAAGAGCTATACAGCTCTGGGCCTCCTGATAAAATATAAAAAGTGTAAAATAAAAAAAGTTTGATTTTGTGTGTTTTTGTTGACCACCCCGTCTGGTCGCAGGACATCTTTGTGAGCTTGTCGCAGGTGGACGGCCTCTTCTTTGTCTGCAACGTGGACGACTTCAAATTCCTGGCTGACATGATCCAGCACATACCACTCAACCTGCGTGTGCGTTACGTCTTCTGCACGGCGCCGATCAACCGCAAGCAGCCCTTCGTGTGCACGTCCTTCCTCAAGGCACGTCCACGTGCGGCGCGTTCGGTGTCGCGCAAGGACACGTGCGGGAGCAGTAACTGGCATGACCCTTGGATGCAATCACGGACACAGCCACAAAGCTTCTACAGCCCCACGAACACAACCACAGCCCCACGAACACAACCACAGCCCCACGAACACAACCACAACTCCACGAACACAACCACAGCCCCACAGGCACAACCGCAACGAGAGCACACACCTCAGGTTAGCACAGTTGGCTATGTACGGTGCGAATGAAGTTCAACATGCACACGGTAACTTGGCGCACGTGCACTCGTAGATGGATGTTAGAACATTACGTTGGCTCACAGCGTATGTCGCTGTCATTGGCTGAGCGATTGATGGGAGGAGCGGGAGTGTAGCGATTAGCGCGCTGCGCTACGAACCCGGCGACACGAGTTCGATTCCCGATCATGGCCAACACCAGTGACTAATATGTGAACCGGTCCTAGACCTCCCCTAGGTCGACTCAGCCTCAAATGAGTACTTGGTGCGGTGTGTCAACATTGCCATTAGGGAGACAAAGGCGGCCGAGCGTATTGCTTGCCAACCACCCCCTCGTGTGCCGTGCCAGCCTTCATAGGTGCTCGCTAACAGGACTTGCCCCAACAGCCTGTTAAGGCAAAACAGGCGATATGTGTGTTCGTGGCTAGGTGTTTTCCTGGATGAATGCCTGTGTGTCCCATTCTGCGAGAGGGTGATTACGATTGCGCGCATGTACGTGTGAACTGTTCCTTGCACGCTGCAGTTTGCGCGGCAGTACAGCCGCAACGAGCCACTGACGGTCGGCTGGCTGTGCCGCCACGTGAGCTGGCCCCTGGCTGAGCCACGCAACATCCGCGACCTCGTGCACCTGGAAGCCGTCCACGACGTCTTCGACCTCTACCTGTGGCTCAGGTGTGTAGCCCACGTGGCCCTGCATTGCTGCACTATAAGACTTCTGAGCCACTTCTGCCCTGAATCATCGTTTGCAATCAGCATTACCAATCTGACAGTATAAGTTGTTGAAAATGAATCGCTTTATGTTTTGATGTCCCTGTTATCGTAACTGCGGCATGAGCTTTGTATCATATGAAAGGTCGATAATATTACCTCTCCATTTATCATACATTTAGAATATCAAATGCATGACTTATTTGTTGGTGGTAAATCATTCTGAGAGGCATAACCACCTAAACAAATTCCTGCATTGTATCTTTGTTGAATGCTGTTTAGAGCCACACTGCTCGGCCATTTATCAACATTCTCGCCTCGGCAGGCCATTATACTATTATTATTACCTTGGTGCCAGCCATTGCTTTGCTTTGACGTTCCCACGGCCGCAATGTTCATGCCACAGCTACCGCTTCATGGACATGTTTCCGGACGCCGTACTGGTGCGCGACCTCCAGCAACAGTTGGACAGCGCGATCCAGGAGGGGGTACGCAACATCACGCGCCTCATCCGTGCTACGGAGGAGAGCAGGGCCGGCGGCGGCGTGCCGCACAAGCAGGGCAGCGGCGATGACGACGGCAGTTCCCCCGACAGCCCAAACAGGTCGTCCCAGACCCAGGGGCCCGACCGCGCCGGTAGCACTGGGTACAGGAGGAAGGGCCAAGGGGCCAAGAACCAGGGCCCCGGGGGAGCAGCAGACATGCGGGTTACGAACACCACTTTGAAGGCGACAAAGGGCAGCTCTCTGTCCGAGCAGCTGCTGCAACAGGGTCTTCTGACACAACAGATGCTGAACCAGCTGCGGAGAGAGCTGGCGCGCGACAAGAAATCGCGGAGCAACGCTGAGGGCGACGATGGCGATGGTGACAAACCGGGCCACAGGGGAAACTCGCCAGGAGGTGCGAGGGGACCTCAGGGGTAATACGAAGAGGAGCGAATGTTTTCGCGTTTGACATCCTCCTGACTAAATGGAACATCGTGCGTTCGCTTTGTAGATATTGGTAGGGGCAAGTTGTCGTCAATTCAAATAGATAGAGTATTATCTGTGCCGTCGACAGCTTGATTTTTACCCTATTGAAAGTGTAAAAGGCGACTGAAGTTGTCACTTTGCCTTCTGATAACTTTAATCTGACGATTGCCTAATTTCGGCTTTGTTGTTGCAGTGCCCTGACCTATATATCATGGGATGCATCATAAGTGATCCACATGCATATTTGTTTTAATTGCATTGACTGCATAATACAGGAACATTGACTGTGGACTCAACGGGTCGAAGACAATAAATGCCATCCAAAGGTGAAATCAATTTTCACTGGCACGTTAATTTTTTTAATATGTGGTTGGATGATCGTGTTTTCTGGAGGATGTTGAATGTAATATTAAGTATCATTTTAAGTATAACTGATTATAATAACATTAAATAAAGCTAAAGTGCGTTATTATTCCATGCTTGCGTAGTATTGAAGATCGCTTAAATCACATGTTACTGACTAAAATATGCCAGCCAGACCACGTACGTGTATATTGATGACAGTTGTTTGAATGTGTGCGAGCTTTTATACAGAAATTAAAAACTGATACTCATGGGTTCTTTCGGTAAAGTCACGTATGTAGAAATAAAATTAAATTAAAATACATCACGACGTTTCGAACGCAACACAAGCGCTCGTCCTCAGGTGAAAATGGCGTAAACCACACAGCGAGGGAACACGCAGAGGGACATCATACACAGAGTACACAGAGGACGGCAAACTGCACGGAGGCAAATACAGCGAGCAGATGGGAGACGCGAACTCGGCAAACCTTAGTAATATAATGCGATGCAACCCAGTTGGCCAACAACACACTAAACCTGGTTGACCCCACGTACTTCAAAAGACTGCTAAATCTTGTGTTCATCTTCTAGGTTGAACACACTAAGGTAAACAGAGGATAAGGACTCGTGAACAGACACGAGGTACAAGGTAGCAGAGATACATAGAGAAGACAGGGAAAGGTGTTTTGGGCAGTACAGAGAGACAACGAGCAACACCATACCAAGAGACACATGGAGAGGCACATACAGGGACTTATATCGGCTGTAGAGGTGGGGGAAGGGAATGGTAACCATGCAAGGACATGCAAATACCAATGCAGGCAACAAATCGGGGGAAACACATGGGGAAACGAAAACGGAGAAGCACATGGGAAACAAACGAAAACGTAACCTCGGTAAACGAAGCAAAATTACAACAAGTGGAGATACACAGAGAAGACAACACAGGCAAATATGTTTTGGACATCATTGTAAGGACACCCTCCCCGTAGAGGTGGATTAATCTAGTTTTATATTTATAAGGTTTGCCGAGTTCGCGTCTCCCATCTTCTTGCTGTATTTGCCTCCGTGCAGTTTGCCGTTCTCGGTGTGATCTGTGTGTGATGTCCTACTGTGTGCTCCCTCGCTGTGTGGTTTACACCATTTTCACCTGAGGACGAGTGCTTGTGTTTCGTTCGAAACGTCGTGATCTATTTTAATTTTATTTGTATTTTATTTCTCCATACGTGACTTTACCGAAAGAACCAATGAGTATAGTAATTCTTGCAGTCACGAAAGCTTCAATCCTAGATTAAATTAAAAACTTACCTGAGAAATGCCACCTTCCCGTCCCCCGTGTGACGTTGTACAATGGGGAATTAAACCATTATTTATGAACATAAAATACAGATTTTTTTTTGTGTTATGGTCGCTGAGCACAGGGCTCAAAGGCCCAAAATTTCAAACACCTCCGATTAGCACGGTTGGCTAAGTACGGTGCGAAAGAAGTTGAACATGCATACTACTTAATGTGTTATCAATCTGTTTTAAGTACTTTTTCGTGGATTGAGCAAGGTTGTGAGAACTTGGGAAAATAAACTATGGGAGGGAATTCACAAGTCGAGCAGTGCCAAAAAACTAAAGTAAACTTTAATTTATCAAGTAAAGCTCACTTAGAGCTATGAGCTATTGTTCAGAAGCAACCTGGCCACATGTGTTGATAGCTCATCAAAGTGGGAATGTATAGTAGTATCAGCCAAATAATCTAGACGCGGTTTTATAAATGTGGATGGTACAACCCGGAGGACCTGGAGTAAATCCACACGACCACGAGGAGAATTTGTAAACTCCAAATATACAGACATCGCCAAGGTGCGGATTGAACAAACCCACCTGCATACCAGGCGAGGGAGATAACATCTGGACTTAACTTTGTTATAGCCTTGCACCCAGTAGAAAGAGAAGAGTGTTTGACCTGCAGTTTGGTGAGTGGGTGAGTTGCAATATGGTGGTTAAAATCATGCATGATATGAAACAGTCCTGAACATGGGTGGATAAATCAATTGAAATGCATAGCAACATAAACCATGGTTATGTGGTCAGATTTTCAAATAATATTGTTCAAGGGAATTACAAAATATTTTTACAAGTAGGAACAACAGGTTCCACACTGCCCACCAGGGATTATTTGTCTGTCGTGCACGAATGTGCTGTCCAACCAAGTTCCTACCTGCCCACTCCGAAGGAACGTGTTATTTTAACGTTAACATTACAATTTGAGCTCAACCATTCACACCACTTAATATGATCCCTTGTCTCGATTACTTTCGTGTTGCATCGGAAACCTCCACTGGAAATGTCTGCGGAATGAGTAGCGGGATCGATGCAAGGATGCCAGGAGTATGTCACACTTCCCGTTTCCTCAGTATATTGTCGCACGCGCTCTCCCAGCCATTTTCCGTCGCCTCTCCCCAAGTGTGCTCGAGTGTGGGGCGTGGTCGTAAAGAGCTGACATTTAAATTAACAAAAAAAACCTCAACGCTTTCGTCAATAACCCTGGCGTAATTTTATTTTATATATAATATAATAGGCGACGTTTTGGGCAATGCTTCTTCATGTCACAGGGGCCTGAGAGACTGTGAATTCGAACTGGAGACTGCACCGTACACCATGGGGGCTGATAAGAATTGTTAAAATGTTTCCCGTTGAACAGTTAAATTGGCATATGGATAATTACGTATTAGGTCATGAGTAACCAACATACATAAACGCATTTAAATTAAAAGTAATATTGTCAAATGTTGCTGGCAGTGCATTATTGGTAACGTTATTGCAATGTGTTCTCATTATGTACTTAACGCAATTTCAAAAAGCATAATCCACTTAGTAACTCATTTCTGGCAGCATTTATCGTTTCAATCAAATTAAGATTAAAGAGGCTCAAGAAATGTTAGGATCAAAGGGGGCTTTCAATTGGTTTACATTCCTTCATCTTGTCAGGATTGTGTCTCTTTTTTTAGGTCTCGTGCCATTTTACTTTGAAATCCGATGTGTTGCCAGGTCGCTTTTGAAAAACAGCTATATAGCTCATTGGGCCTTACCTGGGAAAATAAAAAGTTTTAATAGTTTATTTAGTTTTGTAAACAAATGTGTGCCGCGGTGGTGAGATGTTAACTACCTTGCCTGGTATACAGGAGGACATTTGTTCGATCCAACCCCCGACGCCTGCTGTATATTTGGAGTTTGTACGTTTCTCTCTCCATGGTTGCGTGGATTTTTCCTTGGATCCTCCGGTTTTTCCCTCCATATTTAGAATCAACATCACGCATTTCGAGTATTTGGCTGCTATACATTTCCACATAAGCCACTTCGCTGAGCTATCATTTGTGGCCAGGTTGCTTCTGTTAAAAAAAAGCCGCATAGCTCAGTGGGCCTTACCTGGTAGAATAAAAAATATAGTTTAGTTTAAGAACCTCATACAGGACAAGATTTGTCGAGAAATCGATAATAAAACAATTTGAGACCAAAAAAATGGACAGAAGGCCGCCGCTTTGCACTATGAGAATGGTACGAATGCCAAATGTGCTCCTGATCTGGTGTGTGTACGTACGTACGCACTTGCCGCAGCATCGGTGCTTAAGTTCTGCTGTGGCCAAAGAGATACTGTACACATCACACACCCAGTGCAACTACTCGCAGCCAAACTATAGAGCAAATCATTAAAATACATCTCAGTGCTGTGGTTTATCAGTTGTGTTTTATTTAAAATATTTTCAAGTGCTGTGAATATACGTTTTTGTTCATTGCAGCTTTGCATCATGGTGTGGATCATACGTAACATTAAAAGACAACATAAAAGGAAGTCGGTGTTAAACTAATTAACTCTTCACACACTACCCTCTCTTCTTATTGACATGACACCTTCAAATGTAAAGTTTATGTTGAGTGACCAGTTGAGAACTGAAGAGACCAGGAGAGAGTCGTTTGTAAGAGTAACCCGAGTCGCCAAAATAACCTATGCTGCTATTGGTACGACCAGCCAGGACCCTGCTTTGTTCTGATTGAACCGACCCAGGTCACTGTCTGCAACTGAGCCTCCCCTGGTCTCTTGGGTCATGCCTGGTTGAACGAAATAAACGCAATATCAGTAAAAACGGCGTTTTTCCAATTGGCTAAGACTTCCAAGTGGCAGGAACAATTTGGAGTGTGAATGTCAGAAACGTTTGGGTGAAAAGGTCCGACCTGCGTAGCCAAGTTCTACCCTGTCTCAAATTTTTAATGTTTTACTCAAACACAACAATCCCCCGTATTGCCGTAACAGGCAAGTGCTGTTAGCGAGCAGCACCTATGAAGGCCGGCACGGCACACGAGGGGGTGGGTGGCCAGCACCACGCCTGGCCGTCTGTCCTCCTAGTGGCGATGTTTACACACCCGCACCAGGTACTCATTTGAGGCTGAGTCGACCTAGGGGAGGCCCAGGACCGGTTCAGATAATCACCACTGATGTTGGCCATGAGCAGGAATCGAATTCGGGTCACCGGGTTCGTAGCGCAATGCGCGAACCACTACACTACCGCTCCCTTAGCCACAGTCTCTCTACCAACTGCTGCCATCTCCACCCTTGCCATGTTTTACTTTTGCAATGTGCTATATATATGTGTTTTAACGTGCTATAGATATTTAGGGTGGAGCAGTGAACTCGGTGAACTAGAGTTAAAAGTCGCAGGAATGGTCTGGCGGGAAGTTTGGGTCAAAAACCACCAGGGCCAACGCGATGTCTCGGGAGACCTTCATGCTATTGTGGATTTACGAAGGGTTTTATATTTTTAACGCATATCTATTTAACAGTACCAAGTATGCATTCATATAATTGTACTCGGAAAATGCAAGTCAATTGCCTCATCGTTCCCCTGCCCAGAGAGATTTTTAGTGGGGGGAAAAAACTTTTTAAAAAATGTGTTTATTGAAAGTCTCTTGTTAACCACGCACGTCCTGCCAGGTGGAGAAAGGGACAAGAGCTCATCGTGTCCTCCTCCTGTGCCGCTGCCTGTGGCATGAATCACATCTCACCTGCCCTTGAGATTAGGAGCACTCCCTTTAAGAGTGTGCTCCTAATCTCAGCTCGTTACCTGTATAAAAGACACCTGTTAGCCAGAAATCTTTCTGATTGAGAGGGGGTCAAATACGTATTTCCCTCATTAAAATGCAAATCAATTGATAACATTTTTGACATGCGTTTTTCTGGATTTTGTTGTTGTTATTCTGTCTCTCACTGTTCAAATAAACCTACCATTAAAATTATAGACTGATCATTTCTTTGTCAGTGGGCAAACGTACAAAATCAGCAGGGGATCAAATACTGTTTTCCCTCACTGTACCTGGCATTTATTTGACGACTTTCTGATAGGACATGAACGCTTCCCATTCTCTTTAAATATGTTGCCTGTATAAATCACACTTGCCTCCTAATATTAGTCAAAGGTGACTGCTTAAAAAAATACGCTTTTCACCCCTAAATCGATTTTCAAAGCTCATCGTATCACTTGGAATATTTTTAGTGGGAACAAAAAACTTCGTCAGCAATTTTCTGCTTTGAATATCGGTATGCGGGTAGAGCATAGAGGTTTCCACATCTGCAGCCTACCACGTGAACGGGTATAGCTGGCAAGTACGTCTCATTCTAGATTTGAAGCTTTCGTGACTGCAAGGATTCATACTCTTAGTTTTTCGGTAAAGTCACGTAGGTAAAAAAATGAATTTTAAATTAATACAAATAAAATAAATTATTAATTTAAAATTCATTTTTTACCTACGTGACTTTACCGAAAAAATTAAGACTATGAAGTACGTCTCATGACGGTTATGTGCACGTCGCATATGAGCAAATAAACACAACTCGGCCGAGGCTTCCTGCACGGCTCCTTGAGCTCTCACATCTTCACACTCAATTTACTCTCGGCATGAGCACAAACTCTGACAGCTCCGCGTGGTGGCATTCAGAATCACAATTCAAAACCTGCGTGTTCTAATGCAGCGTTGCGTACTGTTTCTCAGCAGTTCCTTATCCTCGCGTATGTACGTGCGTATGTATGTTGAACTTCTTTCGCACCGTATGTAGCCAACCGTGCTAATCGGAGGTTACATGTGAATCAAGCATGGCAGATCACATTGCTGTCAAATGGGTCCTTGAACGAATTGATGCAGCTTCGTATCGATTTGAGCGCTCACGTGACCGCAGTTTAAACATAGTGTACTAAAGTGGTTTTCATCTTTGCCGACGAGTGCAGAGCATGGTTCACAACACTTGGTGCTTGCGGCTTCGCGCGGCCGGCGCCTTTTCCCTGCCTTCAGCTGCGCGTTGATGCAACAGATCAATCAAGGCACTGCCCACCGCCAACCCTGCGCGCACACACGGACAGAGACAAATCACGCACAAGCGTTGGAACCACCAAAACTAAATCGGAAGAAAACTATAACTTTATTTGTACCAAGCCTCCCACAAGGCCATGCGGGAGGGCGTGCGGCACAGTTTGGTGCCAGCTATCGAAGAGTGCGGTCGTGTCGCTACAGTTCTCTGCGGTGAGTACAATGTCTTTAAAAACAACGACGCTATGCCTCTCTGGCATGTTTCGATATTCAGCGGTGAAGGGGAGCCACACTGCAACTTGCAGATATCTGGGAACAGGGTGAAATAAGGCATCTGGCACTGGAAAGTGCCGGTCACTGAGCGAGCGGTCAGTTGATTGGCCTTAACTTCAGTTGAACAATTCAGACGAACGGCATGCAAACTTGCTGAGAACATTAGGACCAAAAGGAGCTCTAGCAGCCACAACTGTTGACAGCTGCTGCAGGATTTGCTGATGAGGAAGACTTGACCCAGTTCTTATATGCGTATGCACATGTATATTAATTGCTGTAAGTTCATGTAGGGTACAGTGTCGCTTATTCGACCTTCACAAGTCGGCCAAGACCAGTTAACCGGCTGAAATGAGTGAAGTGTTTGTGCATCGTGTAACTAATTTTTTAGGTGTTCACAAGTCCCACCTTTTCACTAATATTCCCATTTCTCAGTCCCCAGTGAGTTGAATATGCAACATGTACGTTGAACTTCCGTAGCAACCCGTTCTAATCGGAGATGCGGGGGAAGGACAACAAACTAAACACAAAAAGCAGTTCTAAAGAAAGGAGTTTCCAATCTAGATGAAGGTGCATAGTGGCTTCCTAATGAAGGAAGGACGAGCATTCCAGACAGCGCATCTGAAAACGCGTGATGCAGTGACCGTCTCTGTTCAGTGGCGAGCCAAAAACATTGTGTGTGTGCGCACGCTCCACAGACCCGACTGTCCAGGGGGCGGTGCATTGTTGAGTCCGTGTGGCAGCATTATAGCGATGGAGACGATGGTGGCGCGGTTGTCGGTACAAGGCTGCAGGGCGATGGGCTTTGGCAGCATCTGTTGGTGCAACAGCAGCAGTGGCATTGTCCGATTAGCACGGTAGGCTACATGTACGGTGCCAAAGAAGTTCTGTATACATTCAGCATTATAAATGTATTGCGGGGACAGTCAAGCAATTAACATCCAAGTGTCTAGCATGGCAATGCTTATTACCATGAATTTGACCTCATAATTAAGCACCGACGCTAATATCTGTGGTGGAAGACTTTTCCAGGAGCAACTGATCAACTCATTCCACACCCTGGATGGGGTGTTATAGGGGTGTGAGAGACGAACCGGGAATGGCTCCGTGAAGGTGAGGAATGGCTCTTCCCGCAGGGGCAGCACCAGGCTGACAGAGGCAACAGGGCGGCTTCCCATCTGCTGCTTTTCACGCACCAGCATCTGGACCAGCACACACAAATACGCGCTCACACGCTGGATCTCACCGTCACCTGTGCTGACATATGCCGCTTTCGAATGTTTCCTAGGCTGTGTAGGTAGCTCCGGCACACTCCTTGGCTGCTCTGCATTCCTGTCAACCTGTATATCCCCTATGGTGCTCTTGGAAAAACCATGAGCTATACTTGTCTGCAAGGATCTACAGGATTGTATGGCCATCGAATCATCTCGATCTTGCCCCCGCTTGGAAAAGAAATCATCACTCATGACATCTCCCTCCCACTGGCGTCAAATCAACTTTCATACATTACAAGCGGTCGACCTCAGCGTTGCGACGAAATACACGGACTTTCCTCCACCTGTCTTTCCCATCTCATGTTGTGCCATCCACTCCAGAATGAATAATTTCTGTTGACATCCCCCGGGGGGGGGGGGTCATTATACCCTCCGATGCTTTATTTTCAAATCTCTCCTTGTCCGTCAGCTCTGCTGACTTCCGTCTTGAATGAAGTCCACGCTCGAGACTTTCCTTGTCCACTCTGTCCACAATTGGATTTTCTCTGCAAGGCCAAGCCCTGTCCAATCTCGAATTCGATGTATAATTTTGTGCCTCCTGCTTTCCACTGTCATCTATGCTCCCACCCCCACCTGCAACCTTGATTAAAAACATGGCTCTGGAACGCGATTTTAAGTTGATTAGGATACAAGGCATATTAACGATCAATATGCTATAAATGCATTGGATTGTAAACTGAGTAGAGAGAGGGATATGAGTAGGCACTGAATATGAAAATGAGTGACAGGGATATATATAAATATGAACTTGAAACATAATTTTTCAAAGCCAATACAAAACTCCATATTTGTTTGTGGTATTAATGACAATAATTTCATGCCAAAATCCTTGTCATTAAACTACCAGTGCACCACTGTTACGTGTTCACTACATGATAAGAGCTCACACACGGTTTGAGCCAAACATCGCCGCGTGACGACGACGATGTTGTTGTTGTTGTTGAATTCAGTTGTGACAAATCTCGTCGCCGGTCTGCTTCTTTCATATGACGGGAGGACATTGGGACGCGTCGAGTTTTGGCGATCCGCGCTCGGTGACTTCCCGAGATGCCGAGTGGGCAAATAAAGCACCTCCCGCAACCTGTGTCAGTGCAGGGCCGGTCGATCTGTGATAAGTTCCACGCTCCGGGACTCGGGGGCCACAGTCGCACTTGGAGGTCACATCCCACGTTGTCCGCTCATGATGCCGGGGGGCCGACTGCGTCATGCCCCCCCCCCCCCCACTACCGTGTCCTGTCCCTCCATGTGGAGTCTGTTGAGTGTTGTCCGCTGTCTTGGAGGGAGGTCAAAGCCAGGGAACTGTGATGTTAGATCAGCAACGAGTTGTTGGTTCTTCGTCCTACGTCCTACGATTCCATCCCACGATTCTTAAGTCACCGGTGATGAGCTGGATTGGTTTCAGTTTGATTAGTACGTTGGGACGTAAAAATGACGTCTTTGTAAAAGGGACAATATTGTCGAGTCGTGGATTAATGACAACAATTTTGGCATAAATTTACCACATGAGTTAACCCAACAAATATGGATAATTTCTAAATGTGATTGTACTGTTACTACCATTTAAAAAGAAATTATGTTACTAGGTAAGGCCCATTGAGCAATATAGCTCTTTTTCAGAACCAACCTGGCTATCACAAATAAGAGTTAAACGAAGTGGCTTATCACGTGGAAATTGATAGCAGTCAAATACTCGTAAAACTTACATTACGCTCCTTACCAATGGAACTCCACACGCCTGCACACATTTCACCCTTTCCCTGTGTACCCAACATTTCCATCGTGGCACCTCTAACCCCTCTCTCTGTTCTCAAGTTCCCCAATGGGTGTACCTCTCTCCTGTGCGATGCCCAGCAGCTGTGCTTGATCTTCCACACAACGGCTGCCAGCAGCAGCAGGGAAAGGAAGCAGCTGCAACACAACGGTGTGTGAAGCACAGCATCGTTAATAATAATGCGACTTTCATTTTATAGCACGGCATCATTTATGACAACAGCATCCCACAACGCTCTACATTAATTTTATATGAAGACCAAAACCCACACGCAGTTGGCTACACACGGCGTAAAATAAGCTCAACACACACACACCAAGCAAATGACAACACTACTACTACCAAGAAAAATACAAAATGAATAAAAATTCAGAAATGGCACCAAAACAAAAAGCACAAACAACAAAAAAGTGATCAAATCGCAGTCCCAACTTGCCAACCTCGCCCGGAAACATTCACAGGAGGAGCGGCGGTGGAGTGGCCAAAAAGTTACGACTCGTTTATACCAATTGGTCCAATATCCAAAAATAGATTTCCTATTTTTCACCGTATGCCTCGATGAAGAATAAAAAAGGCCTTTATAGTTCAGATGTGAATAAACATGAAGAGACGATCATAGGGTCACTATGGCGTGTGCGCCATCTCGGGTCACAAGCCGGAATTGGGTGTCTCGGTCTCTCTCTGGCACCGGCGAAGGTAGGGCAAGGAAGCGGGCCCTCGAGGACATGTTCCATTGACAGGTAGAGAGAGGACACGTGAGGACGTGGCCGTGGGGTGATCCCGAGAGGACACGTGACCGGCACAGGATAGCAAAGGGGGCCCAAAAGGGGGCTTGAGAGACACGTGACACTGACCCCAGATCTTTCGGGAAAGATCCCGAGGGGGGCGTGGCCAGAGGCGGATCGAGGCCACAGAATACTCCACGCGGTTTCATTGTGCGCATAGGTGAAGTTAAGGTCAAGTTTGTTTTGTTTTTTTACCAGGTGAGAACTCAAGAGAACAGGAGTCTCACTTGCAGGTGACCTGGATCACCAAAATGACAATGTAAAAAACTAACAAAACAAAGTAAAGCAGTGAAGTAGGGCAATCAAAACAAAAACAATGTCAGCCCCAGAGGGATAGCAACATGAACATACTGGAACCAAGAGCAGCTAACAGCAGTTACAAATTAAGCACGTGGCTATATGTGGCCAACAGTCATCAATATCCTTAAGTACGTATGTTGCCATTTTCGCACCTCACATCGCCAACCGTGCTAATTTGAGGTGCGGGGGAAAGACAACAATCTAAACACAAAGTAGTTCTCAATAAATGAGTTTTCAATCGAGATCATTTAAAAGTGCAAAGCTTCCAGTGGCTTCCTAGTATTGAAAGCGCACGATGCAGTCACCGTCTTTGTTCGATGGGTCGCCAAAAGAAGCTGCGAGGATGACCGGAGTTCACATGATGATGGTTGATGCTCCTTGTGTGCAATATGTGTGACCTTATAATGTATTCATTCGGTAACCGGAATTCAATGCAGCTCGGCGAGCACTGAATGGGCATGGTCGGATCTTGCAGTACCCGTCACAGCATTGGAAGCCAATGCTGTTTTTACCAAATGTCCCAGAGAATAGTGAGTTGCAATAATCGAGCCTTGTCAATGCCATGCTACATGCCACCGTGTTGGCAATGCCATGACTGAAAGCAGGAGTGGCCAATGACGGCATTGACAACGCATGTCTATCCACTATATCCATGTTTATGCTGACGATGGTCGTACATTTATTGTAGTTTCTCATTAGAAACATCAGCTGGATGCCTCCTCGCAAAGTTCTGACAAATTTCAAACGATTCTCTCGTGCGGCCAGAATAACCGAGTCGCCAGAGTGCGTGTTTTACAATCACAAAGCACACACTCTGTCTCAGCTAAGGCAACACAATGTCTTTCCCGAGCCACCGTCTGGTGCCGTCCACTTTCCAGATGGTTGGTGGCCACGTGGCGCCTCACTCTGCCCTCCCACTTTGCAACGTCGGCCCCAAACTGGCAGGCTACACTCGTCTGTGAAACGTAGCGCTTTCGTTTGGGCATCGTGCTTTTATAACGGAGCGGGCACCAACTGTGATTTTTATTATTACGACTGCAGGCGCTGGCGTGGCCTGGGCTGCGTGCGAGGATGTGATGGTGGGTCGTGTCTTCGTCTGGTACCATACCTGAAGAAAGTGACGAAGAACTGAACCAGATCCATGAAGTTACTCCGTTGCGAGAAGGAAATCTGAGAGAATGGAAGTGTGCTGAATTAATAAATGAAATAACATTTTTAGTTTGTCAATCACATGTACAGTATGTATGAATGTTGAACTTCTTTCGAACTGTACGTAGCCAACTGTGCTAGTCAAAGGTGCAGGGGAAGGTCAAAAAACTGATCACAAAAAGCAGTTCAAAAAAAATTAGCTTCCAATCTGGATGATTTAAAGTTCATAGCTCCAGTGGCTTCCTAATATCAGAAGGAAGAGCATTCCAGATAGCCGCAAAAGCGTATTTGGAAGCGCGCGATGTAGTGACCATCTTTGCTTGATGGTTAGCCAAAAGCCGCTGTGAGGATGACCAGAGTTCACGTGATAATGGTTTATGCTCCTTGACGAGATCAGCGAGATATTGTGGTTCATTTGTGGCAATCACTTTTCGTGGAATGCGTGTGAGTAAAACACCCCGAGTAAAACACCTTATAATGAATTCGTTCGGCAACTGGAAGCCAATGCAGCTTGGCGAGCACGAGAGGGGCACAGTCGGATCTTGCAGTACCCCGTCACAGCACGTGCCGAAAATAGTTATCCAAAAGTTCGGCCACTCTTCTGCGGATTATTATTGACAATTCTGAGGATTATTATTGACAGACAACTGTTTTATTTATTTATTTGCACCTCAACCTAAGATAACAGTGTTAAAACCGACGGTTTTTCACTGCGGGCACAAACGCGCGTGGCACCTGGATGGAGATGGGGGCTGTGAAGTTGCTGACGTAGACGTAGAAGGTGATGTTGGGGTTATCCTCGAAGTCGTACTGCTCGTCCGAGAAACTGTCCTCGTACTCCTTGATGTTGAAGAGAGAGACCACCACCACCTCCTCTCCGCTCTCTGTCGGAGAACAACGTGCACGCACAGACACGAGTATCCACGTGGGTAACGCAGGTTCTCGAACGTCGAAATCAGTTTACAAACGCGGCGATGATGAGATATTAACTGCCTCGCCTGGTATGAAGCTCGCGGATTCGATCCCGACACTGATGCCTGTATATTTGGAGTTTGCGTGTCTCTCTCGCTGTGGTTACGTGGACCTTTCTCCGGGTCCTCCGGTTTTCCCCTCCACATTTAGAAACGTGCGTTTAGAGTATTTGGCTGCAATCCATTTTCACGCAATAAACCACTTTGTTGAGATATCAGTTTTGGGCCAAGTCGCTTCTGAAAAAGAACTATATAACTAACTACCAGGCCTTACGTGGTAAAATAAAAAAAAGAGTTTTCAAGAAATAGTTTTAAATAAAGTAATACCCCGATTTATGTCTCCCCATTTTACATCGTTTCTCAAATACGTCGTCACTTTATTAACACTGCTACCCGATTTTCGTTGCCTCAACCCGCACAGGATCATCGTCCGTCCTTATCTCGTTATCCGTCGCCTCTCAGCCTTCGTCTCCACCACCTACCCTGTAAATTCCTTTTATTTAAGTAATTTCAATATTCATTGGCACATCTTTCACGTAAACCAGGGTGATACAGTAGACATATAACTATAATATATAAACACTTAGTGGGAAACGCGTAACAAGGGAGAGCGTGCGTGATGCAGAACCCTCAAAGGGTAGAACAAAAAAAATTGTAAAGGTTCAGCCCTGCAATTGCTCTGCTCACACAACTGCTATAGAGCAAATTCTCCTCTGCATTGGGGCTTCTCTTCCACATTGACCAGACGTATTTGAATGGATCACATAAAAGGTGAGGCCTACCAATATTTTACCCCTCCACACACGCGACCGGCCAATTGATTGACTTGATGAATCCATTTAGACTGCTGGGTGGATGGAGGCGATGGTGTTAGGGGAGGGGCGGGTGGGGGCGGTATGACGAGGTTGTGGACAATCTGGCACGGGGTTACGTACTTTGTAAAAAAAACTTTTTTTAAACCTCTGAGGAAGACGGAATTACGTGGGAGTCATTCTACTCCCCGCTGCTCACCCCTCCTGGAAAGTAATCCCTTCTGACGTTCACACAAACGTACGAACAGGGCACGGCGACCTTACCGGAGGAACGCGAGGACCACGTGATGTTGAGGTTGAAGCTCTTCGATGCATTGATAAACATGTCCATGTCTCGGTTCTGCCCAGCAATGAGATGAGATCATAACCATAGCACAGTCCAGGTAGAGTTAGACATTAACAAATACTCTCAAACGCATCTACATAAAATTGTATCATTATTTAAACTTCCTACAATCTGCTTCGCAGGGCTAAAGTTCAAGTCGGGTATGTCAGAGTCAAAAACCCATAGAAAATGTGTATGCCCAGTGGCACAAAGATCCCCCATATAGCCTTCACAGACTCTTGGGGCAAGTGCTGTTCGCGAGCACCTACGAAGGACGGCACGGCACACGAGTGAGTGGGTGGCCAGCACCACGCCCAGCCGCCTTTGTCTCCCCAGCGACAATGTTTACACATCGCACCAGATACTTATTTGAGGCTGAGTCGACCTAGGGGAGGGCCCAGGACCGATTCAGATAATCGTCACCGGTGTTGATGGCCATGAGCGGGAATCGAACTCGCATCGCCGGGTTCGAAGCGCAGCGCTAACCGCCGCACCACCACTCCCCACCCAGTGAGACACCAAAATCCAGCCACACAGTCTCACAACTCCCACGGCCGCTCGTCACGTTGCCACCTCCAGTCTTGCTCACAACCAGCAACATACTCCGTGGGAATTTAAGCCCAGTTTTTTGGGTAATCTTTACACGTCTAAAGCATTGTTTGAGGAAACCCATTTTAGCAAAATGTTCCTTGAAAGAAATCGCAGAGTTTCAGTAAAGCCATCGAGATGATAATCATTGTTACAAACGGCAATGCGTATTGTGTGGCGAGCTCTCTCGCGGCAGCAGAGCTGTGGACGCACCTCATCAGGGTTTGCCTTGAAGTTGATAGCGGTGTAATGGCTGTCTTCCTCCAGAGAGAGGCTGAATGTGAACTGATAGTCGACCATTAGATTGTCTGTAACATGGGGCACAGACACGCAGGTGTAACGCACAGTGCACGCACGTGTGCTTGCAGGTAAACCGTCGTACAACAAAGAGAGTTTATGAAGCGCCGAAGCATGCGAAGGTCTGAACCGCACAGAAAAGCACCGATAATCTCAACGTCCATTAATGACGGTCTACGTTTACAGGGCAGAACGGATGAATTCATGCCACGCTCCTTGCACGAAATACTGTTCACGTTTAAATAAGTTTATTCATAACACAAACGTAAAGCTAGAATGTACATGTATATGATATCAACGTCATTCGCTCACTAAGCCCAATGTCACCAACATCACCTCACCTCACCTCACTATTGCTTCCTCCCTTCAGTGATATCCTGCAACTGTTGTGCATTAGACACTCATCTCTTATGTTTAACCTGGGCTCCAATTTAAATACAGTACTTATATCCGTATATTCTCCCGTTACAACAAAGGACAAAACTAACTTGAGGCTGTCCATTCACTCACCCCACAGGTCACGTGACGCCATTTAAGTTAAAAAAATATTTATTGGAACCCAGCGGTAGCGCATTAGCTGGCAAGTCGCCCTGCTTAATACCGCGTGTGTATTAACCATACAAATGGAGTTCCGTCTGCTTCACCTACGATTAGTACGGTTTGTCTATGTATGGTGCAAAAGAAGTTCCACATGCACGTATTCACAGTGGACGTTCAAGGTCCCCTGACGTCATAAAAAAACACAGGCCATCGTGTGCTGGTGTCATGGTCCAAATTGGTCAAATGACGCTGCAGATCACTTAAATGTGAAGACACATCGTAGCAGCATCGCTCCGTATTGGCAGACGATACCCGTCTGTGAAACACAACGCCTTCGTAAATAGCCCTGCACCATTATGAGAACGGTGTGAATAGTAAATGCACTAAAATTGTATCGTGAGCTAATATTATTGTTGTTTCGTAGATGAGAGTTCACAAATTTCCAGTGCCCTATTTTTGTTTTCCATTTACTGTTAATTTGGCCATGTCCTTGTAAGTATTCTCATAGCTGTCAACCCACACGATTTACCTGTATTCTTGTACAGGGAAATTGGGTTTTCAAGCCCATACAGCATACAGCTGTTTCAATATGGACAAAAATAATTGTTTCTCCCTTATGATGGGACTTTGCAGGATGAACGTTGAGATGTATAAGGGGCACGGGGGTGATGAATAAGGTCTGAATTGGTCCGTAAGAAGGTAGGGCACTGACAAGGGGTTGACAGGGATGTAGTCGACACACATCGCTGGGTTCGACAGCAGGTCACGGAGCGAGTACTCACAGTAGCAAGTTCCCTTCAGGGAATTGCCCAGGTAGCGGTTCTCCGTCTCACACCTGGGTAAACAAACAACAAGTCGCCATCACTCTGAGGTGCTTTTAAATTTGAACAACTCCCCTTCTCCGCCTCAAATCACTGCACCTTATTGAATTAAATGATGACGTCACCCTGCTACTGCTGCTCTATTTAAGACCGGGAGCAAGAGGAGAGCCTCACCATTTTGGCAAATCGCCTGATGAAGCTGGATGTGATTACCAGCGAAACGTCGTACTCAAATTGTAAATGATGTTGATTCGCTCTTCAACACACCGGTGGACTAAAGAAGTGAATTATTTTGTCCTTTGTAAACGTGACACGTTTTTTACTGTTTGGCCGTTTATTATGAACTCTGAGATGTTGATAGTGCGACGATACGCGTGGTGAGAATATCCAAGCGCCAAAGGAGAAAAGGGGACATCATGTGGTGGTTGTTGGGCAGTCGGTTGAGAATGCACACTGTTGGAGAGGGATGTTTGTTGGAAGAGAATAAGATTATTACATGAAAGCTATATATGATAAACACATTAAAGGCGTTTGCAGGCAATGATCGACACTTGGGTGAAGCTGAGCAGGTGTGTGGCAAGCCAGTGAATAAATGGTAGAGGCACAATGTGGTCTTTTTCAGGCGGTTAAACAAACCAAGAATTTGAGTTCATGTGTGCGTGAAGGTGCAAAAGTGCGATTGTGTGAATACACGTACACTTCACACTGGTCTCCACGGATGCCTTTGGTGGTACAGAAGCACTTCCCCGTCAGTGGGTTGCAGTTGGTCGCATGACCGTTGCAAAAACACTCTGCAAGAACAATATCGACATCGTCAGCATCGCCATCATCATCACCACTATGTCCACACCATTCACTCCACAAGCGTGGAGTGCATGGAATCAGAAGAAAAACTAAAATAAAATAACTTTATCGATATCGAGGCTCCCACAAGGCCATGCGTGAGGGTGTGTGGCACATTTTGGTGTTAGCTATCATCGAGTGTGGTCGTGTCGCTACGGTTGTCTGCGGCGTGTACAATGTCTTTAAAAACAGCGTTGCTACACCCCTCTAAATAAAATGAAAGCTGACCACTTGCGTGTTCCGAGATTCAGCGGTTGAACGAGACCTTCCCTGCAACTTGCAGACGTCTCGGAACGGGACAGGGTTAATTAATTATCATTATCCTTCTCTGTAGCAGTAGTACTAACATGCCAATAATCACAGTCGCCCATCTATTTTGTGTGCATACAGTCGGTGGATAACTGCCACACACATGAATCCCAGAGTTCATTCTTTGTCCAGTGATCGTACAGCAGCCGTACTCTGTGCCAACGCAAAACGAACATGGCCCGAGGGTGGAGTGTGGACCGTGAGGGGCAGCTCTCATCACGTATTCGTGGAGTCACCCTGCTCTCCACACTTGCCAGTAAACTTAAAAATATATATATTTGACCAAGTAAGGCCCACTGAGCACGCGCCACGGTGACGAGATTTTAACTACCTCGCCTGGTATGCAGGAGGTCGTGGGTTCGATCCTGACACCTACTGTGTATTTGGAGTTTGCGTGTCTCTCTCCCCGTGGTCACGTGGATTTTTTTCTCTGGGTAACTCCGGTTTTTCCCTCCACATTTAGAATCGACATGCATTCGGAGTATTTGGCGGCTATAAATTTCCATGTGATGCGCCACTTTGTTGAACAGATATCATTTGTCATTCCCGGGTCGCTTCTGAAAAAGAGCTACATAGCTCAGTGGGCCTTACACCTGGTAACATAAAACATCGTTTAGTTTGATGCGTGCGTGCGCGCGTTTCTCACCCTGACATTTCCCTCCGTTGGTGGCGTCTCCGTAGTAGCCGAACATGCAGGTCTCGCAGTGCTTGCCCGTCGTCAGCTCCTGGCAGCTCTCACACAGGCTGCCGTTGACACAGTTGCTGTGTCCATTGCACTGGCAGGCTGCACACGAAGACACAGACCCCCCCCTCATGCAGCCTCAACAGACTGTTGGGGCAAGTTCTGTTAGCAAGTAGCACCTATGAAGGTTGGTACCGTGGCACACGAGGGGGTGGGTGGGTGGTTATCGTAGTTATTTTACAGTGGCAGATTCATATGTGATTATTGAACAATGACTCTCATGCACGACAAAATCTCACGCATGTATAAATCACCTCACGTACCCCCAGGGACATTGCCACGTACTCCCAGGGGTCCGTGTACCCCACCCCGGTTAAAGAATCACTCTGCTCTGAGGCAGTGTGGTTCTTAACCTTCACTGCAGCCTTGCACCCTTTGGGTTCTCAATCGTAAAAAAATGTATAATGTTAATAAATACATAGGTTTCATGAAACAAAGTAATTACGTGCCCGTGCTTAATTTGTGTTTTCGATGATTTAGCCTCTAAACAAATCTGTCCACGTCTCGCACCCCCAGAAAGGGCATCTCGCACCGCCAGAGGGTGCGTGATGCACCCCAGGTTAAGAACCACACTGCTCCAATGGAAACCCTCCCTGCCGTGGGGAATGCAAGCGAAGACTCACGTGGGCACTGTATGAAGGCCCACTCGTGGCCGTGGTCGGCGCGGCACAGCGCCGGGTCCACGGCGGAGTCGGCGCCCGGGGCGCTGCCCAAGCGCAGCGGGCCTCGCGACGAGCCCTCCAGGCACAGGCCGCGGCCCGTGCGGCTCGCGTCGTTGCACCAGCCGCACCCCGGCTCGTCGAGGCAGCGGCTGCACGTGCGGTGGCCGGCGCAGCTCTCCGCTGCACAGACGCACCGGTCGGCGGTTTACGCGAGGGCACAGGGCTGAAGCGCTTTTTTTGTGCAATCAACGAAAAAAATGACGACGACCACCAACAACCACCATTTGCCGTTCAGTGGTAGTTTAAACTTTGACTATTTTTTATTTTACCAGGTAAGGCCCGCTGAGCTATATAGCTCTTTTTCAGAAGCGACCTGGCTATCACAAATCATACCTGAACGAAGTGGCTTATCACGTGGAACCAAGAAGATGAATCCCTGCAGTCACGAAAGCGTTAAATCGAAATTTAGGAGCCAAATACTCTCAACATATGTTTCTGAATGTGGAGGGGAAAACTGGTGGACCCGGAGAAAAATCCGCGCGACCCCGGGGAGAGAGACATGAAAATTCCAAATATACAGGCGTCAGGGTCGGGATCGAAGCCACGACCTCTTGTGTACCAGGCGAGGGAGTTAACATCTTGCTACCGCAGCATGGCACTTGTGCTGAGCTAGGTGCATATTGAGGTCATGTGATGTAGCAGAGGCTCGCTTGGTCACGGGACAGATCCGAAGAGAAGCTCAATGAGCTACAGCGCTTTCTTTCCGAATGCGTTTCGGACCAGGAGACAACAAAGGCAGCAAAGTGCTGCACACCCTGAGCGCCACTCCTCACTTTGAGCCCGGCAGCTGACAGCTACCCAGGGGTACCTCACCAGTCTCCCTTCACTGTGGCCAAACCTTGAAAACCCCTGGTACCAACAATCAGCAAGGTCTGACTAGAGCTGAGTGTTTAGATAATACTGGTAGGAACCTCCTGGTTACACCAGCCCACAGGGAATTATTGTGTCCGTCCGTCGTGCAGGGAGGGGCTGGGTGGGGAGGGTGGGGCTGGGTGGGGAGGGGAGGGGAGGGTGGGGAGGGGCTGGGTGGGGAGGGTGGGGTGGGGAGGGTGGGGCTGGGTGGGGAGGGTGGGGCTGGGTGGGGGGTGGGAGGGGTGGGGCTGGTTGGGGAGGGGCTGGTCACCCCGTGGTGCCCTTATAAAACTCAACGTTTAACCTACTCACGCCGGCTTGTGCCCGCCCTCACAGTCGGCCATTGACCCTGGCCATTTACCGAGCAACCCAACGTTCCTACCAGCTCCCTCTGCAGGAATGTGACAAAATGTGAACCTTGTTAGATGACATTTTGGGCAAAGGCTCTTCCATTGGAGCAGAGATGACCTCATAGTCAAGATGATTTCTATGCTATGCCCATTTTATATTTTCTTCTCCTTAGGGAAGTGTTATTCATGAATGTGTTGCGTATTTATGCTTGTGCACCACTGCCAATGCAATATCCCGAAAAGTTTTCTACATTTTGCAAGTGGCCTGCGAAAATTAATATTTCTCCTTTAAATGGCTGGCTGGCGCAGAACACCCGCCCCTCTGCCAAACCCCCCCCACCCCCGCCCAACCCCTCCCCCCCCCCCGAGTCTGCAACTCACGTGGGCACGTGTTGGCGGTGTTCCACTCCATGCACTGGCCGTAGGGGAAGGACGGCACGTAGGCGTGCGACTCGACGCAGCGCTTGGCGTTGCTGCACCACATGCACTCGGAGCCACTGCTGGTGCACTCCCCGCAGGTGCGACGCAGCGCGCACGGAGGCCGGCAGCGCAGCGACGAGGGAGTTGGATGCACTGCGGGGGGGGGGGGTGCGTGGGGTGGGGGAGGATTGGGCCGGGAGAAATGCACCTCGGATTTGTCCTTCGCCCGCCACCTCCGATTAGCACAGTTTGCTACGTACGGTGCAAAAGAACTTCAACACACATACATATTACAAATTGCATTTGTAGCATGAATTTAAATAAATATATACATCCATATGGAGTGTCTTTAAAAATTACTCACACTGACACGTTGTAACAAGTCACCTGCTTATACTTTATTCGCCTATTCTTGCACCAGTTGTAGGCACTCCTATAACTATCTGTATGGTCACTTAGGTTTAACTTCTCCCCCTCGTATCTACTTTACACCTCACTTATCCTGCACTCAGCGACTCCACACACAGCGTCTCTGCACACAGCGACTCTGCACACAGCATCTCCGCACACAGCGTCTTCGCACTCAGCGTCTCCACACACAGCGTCTCTGCACACAGCGTCTCTGCACACAGCGACTCCGCACAGAGCATCTCCGCACACAGCGTCTCTGCACACCGCTGCCCTCACCTACGCTCCCTCAGACCCGTCTGACCCGGGCGGGGGGATCAGCCAACACCCGCCCGGCGACGCGTGAGGGTTGAGGTTCGATGACGGCTCACATGGCAGCGGCAAGATGTCTTCACTCTTGTCCCCAGCAACAACTCCCCGCTCCGCTCACGCACACGCCCTTATATCCCCCTGCCAATTATCCAAGACCCTTCGTGCGTCTCTTTAAGCTCTCGCCAGGCTGGCGCCTGTTTGCCCATCAATCAACCCTTATCTCCCATCTCCCTGGCAACACCTCCGGCTTTGACTTGTACTACCGGTCGACCCCGTTTGCACCCGCTCTGCCCCTTAACAACTGGCAGTTTGTCCGTGCAAACCTCACATTTGCACCCGCGCACCCGTTTGCCCTCAGTTGCCTTCGGCTAACAGTGCGCACCACGTATTTCACTCCTCAACACATACTATGCGGAACCGTACCAAGGGTCTTCTGGCACACAGCGCCAAACACCTTGCTAGTGCAGGGGTGGGCGCGGAGCCCAGCGATGGTCGATTGGTCCAAATAGGCACAGAATCCAGAGTCGCTCGGTTCCCTCGGGAGCCACTGCAGACTGGAGTTGGCAAAAGGTGACATGTCGTCCCAAGACCAGTAGGAGACGTTAATCTTCCGCAGCCCCACCCAGGGAGTCAGCTGTGTAAACACGACAAGAGGAGCGGTCAAGTGGTGAGAGGAACACTGAAGGGTATCCGCATTGGTGTAAACTACGGAGTGGGGGACACATAATGAAGGGGAAATGGCATTCTAAATTAATTCATAGGCGATATTGCAGAGTTGAGCGCCACCGAAAAGTTGGCAACTTACTTATCAGTGTAGGGGTTCTCAGACAATTACGCTACTTGCATAGGGTGTGGTGAAGCCGGAGCTTCTACGAGGTCTGATGGCCAAGGCCAGGCGAGGCCCTACCACTTGCCATTCCACGCATGAGACGCATCACGAGACACAGTTGTTATGATTAGTATTTGTTTTATTCATGCATTTTATTTGCTTTGCTTTTGTAAGTTTTGGTGACCCAAGGTCGCTCTTGCAATTGAGATGATGGCGACCTTTTGAATCCTCGCCTGGTTAAACAAAGTAAACGTATCTCCTCTACCTCTGACATTCAAAGTCAACTTCCTCCCAGCCCAGCTTCCCCTCACTCCCAACGGTCGAACCGAACCTCCTTTGCTCCCGCGTGCCCGCCAGCATTGGTTAAGCATTGCCCTCTAACCCTCGCTCACACAGCGAACACATTGTGTGGTATAGAAATTAGCAGAGTGTCGTGACAAAAGAAAACCATCTCATATGCAGAGCAAGTGGAAAAACGCTGCCCTCTACCGTGTAGACCAGAGGTCACTTGAACGGTTCTCAGAGGTAGCTCGGTGATATCCACTTTTCCATGGGCTGTTCTCAACCACAAATGGCGAGAGATTCTCATGGAATGTTTATCTCGTGATACGAAAACACAAATCGAGGGGATATTATTTCAATAAAGCAATATTAATTAAAAACTAAACTTAAAACTAAACTATTTTTTATTTTACCAGGTAAGGCCCACTGAGCTATATAGCTCTTTTTCAGAAGCGACCTGGCTACAAATGATAGCTCAACGAAGTGGCTTATCAAGTGGAAATGTATAGCAGCCAAATACTCTAAACACATGTTTCTAAATGCGGAGCGAAAAATCGGAGGACCCGGAGAAAAATCCACGCAACCACGGTGAGAACACGCAAACTCCAAAAAAGCATCACAAAAAAGTAGTTTTTGCACGAAAATTCTCAAGACGCACGTAAAATGCGCACAACGTCAACGCAGGAACTTTCGCCTCACGGGAAGCTTGCCACCTAGCCGTAGGACGCGCGCGCGGGCGCTGCCCGCGGGTAATACCTGTGGATGATCCCGGCGCAGGGACGCGAGCAGGAAGTCGACGTGACGCTGCGAGGTGAGCGACGCGAGCGCCGCGTGCTCGTTGTAGCACTGCAGCTTGGCGTCGTCGTTGCTCACCGCCTCGGGCAGCACGCGGAGACACTGGGCGCCCACGCGCATCCAGCGCTCGCCGCACAGGTGCGCTGCGGCACGCGCGCACATTCACGTGCAGGGAACAAGACGGAGAGATATCCCCCCCGCTCTCCACCGCTTATGACGAATATGGAGGTCGTCATGAAGGAGAAAGAAGAACTGGATTGGACATTTAAACTAAACTATAAAATTAATTTAATGTTACCTGGCAAGGCCCACTGAGATACGTAGCCCAACGAAGTGGCTTATTACGTGGACATTTGTAGCAGACAAATTCTCTAAACACATGTTGATTTTACAGTAAATGGGGAGGTAAAAACCAGAGGACCCGGAGAAAAATCCACACAACCACGGGAGATAGACACCGCAAACTACAAATATACAGACATCAGGATCGGGATCGAACCCACAACCTCCTGTATACCAGGCGAGGCACTTAACATCTCACCACCATGGCACATTCTACGAAGATTGGGAGGTCGTCTGAGATGAAGTGAGGGGGCGTTTGTGTAAACGGAAAGGAGGCCAGCGAACAGGATGGAGAAGATGACAGCCAAGGGCCTGCTATTGAGACAGAGCACCAAGAGAACAAGTTCAGCTTAGCAGGCTGCCGGTGCTGTTAGCGAGCACCTATGGGGGCAACATTGCTATGTATAATCCGAATTGAGTCATTTGCGGCGTATTTTTTTCGGCGTTGGCATGTTTAGGACAATGCCAGTTACATTGTGTGTTGTCTTAGCGATGGGGAAGAAGCCGGAGAAACCAGAGTAAGCCCGTGAGAGAACAGAGGGAGAGCGATAACGTAGAAGCTTCACACGCAAAGGTGCCCGAGGCAGGAATCGAACCCAGGCACTTGTTGCTGTGAGGCACAAGTGTTACTGTGCCACTATGCTGCCCATCCAGGAGGTGGGTGAAACCCCACCAGAATTAGTATTTATTTAAGTAATTATATTTATCGGAGAAAATACTTTGGGAGTTTTCTTAGTGATGAGTGGAATCCATGAGAGTCCTCCGTGTGAGTGATGAGTGGAGTCCGTTAGAGTCGTCCCTGCAGTGTCAGTGAGGTGTGGAGTTCGTTAGAGTCGTCCCTGCAGTGTGAGTGAGGGGTGGAGTTCGTTAGAGTCGTCCCTGCAGTGTGAGTGGAGTCCGTTAGAGTCGTCCCTGAGTGTGAGTGAGGTGTGGAGTTCGTTAGAGTCGTCCCTGCAGTGTGAGTGGAGTCCGTTAGAGTCGTCCCTGCAGTGTGAGTGGAGTCCGTTAGAGTCGTCCCTGCAGTGTGAGTGGAGTCTGTTAGAGTCGTCCCTGCAGTGTCAGTGAGGTGTGGAGTTCGTTAGAGTCGTCCCTGCAGTGTGAGTGGAGTCCATTAGAGTCGTCCCTGCAGTGTGAGTGGAGTCCATTAGAGTCGTCCCTGCAGCGTGAGCGGTGAGTGGAGTCCATCCTCCATTACAGTATATCATTCACAGGAATCCATCGGTCTTTCTTCATTCACGTTCGTCGTTCAGTTGAGTTCAAAGCGTACGTCGTTTCGTGGACTGAGTGAATCTCTTGCACCATGTCCGGGACTTCTCTACGCAATGACGAATCCTATTCCTCGGATTAATCACCCGAGTCGAGTAACGTGGATAAATGTAAATGCACCGTTCCTGTCGCGCGAGCACCTGCAATAGTGGTGCACTCCTGTTCCTTGGCATCCCACTGGCAGTTGGACTCGAGCAGGCAGGTGGTGCAGCTCGTCAGCTTGTTGCACACTTCCTCCGTGCTGGGCACGCACTCTGTGAGGTTCATCACCGCTTCACCCTGGACGGGCACACGGGGTCAGGAGACACACGGCACAAAGGATTGAGAGGCATTTGAGTGGAATATTAACATGACTTTTTTCAAAGTTCATTACACGCCGAGTACTTGCTACTAATCAAGCACACGATACCTCGCTGGCCTCGTCAAGGAGCGTAAACCATTGTCACGCGAACTCCGGTGGTCATCCCTCGCAGCAGCGGCGGCGGCTTTTGGCTGCTCGCCGTCGAACGAAGACGGTGGTCATCGCATTGCGCGGCGCTTTCAGATGCGCTTCTGCGGCCGTCTGGAACGCTCTTCTCTACAATATTAGGAATCCACTGGGAACTGTGGACTTTTAAATCGAGATCGAATACTCATTTCTTTAGAACTGCTTTTTGCGTTAAGCTTGTTATCCTTCCCCCGCATCTCCGATTAGCACAGTTTGCTATGTACCGTGCAAAAGAAGTTCATCATACATTTCTACAAACTAGGGGGCAATGATTGCTATGCAGATTCCAATTAAGTTATTTTTCACTGGCAAAGTGCTCGTGCCACCAGGGTGCAACGCAAAGGAGTCAGAATCAGAATATTTATTCATATTGGAGGAATCCGATGAGCGAAAAAGCTCTTTTTTCACAGATGTCCAGGAGTGTTAACGGTGATCATCATATGCACATACTTGTTTCAATCTCTTAACTATTACCTCCTGTATTTAGCGATGCTTTCAATCGCCAATTTTCGATTATCAAAAAAATACAATTAATCGCTGGAATGAAGAAGGGCGAAAGTGAACGTGGACAACCTCCGTGCAGTTGCTGCTGTCCGAGATGCACTGGTCATCGCACCACAAGCAGCCGTTGGTGTTGGAGGTGCAGCTGGCGCAGTCCGTGTATTTGTCGCACCGCTCGTCGTCCAGCGCTGGAGTAGAGGGGAGCGGAGCAAGTGGCACGAGGCCAAGGCAGGTCAATCGACTGCATAGTTGGACTACATAGTTCGTACAATCGGTCACATAGTTCGTACAATAGGTTGCATTGTTCGATGACATGGTTCGTACAATTGATTACATAGTTTGGTAATTGTACAATTCAGTAAGGATCCACCAAAATGCACCAAACAGTTTACAGCCTCCATAGAACCACACGCTGGTTTTGGAGATGATTCCCTCAGTTTCCCCCAGCATTGTTCACATTCTTCTGTAAATTCAGTTGATCCGTTCACAGTGCTTCATCTCAGCGAGAAGAGTCTGGTACACTGTTCCGGCAAATTATTTTTGGCAGGCCACATCCACCTCGCTATAGGCATGCCTTGTCCACTCTTACGGCAGTGTATTACGCTGATAATCCCTACTCCAACCAAGCCCCTAGCAGCTTTCCAGAAAGTATCAAGTGATAATTCAGCACCGTCTGTTCAACATTTTGAAAGACCAATGAAAAAAACAGGACCTGCAAAACACGTCTGAGACTTCCACCTATCAGAGTCCCCAGCGGGCAATGTCAATACTTAAACTTGCAAGTTGACAATGTACTCTGGGGACTCATATTAACTACCTCGCCTGGTATTCAGGAGGTGGTAGGTTCTATCCCGACTCCGACGCCTGTGTATTTGGGGTTGTCTCTCCCCCCGTGGTCACGTGGATTTTCTCCGGGTCCTCCGGTTTTTCCCTCCACATTTAGAACCAACATGCATTTAGAGTATGTGGCTGCTATACATTTCCGCATGATAAGCCACTTCGTTGAGCAATCATTTATGATAGCCAGGTCGCTTCTGAAAAAGAGATACAGTGTGTTTCAAAATATGGACCCAATTTCAAAACAGTATATTTCACGATGGCAACATGTTACAATTACACAAAAAGTTACATACGGTTTAATGAGTTATCAAGTTTTAATAACCATTTTATAAATGCTCTATGTGCCCTCCACCTGCTGTACGGACAACATCGAGACGATAGTTGAATTCGTCCCAAACACCTCTCAAAGTGTCTTCTTCCACTGAAGTCACCACTGCCATGATTCTGTTTTTGAGGTCATCCAGGTTAGTCGCTAATGGTGGCACAAAAACACGGTCTTTTACATATCCCCACAATAAAAAGTCGCAGGGTGTGATGTCTGGGGATATTGGGGGCCAAGAGTGTAGCGCCAAGTCTTGGGGTCCCGTGTGACCTATCCAATGTTGAGGCAGTGTGTCTTGCAAATGACTGAGGCTAGGGGCTGTTTGTGCGCTGGGAGAGGCATCTAGCGGTAATCATTTGAAACTCTACGCCCCGCCCTCTCTATGCCCCGCCCTCTATGCCCCGCCCTCTCTATGCCCCGCCTTCCTCTCTATACCCCGCCCTCTCTGTGCCCCGCCCATTCAAGTGGTAAGAGTTTCATTCATGGGCGGTTCGTGGTTGCAGAGATATAGCGATTTCAAATCGGGTCCATCTTTATCAAACACCCTGTATTTCGCTCAGTGGGTCTTACCTGGTAAAATACAAAATTCTTTAGTTTAGTTTATAGTTTAGTTTATTCGTTTAATTATCCACACGGCTGAGAAGTGAAATAAAACTCGCTATGCCGCTGTATCGTACATGGCCGCGTGTGGTTGATGCGGTACAGCTGCTCGGGTGGTGCGCTTGCATATCCCTCCTCCCAGGAGACGCAGCGCTCCTGCAGCCAGAGGCAGCGCACGCCGGGGTGAGTGGACAGGCACGCGTGTTGGTTGCGTTGCGCCCCACACCCCGGGGGACGGTACTCCAGCACATCGCCCAGCATCAGGCTGTTGAATCCCCCAAAGATGTACATGGACCTGCCAGGGAAAACACGTGGGATAATACAGCGGGGTACGTGGGACTTTTACACGTGGGATAATACAGAAGGGTACGTGGGACTTTTACACGTTGGATAATACAGCGGGTTAGATGGATTTTTGGTGCACAGGACATGAGAGGAATGGGCCATAATGGGCAAAGAAGACATGGAGCATTGGGCACCAAAAGCAGAGGGCACATGGACACAGGGAAATGAGTCACCGTGGTAAAAACTGATCATAGGACATTGGGATTACAATGCATGTCAGAATGCGAAGAACTGGGGAACAGGACACAGGGCAAACATGGCCTGTGATGACCAACACATGTTTTTCACATCTGAAGAGGCACACATTTAAAATGCTCTTTGTGAACACCAATTGTGAATATATGTGAACACCAATTTAAGTGTAGGGATGTCGAAAGACGTTCCTTATGAATTGTATGAATGCTGCAATCCTTCAGTGTCTAAACTCACCAGCGTTGATGCTTGAACTGACCACAGAGAATCTTCAGAATCAGCATGTTTATAAATAATGGAGGAATCCAATGAGCTCTCAAACTCTTATTCACAGATGTCCACCACAGAGCCAATCTTCAATTGGCTCAGCGGCGGTCCAGGCTCACTTTGATTGGTTGAGAGCGGCCAATCAAGTGGAAGGAAAAGACCGGCCAGTGGCTCTCTCCGTTTGGTCGGCGATTCAAATTTGAGGTGGGCCGGTGAGATTCAAACTCAACGGACTGTGGAGAAGGAGGCCCAGGGAAATATAAGGAGGAGGAGGAGGTGGTGAGAGATATTCGAGGTTCTCCGGCACCTCACACTTCGCATCTTCGCGCTTCCTCTCCCTATGCGGTGTTTCTGTCTCTCCGAGGTAGAATCAATTACCCACTGCCTGTGTCTGCCCAGCGTCTTCTCTCCGCAAGTCACAGTCAATGTCGGTCGTTGTAAAACAGGGGCAGGGAACCTTTTTCTGCCAAGATCCATTTGCATATTTATAACATAATTCGCAGGCCATGCAAAATTATCAACTTAAAAATTAGCCTGTTATATTTGGTCAAACATTTAATTAACTCACCCCTAATGTGATGGCTGGAACTGCTTCTCTTTGGTGAGGCGTGTGATGTTAGCTGGTATTGATGATGTTGTTACTCGCAACTGCTTTTCCAGCTTTGCTCCTAGATTTATTGAATTTCGAGTCCCGCCTGCGGTTGCCTTGGCAGGGCCAGACCAAATGATTTTGCGGGCCTTATACGGCCTGCGGGCCGGAAGTTCCCCACCCCTGTTGTAAAATGTAGCAATAAATATTGGTGGTGATGCGGTGGATCGCCAATAGGCATCAGGGCTGCTTATAATTCTCGGGTGCCGTTAGTGAATGTTTTTCAGCTATTGTTCCATATCTTCGTGGCAGATTGATGAGTTCTATGTTGAACAAGTCATGGATAGAACGTTCCTACCGCAGTCAAGTATGACTGACTACCAGGTAAGGCCCACTGAGCTACGTAGCTCTTTTTCAGAAGCGACCTGACCACAAATGATAGCTCAACGAAGTGGCTTATCACGTGGAAATTTAGCCAAATACTCTAAAGGCATGTCTATTAATGTGGAGGGAAAAACCAGAGAACCCCGAGAAAAATACACGCGACCACGGGGAGAACATGCAAACTCCAAAGGGTTGGGATCAAACCCATGACCTTCCATATACCAAGCGAGGCAATTAACATCTCGCAACCATGGCGCCCTTATGCACATCATGATATTCCGCGTGCGACATGGCGCTGTGTACCGATGCTGCAGTTTACCCGTTGCTCACGACGGCGGAATGGCCGAAGCGGTTGACATCGCGATGCAGGTTAGGCTTGGGAAGCACGGTCCACTCGTCAGAAGCTTCACCGAGCGCCACATGCACCGCCACCGCCGTCACCGCCAAGGTCAGCAGCCACAGAAGAAGTGCAACATCAGTGTTATTGAAGAATGCGTTGAGTTTTTGTTGCTGTTTGTGCTTGTGCACCAATGCCAACATCAGAACATCAGTTCAACTAGGAAACAGTAGCAAGAAACATCTTCATGAGCAACAATTAGGGTCACCTTCTGTGGATATGTTAACTACCTCGCCCGATGTACAGGAGGTCGTGGGTTCGATTCCAACCCTGACGTCTGTATATGTGGAGTCTGTATATTCTCCCTGTGGTCGTATGGATTTTTCTCCAGGTCCTCCAGTTTTTCCCTCCACATTTGGAAATATGCGTTTAAGAGTATTTGGCTGCTATAAATTTCCACATGATAAGCCACTTCGTTGAGCTATCATGTGTGATAGCCAGGTCGCTTCAGAAAAAGAGCTATATAGCTCAGTGGGGCCTTATCTTGTAAATTATAAAAAGTAAAGTACAAACAAATCTGTGATGTATCATGGGAAGAGGAATCTATCATGACAGCGGAAGAGGAGAGAACTCCGCGTGAATGCAATGACCAAAACCGACAAAGTAGGGAGGCCTTTCGTCCCTCTGTGGACCGAAAAATGACCGTGAATTCCTGTTGCTACGACCGTTTGCCATAACGTGAGAGCAGGTTTCAGGTGCCGCCACGAATCCATCACCAATGTCGTAGGCCAGGAAGTCGGCGGAGAAGCAGCGCGCGCCGTTACTCATGGACGTGTCGTTGTGAGCGTTGCCTCCGAACAGCAGCACGGTGCCTCCAATCACCACGGACGAGTGGAGAAAGCGGAAGAAGCCACTGTCCTTGAGTACCATCCTGCGGTCGTATACAAGAGGACATCTTAGCAGCATTCTGGTCAGTGCGGGTTGGTGAAGGGGGCCCCAGAACTGGTTCTCAACTCATCTTAACGTCATGTATAAGCTAAACAATTTTTTTTATTTGACCAGGTAAGGCCCACTGAGCTATAGAGATCTTTTTCAGGAGCGACCTGGCTATCACAAATGAAAGCTCAAAGAAGTGGCTTGTGATCAGGTGGCAATGTATAACAGCCAAATACTATAAATGCATGTTTATAAAACCGGAGGACCCGGAGAAAAATCCACGCGACCACAGGGACAGCATGCAAACTTTAAATATACAGCAGGCGTCAAGGTCGGGATCGAACCCACGACTTCTTGCATACCAGGCAAGGGAGTTAACATCTCACCTTGACCAAGGCATTTTACAGAGAATTAACAATGGTGCGTATGAATGTAATGGTGAAGATGAGGTGAATAAAATAGATGAGAGACAGTAATGGGCGAACCTGTGATGCGTCAATTAAATAAAAACAAAATGGACGTTAGCGAATGATGATGAATCGATTGGATGCATGGGGAATGAGTGGGAGCCATGGAGAGAGATTATAGAGAGGGAGCAGGAACGGTGGTGGTTATAAGGGGGAGATTGATGGGTCGCGGGGTGAGCTAGGGGAAAAAAATTGTTTTGAGGGAGGAGGGAAGCTAGTGAGCGAAACAAGTAGGTCAGATATCGATCACAACTGATGTTAGCCATGGTGAGGAATCAAACGCAGGTATCGGGAGTCCAGAGTGCAGTGTGTTCATCGCTGGTTCACTGCGCCTCCCCCTTATGTACGATGTATGATTAATTTGCCTTTCATATTTTTATTTTTCATCAATTTGGATTTTGGATACTGTGAAGGAGAATTGTATGACTGACTGGAAGTTCACATTCATAATTCTAAACTCAACTCCGACAATGAGAAGTAAAGGCTGGCTATGTTGGTCTTTAAAAATAAATCATCATATTCACTTCATGCATTGGTGGATCAAGATACAGCTCAACATTTCAAAGAAGGGAGCGACAGCAAAACACTGGTGGGAAGTTTATGCCACTCCATTGCAATACTGTGTCTCAGAGACTTTTACTTATGGTTTTATTTTGTTATTAAATATGGTAAAAACAAATAACTCAGGGACCGTCTTAAACCGCAGGGTACATTTGAGAATTGAGATGTTTATTCTGTTTAGTTTTTGTACTGCATTGACTAAAGAAATATATACTTAAAATATATCTCCGATCATATGTATGTTGAACTTCTCTCGCACCATACGTAGCCAACCGTGGAGGTGCGGGATATGTGTGCCCTCCCAAAGTGCACGTCCAAATCCCATACCCTCCCACCGACGCCGTTGCCTCTGCCCACACACCAGGTGCGCGTGTCGACGTTGTACTTGTAGAGGTCGTCGACCAGGCCGTATTTGTTGGGGCTGAATGCCTTGTAGCCCCCGTGGATGTAGATGGCGTGCGTGCTGGGGTCAAAGGCACTGCTGTGCCCATACATGCCCTGCACCCGTGCACCACTGGACTCCAGAATACGCCAGCTACCGCTGTCTGAGAACACAAGGGGCAAGTGCACGTTTACTGAAGAAGGGCGCGTATGTTTGCACGTGCACGCACACAGGTAAATGACGCTGCCGTGGTCTAATGGTTAGTGCGCTGGACTTGCAATCCAGAGATGGCCGGTACAATCTCCTGACACGGCCATTGAAACAGTGGTGCAAGCAACTTCCCGAACCCTTTCCCGTTGAAATGGAACGCGCAAGCGGCTCCGTGTTCATTTTATTTAGAGAGGCGTAGCACCGTTGTTTTTAAAGACATTGTACTCACCGCAGACAAATGTAGCGACACGACCACCGCACTCTATGATAGCTGGCGCCAAAGTGTGCCACACACTCTCTCGCATGGCCTTGTGGGAACCTCGGTACCGATAAAGTTATTTTATTTAAGTTTTTCATCATCGGAACGGAGTCTGAAGAAAATGTGATGACGTATTGTGTGCAGGAGTACAAAAAGTGACAGGATTTTTGGACACTGCTTTTAATTTGTTTTTGAAAAACGCTAGTTATTGTTTCTCCTGTTTGCACTAAGTTCTGGCGTACGTTTCATGTAAAACACTACTTTTTCTCTTGTTAGTTTGCACATATTCCCTCCCTGCATTGTCCTGTAACTACCACCACTACTGACAGTCTGAGCCTTACGAGCTGAAATAATAAAACCCGAGATACCTATTTATCCCACTAAATTGGTGCAAGTATGTGTTCATCGTTTGAGTGTAGTGACATGTTTCCACCAACAGCAAAAGCTTTACTCATTAATTAGAACGCCTGGTTACTAGTACAGCGCTGCGACAGTCAAGCAAACAACGCTTTCATCACGTGAGCACCCATGGGCGCCGTCAAACGTACTCCGGTTACACTCCTGCACAAAGGTGATGTAGCCACAGCCAAGCAAATGCAACCTCATCGCACACACGCGCCCATGGGTACTGTCTAACGTACTCAAGTTGTACTCCTGCACAAAGTTGACGTAGCCGTGGGTGGGGCAGTGTCCGAAGAAGACGAGCATCACGGAGGTGCCGGCACTCAGCGGCACGATGTGTGCCGAATGCCCCACCACGGCAAACTGCTGCCGGCGGGGCCCCGGCGCCACTTGAGGCACCAGCCGCGTCCACGCCAGCGTGGTGACGTCCAGCCACCACAGCTCGCTGCTCACGTTCCCGCTCGAAGCTTCCACTCTTCCCCCGTACATGTAGATGCCGCTCTGCACGGATGGTGTGGGGGGGGGGGGCGGCAATGGCGACGATGTGAATTTGTTCATGATAAAGGTGTTTTTGGATTAGGTCACGTGAATGTCATCTCAGCCAGTCAACCGGTGGCACCTGGGTCTGTCCCATGACCTCCTGCCAGCGGGCTTTCGACACTTAATGTGGCCTTAAAGTACACATAGCCTGGCACAAGCGCCGTGGTGACTTCCCCGCCACTTAGTGGCGAATGGCGGTTGTTGTTGTTGTGAATGTAAGTGTGTCATTAACCCACCACACAACCACCATTAAGGTTTGCCCCATGAACAAAATGTGCCAATTAGCGATTACTTCAGCACATCGGTGTAATGGCGAGTAAGCCCAGGACATTTACAATTTGAGTACGGCGTTTCGCTGGTGATTCATCAGGCGATTTGCCAGGATCATGAAGGAGTCTTCCTGCTTCCGGCCTGCGTGTTAAATTGAATGTGAATTTGAGGTTGGTTGAGGTGCCAGTTGTGTGAGTTGAGCAGGCAGCTAGTGTACAGCTTCAAAAGTCACTCGACGTTAGCTAGCATCGTGACTTTTCATTCGGTGTGTGCGTAAATCGCCTAGGGTGGGGCGCCACCGTTTTATTATTTGTTTTATTGGGTGCAATTGTGAAGAACAGCCATATCAGACATTAGTACGTCTCATCAGCATAATCATTGGTTCACTGCAGCTCAAAGACTCCTACAAGGCATGTTCACACCGGGGAAAATAAATTATCCCCCCGGCGAGCCAAGTTCTTAGAATTTCTATTCAAGGAATCTCGCTCCCGTTGCCACCGACTACTCAGTAAGATGAGGTTTAAGCGTAGTGGGAGAGTTGAAGCGTGGGCCTATGTTGAAGCTGAGAAGAGCCTGGAGTATATATACCAAGCTGGGGTCATTATGTTGAGCACAGAACTCGGTTACTGGTTCGGTATATATGCGGCTACAAAGCTGTAGAAGGCCCATGCGTATGAACTGAGAAGGGGGCTGTAGGCAATGCAAGGCATCTTTGGATACGATTTTTGTTTATTTGAATGCCGTATAAACTTCCTTTTACGAAGGTTTGGAACCATTTTCGTTTTGTTCAATCAAAGCAATATGATATTTTAATGGGTCACCTGATGGGAAGCAAGAGAGTGTCCGTAGCGTTGGCTAGGGCCTGTCTTCCTGTCAGGAAGAGGGTCCCACATGTGCTTCCGAAGATTGTACCTTGGAACACACAAATACAACAAAACAATCCCTTTCTGGCCTCGCTAAGGCCGGTCCACACCTGAAGGCAACCAAATCGCGCAACTCAATCGCCTGCAACTTTCTTTATCCACATCTCAGTGAGCAGTCGTGCGACCGCAAAATTGAATGGTGCATTTAGGATTGCAGCAACCAACCATCGCCACGAAGCTTTACAGCACAATCCGTAAAAAAGAAACTCGATGCAGCCGTGTCTCACCTAGGTCACCATGTGGAAGGCAGTGTAGTTGAAGGTGTAACCGCCCACAACCCACATGTAGTCGCCCAGCACCACGGCCTTGTGCGAGGCACGTCGGGGCAGCGGGCGAGGTGGCGTCACGTCCGGCATGAGCCAGTATGCCTCCTCCGAGGGGTCTTCCAGGGAGCAGTCTGGGCCTGGTAAGAGACGTCAGAGCCATACATCGGTATTGGACCATTTGAAAAAAACACCCCCAGCAGTGTACAGCAATGCTATGGGCAATACGTGTGCGTGGTACAGGAGGATGTGGAACTGAGTGGACTTGCCGAAGACCGCTACCAGCCGTATCAAGATCGACCTCTGGGGAGGAGGCTCGTAAAGGACGCTACTGGGCAGTTGGAGGCAGTTGCCCTCCAACAATGGAGGGCGGAGGAGCGAACGCTCACAACAACGAGCTTAGGGCTGGGCGGCTAAAACGCAGCAAGTTGGCACAGTAGGGAGCACAGCTGGTGCATCAGCTAGTCATCTCTGTCAGTCAACTCATGGCACCTCATGCCATGTGGCCTCAATGTGCCACGTGGCCTCAATAGTGCACCTAGCATGGCACACAAGCCCTGCGGTGACATCACCACCACTTAGTGGCGATTAGATGTCTGAGCGTGTACTGCGTACCTTGCCATCCAGGCTGGCACACGCAGCCTCGCTGGTGCTGCCGCTCGCAATGGCCGCGGTGCGGGGCTCCGCAGTCCTTGTTGCAGTAGGGGAAGTCACAGGCCTCACCCTTCCAGCCACGCTCGCACTGGCAAGTCACTCGTCTCTGGGGCCCATATGCCACGCACCGTCCATGGCCTGAACAATTGTTGGGGCAACTGTTCATCCTGTGACAAGGCACAGCAAAGGTCACCATCAACACGTCAGAACATTTCAAATAACACTGCCAGCTAAGGCCCACTGACAGCCAGTGACTATCTCGACAGTAATGCTTAGAGACATTTTGGAGGGCCAAAGGAATAAAGGGTTACCTACCGCCTTGAAGTGGCAAAGAGCCTCATAAGGCTTGGAATTCACAGCGACATCAATCTCCGAGACAAGCTGATGCGAGGGTCTACATGCGACATCAGCAATAGCAGTGTACCAGGAACTTTTCTCCACAGTTTAAACAGATACACCACTTGCATTGCATTTGTAGAACACCACAATCTGCCATGCACAATAAAATGAGCGGGCCAACAGTGATCGAACCGGGGTTGTTTGGTTTGTATATGAACTAGCACTGCCCGCTGAGGTGGAGGGTGGGTGGGTGTGTGGGTGGGTGTGTGTGTGTGGGTGGGTGTGTGGGTGGAGAGGGACGCGTGACGTCAGTGCGACGCACGAACCCGGCTTGACGCTGTGGGTTGCGGGTGACGTCGCCACTGCGTACGTCGCGTTTGCATGCACGCATGCCAGCCATGAATGCAGGCAGCCAGCAAAACTTTTTTTTTCTTCCTAATATCGTACGACATGCTGTATTCATCTTTATTCGCATGTATTTATTGGTAGACTTTATCATTTTTTCTGGCTTCGTTCACAGTCCGGCTTCAAAAGTTTTACCGTGCTTATTAACCAGGTAAAGTCTTAACTGACTGTGATGTTTCCATCCTACCTGGCTATGTCAGCTGTTATTTCATGCTAATCTCTCACATCAACATAGCCACTTCCTTGCTCTCGTCGAGGAGGCCGCTCTCCTATCTTACAGTTACATGCTAATTTCTCACATTAACATCACTAGCCCTGGCCACTTCTTTATGACCCTTGGGCTACACCCATTTCAAACCTTTTAAAACAGTCTGCCTCAGCAGCAGACCATGCTTTACCACCTGATGACGGACGCTTGTGTTGCGCCCAAAACGTCGTCATATATTTTATTTTCTACCTACGTGACTTTACCGAAAGAACCAAAGAGTATGGGATCGTGCACTCATTGCTTCTCTCTCGTATGTTGTGATGTGCACTATGCGACGTTGCTTTTGCTATTGCTGCTGGAATTGTTTTTATTACTGACGTTATCCTGGGCTTGTCTGGTAGGATCGGGATGGTTTAGTTGTGTTTGTGTGTGTTTGAGTGATTTTTTTTGTACTGTTTGTTGTTGGCACGTTCTTACCCGCCCCTTACTGGACATCTGTGAAAAAATTGCTTTAAAGCTCAATCTTGATTTGAAGCTTTCGTGACTGCAGGAATCCATAGTCTTTGTTTTTTTTGGTAAAGTCACGTAGGTAGAAAAAATATTAAAACTAAATTTTAAAAAACACGACGTTTCGTCGCAACACCTGAAGACGACCGCTTGTGTTGCGACCAAAACGTCGTGTTTTCTTATTTTTTTTTTCTATCTACTTGACTTTACCGAAAAACCCAGAGCTTCATAGCTCGTCGGATTCCTCCTGCAGTATAAATATTCGGATTCTGATCGTGCATTGATCACTGTTGTTTTAAACGCTGCTCGCCACCGCTGCTGCTGTGTAGAGGAGCTCACGAGTAGGAGATGTTGAAGCCCGTGAGGTTGTAGGCAGCGTCACTGAAGAAGTGCAGGAACACGAACCCCGAAGTGGCCACCACCTCGGGGACGGTTTCATTGCGTCGTGCCTCCGGTACAATCAGTCCGCTGCATACACAAAGACAAAGAGCCCCCCGAATAGCCTCAACGGACTGTCAGGGCAAGTGCTGTTGGCGAGCACCTATTAGGTCTGGCCCGGCCACCTTTGTCAACCCAGTGCTGATGCTTACACACCGAACCAGGTGCTCGTTTAAGGCTGAGTCGATCTAGAGGAGGTCTAGGACCGGTTCAAATATTCCTCACCAATTTTGTTTGAGAGCAGGAGTTAAACTTGGGTCGTCGGATTCATTTTACCGTGCGCGAACCACTGCACTACCACTCCCCACGACATAAACGACATAAACTCGTGCACACACAAGGGGTGATCCTCTTATTTGTAATGTTACATTGCCAGGACAAGTGACATTAGCAGAGACTCATTATTCTAGACCCGGGGTCGACAACCTGCGGCTCTTTAGGGGCCGTCCATAAATGACGTCACGCAATTTTGAAAGATTTTTGACCACCCCCCCCCCCCCCCCTAGTCACACGGCGTCACAAAAAGTCAGGCCCCCCCCCTCAAATATGACGTCACAAAGCTCTGCCCCCCCCCCCCCAAAAAATAAAACATGCTTCAAATCGCATTAAACTATTGTCAATGTAGTGTGTATTAAATGTGGCGCTTTACTCTGATGTAGGAGAAAACATTTATTAAAAAGTCTATTTCATTAAGTAGAACGTGTTGTCTATATAGTTGCGCATTTTTATGTGACGTCACATTTCTCAACCCCCCCCCCCTCACTCTGTATGTTGTTGTTGTTGTTGTCGTATCCTCAAATCTTGTAACTCAATTTTAATCCACTTCCCAATGTGGTATAGACTGCAAACTTCGTATACTTATGTCTTACTGATGACAATACTATATTCTATCATTAAAAATACAAAAAAATTCAACCATCTTTTTTATACGTTATGTTTCGGCTTGGGTCTAATTGTCTACGCTCAACTGACGTTGGCTGTAAATCACCACGGTCCCTTATGTTATGGCAAGCTTCGGGGCCACTTCTTGGAGTCGTGGAGTTTTGCCATTACGAGTACGGTACATTTCATTAAAGCGTGTTTAAAATAAATAAATAACATTTTTTTTTGTCTTTGACCAAAATAGTTGGGGAGCTGCATCACACGCAGAGTTACTTGTACACAAACACAGCAGTGGGTGTACAGCAGACGACAAACACATTATGACTTAAATAAACTAATATAGGTGATGGAATAAACTATGCCTAATTGTTTTCCCCCTTTAGTTATTCTTTAACAATACAGTTTGACTGTACATTTTGTTGCCACCAAGACATTCCATAGTGACCCATTCCCTGTCATATTTAATCAGTTATCTTTGCGTTAAATCATGTTTAAGATTTACGTTTAAAACAAAATAAACTGCTGCCCGCAAAGGGGGCAGCCAAAGAGCAGCAAGGGAAGAAGCCAAAGAGCGGCATGCGCCGCTGGTTGCTGACCGCTGCTCTAGACACACTGAGACCAGGCCACCACGAGGGGCTCTACGGGATGGATGTGGCCTGCAGACGACAGATCGCCCACCACTTCTCTAGAGGGTATTTTCCACCTCTTCCACACTGGCCATAGAAATATGTGGGAGTATCCACAATTTACCCCCACCATACACGACATTCCAATCGACTATGGTGTACTCAATCTTGATTTGAAACTTTCGTGACTGCAGGAATCCATACTCTTTGGTTCTTTCGGTAAAGTCACGTAGGTAGAAAAATAAAATGAAACAAAAAATAAAATATCACGACGTTTTGATCGCAACACAACAGCGCTCTCGCTGGTTCAGCAGTTCCACTGCTGGATTATTATTTTTTCCGCCTGAAGACGACCGCTTGTGTTGTGTGACTTTACCGAAAAAAACAAAGACTATGGTGTACCCGTTTACACTACTGGATGGACAGAGGCAGGGGCATGTTCAGTAACGTGCCCCATTGTTTAAAACTGCCGTCCCTTGGAGGTCGACAATCTCTGGATTGCAAGTCCAGTGTGCCAACCATTACATCACAGCAGCATCAATTAAAAATAACGAAAAAATATATTCAGACGACACAGCACAAATACGTTTCAATTAAAAGGGGAGAAGGTAATTGATTGAAATGCCTCAAGTGGCCTCCTCCCCATCAAGCCCGTCTCTTAAACCAGGCAAGATGAACGACATCTGAAATTCACTCCCTCCTCGTCTCTCACTGCGCCGCACATCCGTGTCCGTGTCATCCTTCTCCCAGAATCTGAAGACTCCTCTCTCTCTCTCTCTCCTGTTCTATATATAACTTTATTCTCCCGCGCCTCTGAATATCCTTTTAAAGTTCAACTTGCAGCAACGAATGAAGGTCGTTCGTCCTTCTGGCACGGGCATGCGTGGCAGTGGGCAGCACCTGAACGCAGCGAGCAGCGGGGAGTAGATGGAGTCGCCGTCGTACACGTACATGTGGTCCCAGCTGCACTCGGTTGCAAAGTGGTTGAAGCGAAGCCGCAGCACGGCGTTCGGGCTGCACGACGACCCCAAAGACAAAACAACAGACCGTTGGGACATGCGTTGTTAGTGAGCACATATGAAGGAAGGCCAGCACGGCACACGAGGGGATGGGTGGCCAACACCGCGCCTGGTCGCATTTCTCACCCTAGTGGCGATGTTTTACACACCGCACCAAGTATTAATTTGAGGCTGAGTCGACCTAGGGGAGGCTAAGGACCGGTTCAGATAATCGTCACTTGTGTTGGCAGTGACCGGGTGGCCGGGTTCGTAGCGCTGCGCCCTGACCACTCTGCTTCCACTCCACCAGTGCGACACCATAAGTGACCCCAATCGCTAACCCACACATGCACACCGAGAAGTTCTCCAAATGTGGATGAACATTTGCGACACAGGATTAGTCCCCAGGACAATTAGAGTGCCCATGAATACACACTGCATAAATAACTCGACATTTCTCTCTAACGTAATAATAATATATGTTACGATATTTTATAATTACATGGAGTACAAAATGACATTTTAAAATGAAAATAAACCTCGTGGAGAGTAGGTTAAGTTATTTCATTATCTCTCGCAGTGGCTGAAAATTTGAGTGGTTAACATAATTGGTTCCACATAAAAAAACAAATAAGAAATTCAATGTTCTATACAAAGTGGATATATACCGTAAAAAAAGAATTCTAAATCATATTTAGTGTCATGGCTGAAATGTATACATTTTGAAATTGTGTGGGGAAAACAATGGTGTCTATGAAATTTATCCGGGGGTGCCACGGTGGCGAGATCTTAACTACCTCGCCTGGTGTACATGAAGTCGTGGGTTCAATGCCTGTATATTTGGAGTTTGCATGTTCTCCCCGTGCTCGCAAGGATTTTTCTCCGGGTCTTCCGGTTTTTCCCTCCACATTTGTAAAAATGCGTTTAGAGTAAATGGCTGCTTTAAATTTTCACGCGATAAGCCACTTCGTTGAGCTATCATTCATGGCCAGGTCGTTTCTGAAAAATACCTATATAATTCTTGACTTTAAGCTTTCATGACTGCAGGAATTCATATTCTTTGGGTCTTTCGGTAAATCCACGTAGATAGGTTCAAAGAAAATAACAAAAAACTACTTGTAGTTATACCTATATAGCCCAGTGGGCCTTACCTGGTGCAATAAAAAATAGTTTAGTTCATTTATTTCACTTCTGGTTGCAACTTCCACTCATCACACTATCTTTCCAGATGATGATCCAACGCAAAGTGAAAAGGTCTGCCTCTGCTTATCAGTCCTGCCCTCATTTTGACTGCCTATAATGCCAATATAAAATGGCAATACGGTATTAATATTACACCTTTTGGATGGATTAGTATCACCTGTTGAACTTGAAGCACAATCTAATGTTATCATACTTGATTGAGCAATTATCATTAACACGTTAAAACCAGGGCACGAGTAGATGAAAAGACAACCACAGCTAATAACTGAACTGGTTTTCTATTAACTTGAGAAAAACAAACATGAGATTGTTTTCAATGTACCTGCAAATCATATAGACTATGGCTGAACTGGGCAACACAAGTGGATATTATCTACATGCCCTCTTAAAGAACATCACCAGTATTGTGCCGTGCAATCACACATCTGCGCCAGGATGCCAATTCATCTGACAGAGAGGGCAAGCATTTCTCATGGCAGTTATTTCGACGTATTTATAAATTAGACTTTCCTCACTGGACTTTATATTTCGCAAATGTTACACAGATGCATGAGGGTGCAAGAAGTTGCAACTAATCTCGGGCCTGTAAATTCAAAGGTCCTGCCTCATGTTTAATGTCTCTTGCAGACGTTATACAACTGAAGAAACGGCCCCGATCGTGTCCCCTTGCAATTAGCGGTTCTGGTTGTGTGGATAACTGGAAGAATCATGTAGGCCCCCACAGACAACATGGCTCAATAATTAAATATTGACTACATGCCCAGAACATTGTGGCCTAATTATGATATCTCAGCCAATTTCCTCAGAACGGCGCAGTAACAAAATCACAGTTTATACGTATGTATGTTGAACTTCTTTCGCGCCGTACGTAGCCAACCATGATAATGCGGGAGAAGGGCAAACCAAGCACAAAAAGCAGTTTTCAAGAAATGAGATTTCAATCTGGATTTAAAAGTGCATAGCTCCAGTGGCTTCCGTTGACGGGAGAACTCCTCATATTCACTTGAAAAACGCAGAGTGCCGATCATCAACGCAGTCGTGCTTATCCGTGACTCCATTGAGCGGGTTTCAATTTAGAATCTGCAAGAGATGCTCGCACCACATCACATGTGACATGAAGCGTGCGACGTGGCTCTGCGGCCCTCACTCACAAGCCCTCGATGAGCCAAGTGCACTTCGTCTTGTACTTGTATTTGTTGGGGCCGTCTGTGATCATCCCCGAAGGCTCCGTCAGTCTGGGATATCCACAAGACACACAGCACAGTCCCATCATCGCCTCCGTTGTATCATGCACGTGTGTTGAACTTCTTTCGCACCGTACGCAGCCAACCGTGCTAATCGGAGGTGCGTGAACTGGAACCAAGCGGTTGTCCTCTGAAATGCACGCCTACATTTATCAATATACGTACCAATATCATCCGCCTTATTGCCTGTGCTCCAATCACCCGGAATGCACTCCCCGATCTCGTCAGATCTCGGCGGCTAAGCAGGTTGGAGCCTGGCGAGTGCTTGCACGCGTGGCCACACCGAGGCGAAAGAGTGGCACATCCTATTTGAACAATCGTAGTGCGACGTCCCCGCGGCGTTCGTCCCAGGCTAGGTGCATCTTGAGGCCGTCACCTGGAAGGCTCTCGCTTGTGGCAGGTCACGGGACAATCCCACGCTTAATGAACTGACTCAAGCACTTACAAATATCCCCCCCCCCAACCCATATAACCTTGCACAGACTGTTGAGGCGGCCAGTTCTGTAAGCAAGCACCTATACAGGACGGCACGGCACACGATGGGTGGTCAGCACCACGCCCGGCCGCCTTTGTCTCCCTAGTGGCGATGTTTACTACACACCGCACCAGGTACTCATTTGAGGCTGAGTCGACCTAGAAGGAGGCCCAGAACCGGTTCAGATAATCGTCATCGGTGTTGGTCGTGAGCGGGAATCTAACTCGGGTCACCGGGTTCGTAGCGCTGACCACTACACCACCGCTCCCCAAAAGCAGCACCAACACCATTACCCAAGAGCCACCATTGACGGTGGAGTCACCATGGCGCCTGTGCCAGGCTAGGTGCACTTTGAGGCTGCCACGTGAAGTGTCGAAGGCTCGCTGCTGATAGAAGGTCCCCGCCACAACGTCCACACACACAAAAGACAAAGATGCCCACTATAGCCTGAACAGACTGTCCGGGCAAGTGCTGTTAGCGAGCACCTATGAAGGACGACACACACACACACGTGTACACACGCGACCACACACACAAGCGCGTACACGTACACACGCACACATTCATACACACATACACACGCGTAGACACACACGCGCGTACACACATGCGTAGACACACACACGTGTACACACACACGCACGCGTACACACACACACACGTGTACACACGCACGCGTACACACACACACCACACACGTGTACACACACATGTGTACACACACACACGTGTACACACACACACACACGTGTACACACACACCAACACACGTGTACACACACACGTGTACACACACACGTGTACACACACACCAACACACGTGTATACACACACACACGTGTACACACACACACTCACTTGAAGCGCCCTGCGCAGTGCTGGCACTGGTCTCCTACCCAGCCGCGGTCGCACACGCACGCGTACACACACACACACGTGTACACACACACACGTGTACACACACACACGTGTACACACACACACACGTGTACACACACACACACACGTGTACACACACACACTCACTTGAAGCGTCCTGCGCAGTGCTGGCACTGGTCTCCCACCCAGCCGCGGTCGCACACGCACGCGTACACACACACACACACACGTGTACACACACACACGTGTACACACACACACACGTGTACACACACACACACGTGTACACACACACACACGTGTACACACACACACTCACTTGAAGCGTCCTGCGCAGTGCTGGCACTGGTCTCCCACCCAGCCGCGGTCGCACACGCACGCGTACACACACACACACGTGTACACACACACACGTGTACACACACACACACGTGTACACACACACACACGTGTACACACACACACTCACTTGAAGCGTCCTGCGCAGTGCTGGCACTGGTCTCCCACCCAGCCGCGGTCGCACACGCACGCGTACACACACACACACGTGTACACACACACACGTGTACACACACACACACACGTGTACACACACACACACGTGCACACACACACACACGTGTACACACACACACTCACTTGAAGCGTCCTGCGCAGTGCTGGCACTGGTCTCCCACCCAGCCGCGGTCGCACACGCACGCGTACACACACACACACGTGTACACACACACACGTGTACACACACACACACGTGTACACACACGTGTACACACACACACACGTGTACACACACACACTCACTTGAAGCGTCCTGCGCAGTGCTGGCACTGGTCTCCCACCCAGCCGCGGTCGCACACGCACGCGTACACACACACACACGTGTACACACACACACGTGTACACACACACACACACGTGTACACACACACACACGTGTACACACACACACACGTGTACACACACACACTCACTTGAAGCGTCCTGCGCAGTGCTGGCACTGGTCTCCCACCCAGCCGCGGTCGCACACGCACGCGTACACACACACACACGTGTACACACACACACGTGTACACACACACACACACGTGTACACACACACACACGCGTACACACACACACACACGTGTACACACGCACGCGTACACACACACACCACACACGTGTACACACACATGTGTACACACACACACGTGTACACACACACACACGTGTACACACACACCAACACACGTGTACACACACACGTGTACACACACACGTGTACACACACACCAACACACGTGTATACACACACACACGTGTACACACACACACACGTGTACACACACACACTCACTTGAAGCGCCCTGCGCAGTGCTGGCACTGGTCTCCCACCCAGTCGCGGTCGCACACGCACGCGTACACACACACACACGTGTACACACACACACACGTGTACACACACACACACGTGTACACACACACACACGTGTACACACACACACTCACTTGAAGCGCCCTGCGCAGTGCTGGCACTGGTCTCCCACCCAGCCGCGGTCGCACACGCACGCGCTGCCCACGCAGCGGCCGTAGATGCACGCGGCGCGGGGACATCCGCGCACTGCGCCTCCCGCAGCTCCGGCCGAGGGGGGGCTGCTGCTGCCCGCCGCCTGCACCCCCAGCAGCAGCAGCAGGAGGATCGGCAGCCGCGGCGTCGACATCGCCAGTGAAAAGCTCCCCAACACCTCCGGCCCCGGCCCCCCCTGGCCTCTTCCCCGCGTTGTGGGGGCGCAAGCAGAGCGAGGGGGGTCCGCGCTGAATGACCTCGAACAGACGATTGCACCACCACCACCAGCACCCCCACACTTCGATGGTCAGATCACGGCAGCAGCGCAACGTCGTGGGGTCTGTGTGGAGTGTCGATTTGCCCGGTGCGCATTAACACTAGATGATGATGATGAAAATAATGATGATGATGCAGCAGCAGGAGCAGCATGCGTCAAATGTCACAGTGGTGGTGCTGGTGCGTGTGCTGGTGCGTGTGATAACCCACCCCTACCACCACCACCACGACACTGGCCAGCCGAGCCGGTGGATGAGCAACGCAGGACCCCCCCCCCCCACCGCAAATCCTCGGCTCGCCGCTTTAAGCTCCGCCCGTGCGTCTGTAACGGCGGCCCCGTGCCACGGTGCTGCTGTTCGCCTTAACCCGTGAGATGCACGCGTCTCCCGCTGCTCTTCGTCTCTCTCTCTGTGTGTGTGTGACATTGTCGCTGTTTGCTGGTCAGTAGCCTTGTGTGTGGCCTTGAAGGGGACAACAATATCATAGGCGACGTTTCGGGTAATGGCCCTTCTTCATAGCATATAGGTGATGTTTTTTTGGGATATCACAATTCTTCATAGCATGTGAAAAAGGGGCATTGCTCGAAACGTTACCGAATATATGTTTTACGATACGGTATACGTTTTATAATGTTTCCTTTAAAGGCCACAGTGTTTATTGGTGAATGTGTCGAGTACCGTGTAAGTTGTGCTTGTGAATCACTATCAACGCAGTAGGTATGGTTAACTTCGTAGTCAACCATGCGAATCGGAGGTGTGAGACCAATACCACCAATAAGCGGAGATGCAGTGTGACCAAGCCGTTGTTTGGTGAGAGTTTGCGGTGCTGTAGAGTGTGGGATGGATGATTGATTCAAGCCATGGCCAGGTGTTGAGCTCTGTGTGTGGTATGTGTATAGGGCAATCTCTAAAACTAGCATTCGGGTGTTCATTCACGCGTTTTTTACTTTAAAGATTTCACACCAATTTAAATGCAGAAATGTCAAGTCTCATGCATTTGGCGAATAACGATTGTCGTGCATTTGGCATGACAGGAAAATACCCAGGACCCAGCTAGATACGTACAGGTACTACTATACATTGTGTCTTCAACCAGCGGTGGTGATACGTTTCTTGAACACGGGCACAATCTCTGCGAAGGCCGGAGGCGTCAGGGGGGTAGGAATGTGGGGCGGGAAGGTCACATTTCAGAATAATCAAGAATAATAATATTAACGGTGGAAGTTAAATATTAGTGAATATGCTTATGAAGTGTAAACTGTCGTGTGTGCATGCACATCGGTGGCCTGGAGAGATCTGTCATGGAGGAGGCAGTCATCTGGTATCATCCAAGATTTCCTAATCCTACAACTCCATTTAGACAACGGCTTACCTACCCACCCACTCCATTCGCCTGATAGTAAAGAAGGTATAGAAAATTGCTTTTATTTATTTTATTACATCTTTTTTAATATTTTAAAGATCTCATTATATTGTTTCTGAATTAAAGATGATATATATACCCCCCGAAAATGTGTGATATAACCTTTGCGCATGTACTTGTATGCCTAGATTGGTGATGTAGAGGTTAGTATATGGTACTCAATCAGAGACTCAGGTTTGATCTCTGGCCATGATCATCGGTGACAATGATTATTTTAACAGGGCATAGGGCTGCTTCACTGCACCTGAAGCTGAGATAGTGGAGTGCTTGTGTGTGAACATCACACACCACACTGCACGTCTTACTGGACATATGCGAAAAAGAGCTGCGTAGCTCATCAGATTCCTCCAGTCTAAATATAAATAAAGATTCTGATTCTTCTGATCAGCATTTGGGATGTGACGCATGCTGTGCTTGTTTCTCGCCAAACCACTCATGTGTGTTTTGTTGGCTTTTAAAAAAAGTGTTCCTGAAAGGGATTTGTCTAGACAGCCTTTAGCGATAAATGTGTATTATATAAAAAGAGATTATGCCGTGGTTAGCTAACTGGACTTGCAAATCCTGAGGTCGTCAGTTTTATTTCTCAACGCGACAGTTGAAACGCCGAAAAAGTATCCTAAATCCCCCTGCCTCTGTCCAGCCATCATGGAAGGGTCGGCGAGATTCCCTCTAGAGGGGCATCTCTAGAGCCTTCTTTATAGGAGGCCCTTTTTCCAGCAGTTATTTATACACAACGTGTGAGTAATATTGGTTGTATTCACACAACAACAAAATCACGAGTAAAATTGACGTTGTACTCTTGGTACTGCACGCTTTAAAAAAAATCCCCCGGCTCAGACAGAAGTGAACCAGAGGTCACATTTTTGAGAAGCATTGAAACCCATTGCAGAGGTTAATCCATAATTGGTACATGACTTGGCATTCATTAAATGCTGGGAGGGGGGGGGCTGAGTTTTTCATTAACAAAGGCAATTTGTTTAGGGTCCAAATAGCCGTTAAAGTAAATGTTTAAGAAATTAAATTGCGTATTGAATTAATTATCCCACCACTGCTGAAATGCTACAATTTTGTTGAGTGACTGTGTTGTCTTGATGTGGTCTGGGACTGTTTTGCTGTTATTTTACTGCCTTTCCCAAGCCTGGGAATTGAGGTACTGTATTGCACTAATGCAATTTGAACTTACATGCTTTATTTTTGGGTTTTTTTTAAAGGAGTCCCACGGTGGAATCTTTCTCGCCTGGTGTCCAGGAGGTTTCGATCCCGACTAGTGGTGTAACTATGTTATCAGCTCAGGGGGTGCTGTAATCTGTCAGGTGGGTCCCCATTATTTGATTTGTGCAATTTGTGGAAGCCAACCGTTACTGCTCTAATTAAATTAAAACGTGTAATGTAAATGAAAGCATTTTCATACAATAAATGAAAGCCGCGTTTGAAATCAGTTTGTGTTATTTTGCACTGTTGAAAACATCTAATGGTGGTTGTGTCGATGTATTGTTGTGTATCTCCCATGTTGTTAGCCGGTGGTATCGGACACGTGCCAATAGGGGGCAGAAGAGGGCCTGAGCCCCAGTGTTAAGGGACGATGGCCCAACGGTAACCCCTATGGAACGGCATGACCAGAGGTGCAGACCCAGACCCAGGAGGGGGCTGGGGGATGACATCACCCCCATGTCCTGCTGGAAGGTTCGAGATGAAAGGTGTGGCCGGGGCGGAGCGAGCCACGGCTCTGTATAAAAGCCGGACCTCTGAACGGTCCAGGCAGTCGTCGCTCACCGGACGATTGAAGAAGCCTCCTGAAGAGAAGAGCCCAAGGGGCAGAGAAGTACCGCTGGCTAGGGTCGGCTCAAGCTATAACCAGTGAAGACGCAAGCTTCACTCGTGAGAGGTGTACGTTATCCAGTAAGAGGCTTATTAGTCCGAAGGGGCTACCTCCCTAGCATATCGGGTGTAAGGGGCCGTTAACCCTTTTGTGTTACGCAGTTATTGTTAGATGAAAACGTGTTGCCTCAGATAACTCTCTAGTTATTTACCCACTACAGTTGCAAAGGGGGCCTAATTCGTAGCTTTTGCCACCAGCTAGTTCCGCTACTGATACCGACCATGACGCCTGTATATTTGGAGTTTGCGTGTCTCTCTCCCATCCTCCGATTTTTCCCTCCACATTTAAGATTATTTCTGCTACTATAAATTTGCACATTATACGCTTTGTTGAGCTATCATTTGTGGCCAGGTCGCTTCTGAAAAAGAGCTGTACAGCTCAGTGGGCTTTACCTGCTAAAAGAAAATATGTTTTAGGATATTTATTTTTAGTGATTTGCTTATAGTTCCGATAAAGTCGTTTGCACTCCTTTGGTTCTTTTGTATTCTTTGTTGTTACAACTTTCTGACCCACTCGTCCTGAACATCTGTGAAAAAGAGATTCATACGTTATCGATTTTGTCCAGGATAAGTAAAGATTCTGACGTTTTCACTTGAACAACTGTATCATCTGAGTTTGTTTTTTAGCAAACCGATGCATTGAAAATGAAGCCAAATTTGATCATTACATGCCATATTCTTGGTTATTTCGGTAAAGTCACGTAGAAGGGAAATAATAAAATAATATAAATATAAAACAATAACAATAAAAGCTTTAAATCAAAACATTACATGCTAGTTTTATTATTTGTTTCTTTCGGTAAAGTCACGTAGAAAAAATAAAGAATTATTTGTATTATTTTCTATCTACGTGACTTTACCGAAAGAACTAAATAATATGAATTCCTGCAGTCGCGAGAATTTTAAGTCATTACATGCTAGGTTTCGCAGGAGATTACAACCCAAAAAACTAATTATGAATCAGATTCGTCGTGACAGCCTGCACATGAAATGAACAGTCGAGTAAATTCGGAAAAAAATACAGTTCTAAATAAATACAATTACCAAGTTCAATACATACGTCCATTACACTGCCTTATAAGGAAAACTAATATACGACATTTCAGGCAATGGCCCTCCTTCAAAGTACATTAATAGGGAGGCCAAAGAGTTAATAAGAGTTGAAAACTGTACTTTACAGTTTACACCATGGGACCTGATGAGAATTACATTTAAAATTGTTTCCTGATTGAAGAGTTTTTTAATTGGTGTATTAATAGTTACATATTAGTAGTTATTGAGAAACAGACACACCATTCAATGATCAATAATAAATATTGCAAAACAAACTCATTTTCCTTTGAAAGCTAAACTCATGAAATGTTGCTGGCGCATTGCATAGCTGCGTGTAACTGTATTATGGTGTCCGCTTTTATTTCAACTTAAAACCTGCAGTTAACGGAGCAAAAGTTAGGGTTCTTAAATATATTGTTGATGTCAGTGTTCTAACACGAGACTAGACTATGTTGATTCGCTATGCAATTCAGTTTATGCCTTTAAAAACGTGTTTACGATGTCTGATTATATCATAGCTGCGTTTAAGTACCGTCTGATGCTGTATTTCATAATACATTTTATTCTGTGAAGTGTCAGATCTTATATTAAATTTCATTTAGTAAGTACACAAACGACTATTATTTTTCCGATGTCTTATTTCGTTTCAACTTGATTCTGTGTAATACTTTATTCAGTGACTAAAGCAAGGCTGCATGCTGATGTCCGATTTTATCTTAGCCATGGATCAGTGTATTCCGAATCCAGGTTTATTTTTAATTCATTTTAAACATCTTTCTTATTCGTTCGATCTTGTACAAACCTTTATTCACTGAGTGCACGCAAGACCATTGTGTTGTGATGTTATTTCCCTT